AGGTAGAGGGTCCTAGGTTGGTGTTTGGGTATTTTCGCACCAGTGTATTCCTTCAGCACAGCGGATTTTACTATACCGTTGGAGGAGTAGATGCCGTCATAGATGTCTTTGAGCGCGTAGGCTACGTCCATAGGGCAGCGTCTGGTACACAGTAGTTCCTGATTTATATTTGCCAGATGTTCAGGCCCTTTGTAGTACAGTCTGAAGAGATTTTCGCGTTCAATGAAGGGGAGTTGGTTGATGTCGCCGATCAGCAGAACCTCGCTGGCATCAGTGATTTGTTGTGCCATTACTATGGAGCCAAAGTGGTTCATAAGTGCCTCGTCGATTATTAGTCTCTGGCACACTGTGTTCCGTTTGACCCCATTCGCGATCACTGATGCGATTGTACGGATTCTGGCCGCGGCGGCGGGTCCCTTCGTGATCGCCACCTTGTTCTTCAGATCTGTCTTACCTTCTGTAGTTGTAGTCACTACTATGTCCGTGGTCTCGTTAAAGTTCTTCACTATCCAGGTCGTCTTACCGCATCCCGGTACACCGTTTGTCCAGTTGATGGTTGGAACCTTCCATTCCTCGAGGTCGGTGGCTTCCATCAGTTCGTCCGCTCTTTTTAATATGCTGTCCTCGAGGTAGATCCTTGTGGAATCGGTTACAACCACTATCGGGTCCGTGGGTGGGGTGTCATAGGTCAGTATTCCTGATCTCCCGGTGTCAGTCTTGTTAAGGTAGACAATGCCCTTTTCTCCATTGTATGCAGCCATATGGGGTTGCATTTGTCTTCCCCTAACCACTTCCGAGGTGCTGTTGTTGTAGATCGTCGCTTCGGCTTCCTCGAGTAATACCTTCAATAAACCTTCGTTCCCTAGGTGGAACGTCTCTAGGATTTTGCGGCATCTGTTGGTCTTTTCCGCTTTTTGCCCTTTAATTATTGAGATATACTCAAGGAACGCATTTATAAGATGGTCTCTTGGTTCGACGATCTTCCTATATTCAGGAGACTGAACCACACCCATTGCGGCTTTGGTTCTTCTTGTTGGCGCACTGTGTGGTGGGTTTTTGTAGGCTGTTGGGGGTGTTCCGTGGATTGCCGACTCGATTAATGGTTTACTTCGAGCTCCGTGCGTTAACTTTTGGAGGATCGAGGATATGGTGCACCCGGCCGAAGATTTTTTGGCTTTGGGGTCTTTCTGAGTGCTCTTTTCCTGGAATCTCCGTTGTTGAAGCTCTGAGCCTGATGGTTTACCGGAGCTAGTTAGGCTTGATGGATAACCTGTAGCGGGGGTGACAGTGGGGGTTTTGGGTTTCCGGATCTTCAGGTAACTTAGGTCTTCCCCTCTGTCTTCGTATATGATCACCTCGTGGAATTCTGATGCTTCTACACTTCCTAGATGATCTAATACTTCACCCTTGTAGTAGCCCGCGGACAATGCGTCGATGCTTATGATCTTGGGTGGTAACGCATTGTCTTTGCTGGTCTTCGCTATTGCCGAAAGGAGGGATCGGGCTAAGCTGAACTGGGATCTGTCGTTTTGTGCCTCCAGGATTAGTATTGTCTTGTTCTTGATGTACAAGACGCGGCATTTGTGGTTTCCGACTTCCACTTCACCTATTGCTTCCAGTTTCTTCCTCCTCATGGCGGTTCTCCCAGAGTTGCCTTTTATGATTGAGGCCAGTCCCGGTGCAATAGATACGCTGTTCGGTCCGGTGTTCGAGCAGAAGCTGATCCCCAGTTTTTCATAGGGGGTGTCCATGTATAGGGCCACGCTCTTCGTTCTTAGTCCCGGGATCCCACTCTCTCCCATTGATAGTATGCTTTCGATTTTTTGTCTAGGCATACCGACTTGGGTGGGCGGTTCTATATGCCGGGAGTTGGGTGTTGGGTCTATACCGGAGATGATGATCTGTTCTTCAGCTGCTCTATCCCGGTCCGCGTTGCTATATCTTTTTGCGGCTGCCCGTAGGATCTTGTCAGCGTATGCGAGGAACGGTTCCCTGGTCTTCTTGTCACAGAGTATTATTGGTAAGATCTCCATGTCGACGGTGGTGTTGATTAGGTTTTCTAGATCTCTTCTGGATCCTTGATATCTTGGGCAGTTCAGGAGTAAGTGCCACACCGTCTCGGTTACGGTGGGATCACACTCACATCCCGGACTCGCTATTAGCCTGAATCTGTGCAGGTATTGAGCTATGCCTCCGTGACCAGTCAGCATTTGCACGTGTGTTGGTGTTAGTTTAGTGCTCCTCACCGTTCTGTATGCTGAGTCAACGTCGGGGAGGAACATTTTTGTGACCGTGCCTGTTGGTGAACGGCTGTATCGCTGTTGCCATCTTTTGAGGCTTTCTTCTCGGATCTTCCTCTTGGCGTAGGACAGGGGGATTAGCTGGTAACCTGGGTTTGAGGTTTCTAGTAGGGCTGCTGATTTAGCCAGTTCATCTGCTCTCTCGTTTCCCACTGTACCTGCATGTGCTCGTAGCCAGAAGAATCTGATTTTTCGTCCGGCTGTTGTCATTTCTAGGATATCATCTTTGATTTGTTTCTGTAGGGGCAAGACTTCTTTGGCTGATTTTAGAAGTTCCAGCGAGGATCTTGAGTCACTGAGGACGTTGATTGATGGTGAGTCGTTGTTCTTCACCATCCTTATCGCTCTGTGTAGGGCATAGAGCGATATAATATTTAAGATTGTTTTAGTATGCAGCAGTCAAATAAACTGCTTAAAAATATATAAATAAAACGCAATGTACCAAAACATTTTACATCACACAAAATTTTTAGGTCAACTTAAATAGGTACATGTACAAAATAAAAATGTATTTTTCAGAATGTAGCAAAGTCACCCAGAGGTATTACTGACCTTGAATGCAGGCTAACTTGAAAAATAATAATTTATTTCACGTCAAAAATAAAATGTGCTTATAATGGTACATAATAATAAATTCATGGAGCACTACGTGTCTTTTAACCGAAATGGCTGAATTATCTCCGATGGATCTCGTTTTACGACGTGCCCAAACAGATTTCTAACTTTTTTTCTTTATAGCTGTCTTGTTAACATTATATTTACAACCCTTTGTAGTTTCGAGCGAGATTGGATGAGAATAAAGATTTTGAAGGAATATAGTATAAGGTAGACGATGCAAGGACTATGTCACATTAAAAATTTCTTAATAGTTTTATATTAAATTTATAATAAAATTCACGGATTATAAACTATTAAAAAGTTCTTTAATTTTAATAATATTAATATCAAAAAAATCTTACAAATATTTCCCAATAGTTAGTCAGACATTTTCCCAATAGTACTTATCGTTTTCTGTAAGGCCTTAGTTTTTCAGCTTCAAATTCTAGAAAGATCGTAATTCTATCTAGATTTCTTCAAAAACATCAGTTGTGAAGTGAATTTCTTAAAAAATCACAAGTTGTTAGAAATAGATTATTCTTATACATCAGAACGTATTTTCCAATTGCATACATTGAATTTGCTATTCACATTTCCCGTTGCTACTGCGAAATCTGACAGTATTGTCCGAAATACGACCTAATTTCCCATCCCCACAGCATGCAGAGTTTTTAATATTATATAGCAATATTTTATCTCTTTCTAAAATCACGTTATTTTTATATTATTTGTATATAATATTAAATACGTAAAAAGAGACAAAAAGATTTCTGTTTCTTCTGCTTTAGATATTTTTTAATATTTTTAGTATTACTTATACAGATATTATTAAAATGTATTAATAATAGAAAAGGAAGACTGTATAGAATTGTTTCACAAGAGCGAAATTATGTATGTACTTATATGAAGTTTTGGTAGATATAAGTCGAATCTTCGTACCGCACTGCGCCATTGATCGAAAAGTAATGATATACCCAGTTAGAGTATCAAATATATTATTATATAAGACATCATTTGTATGAAAAATAACTTAATATTTATAAATAATGGCTACTTTTATAAACGTTTCCATTATCTAAACTTATCGGATCATATTCGTCAGAAGGATTTGATTTGATACGTCTATTCACATACTGTAATATAAGTATGAAGAATAAATGAAATTTTATATTGATTTATTACTTTAAATATATTTTTCCTTTTCTTTATTCCTTTTATTTTGTAAAGATATCTCCATTTTACGTTAATTTCGATCGAATAATCTCATTTTGAGTATCTAAAACTTAGTTTATTACTAAAAGAGAATTTCATATTAGCCTAAATTTATTTTTACGATGCCTCCGGGCTCGTAAGCGTTTACGATTATGTTACGCATAAAATATTCATCTATTTTAAGTCGAAATATTCTTTTGAATCGCGCAAATATATTGGAAATATATAAAAGCATTTTTAGCTTCGGCTGTACCGAAACTAATTGTATATATCGGATTTATTACAAATTCGTTGTTTTTAAAGAGAGACGCCAGCCTCGCTGACGTTACTTATGTCACTTCTTCTAGAACGTTCCATGATATTTTAAAATGAAACTTCAATTGTTCTTAATGCTCCTGTATTTCTCGAAGGTTCTTCATAATCACATACTTCGATTATACACACTCACTGAACTCTGTCGTCGTGCGTCCAGACGTCATATTTATACTCGAATTCGAACATAGTTCTATTCTCCTTTTAAACAAACTTTGATTTCGTTTTACTTTTAACAATAATCATGAATACTAATGAGTTTTAATAATAATTGATGACAGGCTCAAGTTATTTTCACGTCTCATTAAAGCTGGTAGAAAAATTAAGCAGCATTTATATGAACTTATAATTGAAGTATTGTTAAAATTATATATCACAGTATCCACGTAATGTTTTGACGAATGGGAAATATGTAAATTAGTTTGTTTCGTAACAAGATTATATCAATTCCGAACTCATTTGAATATTAAATTTCAATTTGTTATATCGATGAAATTATTTGAGGCTATAAATAGCCAATGAAATGATACTGCGGTTTCATATTATTAAAAGCTTTATTTGTTTACAGGAGAAATAAAAATGGCGGGGTCATCGGAAAGATTGCTTTATGACCGTCATGTGGAGTTTGAGGTGGAATATGAGAGGAGACGGCGGCAGGAAACCAGGTTTGAACAAAGATCACACACAAGCCGAGCACCAGAAAGATACCAGGAACGACCTCGAAGGAAAAATGGTTACGTCTTCGAAGACATTTATTCAGATTTTGATGAAGCACAAGGTCGCCTCTCTTTATTCCGACCGATCAGACCCGAATATTTAAATCTGCAAACAACATATGACAATAAATACAACTCGCTGCCTCGTACGTACTACAACGACGAGAGACGGCGTTATAAAAAAGATTATTACGACTTCAGAATCGATGAGAAAGCACCAAAACAATCGTATGAAAAATTTCAATTAGACGAAAGAATCGAACGGAAGAGAAACGAGATTAGGGTAGAGAGGCGAGCGAACTCAAACGAATCAAGAGTTGATAGGAAGCCTAAGAATATAGCTGTCTGTAAACCATTACAGCTACCAGAAAGAAATGCTAGATACTGGACAACAGATCCACCGGGGAAAGACAAAAAACCAAAACGAGATGAGAACAAAAAGATTGTGAAATTCTCAGAAGTCTCTGGCTGCAGAAAAATGGTGATAGATGATCCAGTATGCGGTAGAAAAGTTGTAGCCGTACGAGAGTTAGAAGTTTCACTGGACCAGATGATACAAAACGGTTACTTTGAGAGGCACAACATACCTATACGACTGCCGGAGAAAAAGGAAGAGATAAACGCTCTGCCTAACGGGAAGTGTGTCAGCGATACGCAAACGAGGAAGTCTAGACACTCCAGACATTTACCGCAGGTTAGTTATATATAATAGCTTTCCGCTCAGCTTCGCCCGCGTGGAGTTCGGTTATATCGCGTTTCCAAGAAAACCTTTCAAAAGTCTGGTAAAAAACTATCCTATGTTCTTTCTCAAGGTCAAATCTATGTTTGTACCAAATTTTATTAAAATCAGTTCAGTGGTTTAGGCGTGAAAGCGTAACAGACAAACAGACAGAGTTACTTTCGCATTTATAATATTAGTAGGGATAAACAGCTTACATTATTATTCAAAATAATATATATGTGGGAGGTATGAAAACAAAGTATGGTTGAAAATACGGTCTTATAATGCGATCTAAGATTAAGACAAGCACTCGATGGTAAATGATAAATAATGACAATGACAAGATCAACTGACAGACATTCACATCTCGTCTTCATGATCACGGTTGATGAAAAGTAACCGAAACTTCGGGAGTATGTAGTTTTTTTTTTCTTGTAGTATATCGGCTAAATATTAGTTTCATTTAAATAGTCTTATTATATTTGCCAAACATAACAATCGTCTTCATAACGTCTTTTAATCTTATCAATATTGACATTTTTTTAGTGTTGTTACATTAAACATTGGGTTTGCTTATAAAAATATTAAGAGGTAGAAAATAATAAAAAATCCTCTTCCCACATGTATATTTAAATGATATTAATATTATTCATATTACTACGCGTTTTTTATTATTTTAAACTACATACTCCGGACGTGTCATTTACTTTGCAGCAACCGTGATCACGGGTAGATTTCTATGTAGTTAAAAAAGTAATAAAATAATGAGGAATAATCATAAAATATTAGTTTCATTTAAATGAATACTCGCGAAAGTCTTAGATCTCATTACATATGTTTGGTGAAATTCTGATTATAAATATATTTAACTATAAACATAGCTTCGATTTTTATAATATTTAAGTTTCCTACATAATCTATTTAGATATTAGTATATCAGTAATTACAGTCATTAGGGCTACGGGACGAATAATGGTGGACCCATCGTGATCTCAAGGCATATTATACAACAGGATAACAAAAGTTATATGTTCATACATATATATATATATAGGTATACGTCTTTTTTTCCTTTGAAAAAGAATAAAACTTTAATATGAAAACCTAGAAAATTGTGGTTTTGTAGTTTTACAAACATATTATAATGGTTAATAAAAAAATATTTACTTAACTTTTCTTCTCTTTTCCTGTAATTGATACTTTAAATTATTTTAATGTATTGATTGTTTAGTTTGTTTTTAACTAAATATTTGAAAATAAATAAGTTTAATATAGATACATACATATATGTATACATATATTGCAATGTGTATAAAGTCGGCTCATATTATTTTATGGTTAAACTACTTCAAGGCCGATCGTTTAGCTCTTCATACCATCTTAACCCAATTTTTTAAAAGTTACAATTTCGCAAATATGTATGTTTGATTAAAATCAGGTCAAGATATAGTATCTTAACCTAGAAGTGACTTAAAGACGTTTTAAAGACTTGGTATGATATTTTTTTTAACTAACTCCAAGGTTTCGTATAAAACACAGTTACAGTTACAATAGTTCGTATGAAATAATATGATAATTTTCGTGAGTATTCATTTAAAAGAAACTAATATTTTTAGGATATACTACGCGTTATTTTATTATTTTAAACTACATACTCCCGACGTTTCGGTTACTTTACAGCAACCGTGATCACGGACAGACGGCATCTCGTAAAAATAAAAATCGCCTAGTACATCCGAAAAATATTAATTTAATTTCAATAATATGATGGCTAGAATATTTTTAATTACATTTTCCGTATCTATTTCATTTGTATTTCAACAATTGCTTTATTTATTTAGTGATAGAAAACTAAACAATTGTTGCTTGGAAAATATAAAGAGAATGCTTTGATTAAAAGTTTTTCCAATCACTGCAGGGATTGTTGTTGTTGCTTTATATGTAGTTTACTGATTGGAAATAAATAAAAGTTCTATTAACATGAGAAAATATTTTAGAATAGTTATGCAACTATCAAAATTTTGTACACCGTGAGATAGAAATACGAAATAAATGTTGTAGATTCCAATCATATGATTTATGAAAACGGTAACAAAGTTCAAAATATATAATTACTATTAAAAGACTTTGGCCTGTCCAGAAATAATATCAATACATTCTTTGAACGTACTTCGAAGGCAGCCCCAGTAGGTTCGTTTCAAATTTGGTAGAGAGAGGAGCTTGGACAGTGGAGGTGAGCGTTTAACGCGCGTTAGATAGGGTCCCTTAAACCTACACCTGGGTCGCAAGTCCCAGTGAATACATTGAATGCTAAGAGGTTTCGTTGCATGTAGAATAGAGTAAGAACTTTATTAGCTTATAATAATCAAGATTGGCAATTTAAGTAATACATAAGTTAGGGTATATAGTTTAGGTTATGTAATAATTTTCTTCTATCAACAAAGCGATCTACTAAAATGAAACTAATATTTTATATAACCGTGATCACGGGTGCTGCAAAAATAACCGAAATATCGGGAGTATGTATGGACTATACACTTGTATGACTTGAGCTGTGCTTTATACTTTATTATTTAAGAATAAAAAAATACGCGTTGTAATGCAAAAAATATTAGTTTCATTTAAATGAATACTTAAAGCTTAGTCATTAATCTATGAAGATATATTGGTGTCAACGAATACATATATATACATATATATGTATTACATAATACAATTAAATGTCTCTGATTCAATAATTGTTTACAGTATACAAGCCAGTACGTCTGTCAAAGTCATTCACACGCAACGCTTAATAAATAAAGGATATCATTAAGTCACTCTGTTTCTGTCAGATTATTAATTAGAAACCAGCAGAGTAAGTCATGAGAGGCATAATAAGCATTGCTTCATATTTTTATTTTGTTATCAAACCAAGAATTATTTATTCATTTAATATCTTGGTAGCAATGAAGGATTTTCTTTTCGTATTTTATTTTACGAGTGGTGACTAAGTTATGATGTTATTTTATATAATTCCGGCTAAACTCAAATGATTATTTTTCGTTACTTGGATTTAAAAAAATATTATTATTAAAATATATTACAAGTAAGTTTTATGAGAGGTCCAACTCGTTACTATCATAAAATCTTGCATTTTAAAGGAAAACTATACAGTTTTTGTTCATTTAGTATTGAAATACAATCTCCAACATTATTCCTCTATGCTATCTAATAAGTATATAAGGAAAGATTTAGAAAAATATATAATGGTCAACCCAGAGTAATAAATACACACATAAATCATCATACTTGTAACTTTTTGTACATTTTATTTCCATTACAATAGTTACGGTAACAGATCTTCTTCTTCCTGGCAATATCCCAGCTTTAGGCAGGGTCTGCCAGTTACGGTAACAGATATAAATAGGAACTAAAAGATATAAATAGTATATTCCATAAATTTGGTAGCTATTTCAATACATATAAATAACTAGTTGACCCGGCGAACTTCATACCGCATATCAAGAAATACCTGTTATCTTTCTATCTGAACGAAGTTAATTTATTTATTAAAATAGTGAAATATTCCAGTAATTTTTTCTACTAATTTTCGTAATTTTTATTTACATGAGAACCTTCTCCTAACAATAACCAATACAAAAAGAAAAGAATTAGTGAAATCGGACAAGCCTTTCACGAGTGATGCTGTGACCAAGGAAAAAAGGATTCATTTTTATATATAGGTACTAGTTTTTGCCCGCGACTCCGTCCGCGTTAGTTTGGTCAAGAGTAATATATGTGGGTATAGCTGACCAGGCGAATTCTATTCCGTCTTAGAGGCCATAAATAATCAGGTTTTTCCTGTTTCAATCAAACAGAACGATTGACATATTAGTTAGTTGTCAAATCTAATGTCAAAAAAAAACGTTTGTATGGGAAATAGAAAAGGGCTGTTTTTAGGGTTTTCCCTGGACTTCCAGGAGTATTTCAAGCCTAAAATTAGCCAAATCGGTTCAGCCGTTCTCAAGTTTTAGCGAGACTAAGGAACAGCAATCCATTTTTATATATATAGAAGATATAGAATATAGATATAGATAAAAAGGCTAGAAACATAAATATTATTGTTAATCTGATATAAAATACAATGCTTTGTCTCAGTATGCTAAGAGCACACATTATTTGTATTCATTTGTATGAAGAGTCTCATTTGTTCAGTCCGTGGCATTCTATTGTCATGGCATTAGTGCTTTATGTATTGAAATGCTACAATTATGTTTACTTCCATTTTAATAATAGTATTAATAGATTAAAATAATTCTAATTTTTTTAATTTTTATTTTTTTTTGTCATATTTAATTAAATTACTATTTTAATTTTATTTATATGATATGTTCTGAAGCTGCTTAAAAATGCATTATTTAATACCGTACTATCATTCTATTGTACGCATCTCATTTTTTAAGTGTATTGTATATAAATAATATAATAAAACTTATTGTAGAAAATATTTGAAGTTTAAAAACAATATTCTATTAGAGTCTAGTAGTATGAGCATCTTCTCATATTTTAATTAAATTCTCTTCAATATGAAATAATAATAGCCTTACGTACATAGATGAATTCAAAAAATAAAATATTTAATGAGAATCTAATATATAGAATTGGGAAAATAATTAACAATAATATGCAGTCAATAATAACATATTTTTTATTATGTAATTAAATAATTAATACGAAAAAATTATATAAAGTTGTATAATATACAATTTGTGTTGATCAATCTACCTTTTGACAAAATTTGTATACAATTTAATTTAAAAAATTCATAATAGTGTTATTAAAATTATAATTAGTCGCTATAAGCTTATTAAACGTGTCTAAAAAACAAAGTAAGTCAAGCAAGATTAGAGGCTTAATCAGCATACTCACAGGTCGAATAGAAACTAAATTAATATGAAAGATTTGAAAATCACAAATAGGCTTCTTCTTCTTCATCAGCCTATCAACGCCCACTGCTGAGCAAAGGCCTCTTCTCACATGGAGAAGGTTTGAGCATTAATCACCACGCTTGCTCAAGACGGGTTCATGATTTCAAACTTATAATTGTGAAACTATAAGTCCAGGTTTCCTCACAATGTTTTCCTTCACTGTATGTCAGTGGTGTGTAAATACTCTCAGAAAGTACATATGACTCCAAAAAATCACATTGGTACTTGCCAGGTTTGAACCCGCGCTCTCGGCAACGAGAGGCGGACCCTTTAACCACTTGCCACCACAAATAGGCTTACGAGGTATGAAATAGAAGTGAAATTGGTCATTAACAAGGCTATAAGGAATATACTATATGAAGACTTAATAAGTAAAAAATATATTAAGTTTTATTTCTTTTTGACACTAATTTGCTAATATTAGATACTTTGTGTACACTCAAGTCTTTTTATGCCTAGTTGAGAGATTTTTTTAATGTGCCTAAAATAGATGTAACTTATAAGTTATAAGAATAGGTACAAAAATTTTAGTACTAAATCATTATCTTGTAATTATGTCGGATCAAAAAAGTTTTTTATAAGACATAGGTATATATAAAACTTTCTTTCTTACGTAACTATGTACTTCACCGCTTTTTTTTCTACCCGACGTTTTAATCGCTTTGTAGTAACAGTGTTCATGGGTAGACGAGATGAAAATATCTGGATACTTAAAATAATAAAATTGCGAAGTAAATGAATACTACAATATTAAAATTATTACCTATATCTTATTCTGAAATCTAATGAACACTATTGTAAAGTTTCATCAAAATCTGTTCAGTAGTTATAGCATACAACAGCAACAAACATAGATACATATCACAATGCAGCATTCATTATATTAGAAGGTTTTGTATTAAAACCTATACAACATTTTTCCTTAAACATATTAATATCAAAATGAACATAGGTATTATCTTCATATATGTTTTAAAGCTGCCACAACACGGTCTCTGAAAAGTGACACAAAACCTTCAACCCTTTTTAAGCCGACCTCCACACGGAAAGGCGAAGCATTGCTGACATTTTTAATTTTCCATTAAATTCAGATTATCAACATTTATTACTGTGACAATATTAAAAACAAGTAATAATTAACTTTCTATTATTTATGAGAAGACTATCTATGGAGGTAAAAAAATATGTTTAAGATCAAAAAATCTCGAGATTATTTGTAATAAGTTCCTTTTATTTAAGTTACCTCTAGTTTAAATTAGTCTTCTTGAATAAAATTAAACTATAAACTCTTGGTTTGCCGTTTAAGTTTACTGGTTGTAGGAATACATAAAATATATAAAAAAGGTATAGCATCAGTTTCTCCTACAATTTTATTCGGTTTAAGATCAAATGACGCATTTTATTTAGAAAGTATAGAGCTAACTTAAGGTTGTTTCAGTATGAAGTATTACATAGTTCTTAAATATTCAAGCCCTTATATACAATCTAATTTAGTTAGTCTAAAAACTAAGTAATACTTACTTTATATTAGTAAGAAGGTTCGCTAGACTTTTCAATATTATGTCTCCTCAAACAGGCTTAAACTTACTGTAAAAGAATTAAACTTCCCATTATGATTCAATACTAGATATTTTGTCACTGAAAATCATCGACATAATAACAATTCTACCACTCATACATACATACATATTTGAACTGGTTAAAACATATCCTTTTAAAACCGCAATCGTATAAAATAAAAGTAAGTATAATTCACATTATACGCATCATAATACTATGAATTAATTTAAAATGATATAGTGCTATATATTCTAGGAGTCTTCGTACAAATAAACATTTTCATTTGAAACAACACTTCGTACGTGACATAGAATATTTATTTTTAACGTCGGGGAAATTGCTGTCTTTTGAAACACTAAGAAAAATACATCCCGAGAGGCTTTGTGCTGTTTTAAATTTGAATAAAAACAAAGAGATCGTTTATCTTTTATGGGGAAAGTAAATATTTTCGCTCCGATTACTGTTTAAAATGGAATTATACTAAATTTGGGAAGGAATCGTGAGAATGGATTTCAAAATGATTGTTCAAGTGAGGTCTATATTCGATTAACATTATTCTTAAGATTTGTTTATTTGCTGAGATTAAATTTTTGACAGTTCTTTGTTTTTTTTAAACTGAAAAATGTAATTCGATGATATTTGGCTGTTTAATATAAGCGGTAAAATAGTCCAAAAGCAATTAATTGCAATTAGCTCTAATGTTGCATACTTCTGAAAATATAAAATTACTTTATGTCGTAAAATGATAAGTACATATTTTGTCATATTGATAGTATGATTATGTTTCAAGCATAGAATCTTAACCGTGAAGTAGGAACAAAGATGCGATTAGTTTTTCTCATAACTATGATAAGGTCATAATAATAGCTTAAACTGTAATAATAGCTTAATTGGTAGAACAACAGAATTCTATTCTCTGGAGAATGCAGCTACTAGTCTATATCGTTGGATGAATTTTACATTCCATATTCTCTATAAGAATTTTAATTCTTTTTTTATAAGAAAAATGCTAACAGCTAACAGACTACTTGATGGAACACAGTCACCGTCGCCCATGCATATGATAAAAGATGTTGCGAATGCTTTACCGACCTTGATCATTAGGGGAATTAGAAAATGGTGGGAAATGGGAAAAGCAATTCTATTTCTTCTCTTCTAAATACCAATATTCAATAAAACTACGTGCTGCTTATAAACTAAGCATAACTTGTCTTTGATATTAAAAAACTACTTCATAGTATCTTAATTTCTTTCCCAGGTGTTGGCAGCCCTAGCGGTATCACTGGCTCCATTTTCTGCAGGTCTTGGTAAGGGTTACAGCTCTCCAGCTATAGCGTCACTTCAAGGACCTGGAAACGCCACCAGGAGAGATTTCCAGCTGACAGATCAACAGGCATCTTGGCTAGCTTCGTTGTCTTTTCTCGGTAGGTTTATAAGAAACTTTCTTACTATTGGTTATGAAAGATACATCAAATACAATAATAGTATTTTTTACTTCTATAGATGATTAATAGTTTTTTAATTATGTATAAAAATTTACGAGCAAAAAGTTAAACTGTTACTTACTACAAAAAATTCCTGATTTGGTTTCGAGCTTCAATGAGACACGTTTATATGAAATTGCTATTTTGTTTAGTAACAGACTAATTTAATCGATTTTCAAAGAAAATATAACTGTAAATAATTCTATTGAAGTAATATTTAATTGAAACAAAAGTGTTTGATAACACAGTCTTTATCACGATAATCATATCATATCTTTCAAGAACATATTAATAATTAAAATAATTAAATAATAAATTTAATAAAAAGTGTGCGTTGGCCGGGAATCGAACCCGGATCAACTGCTTGGAAGGCAACTATGCTGACCATTACACCACCAACGCTCGTTTAAACTAAGCGAAGGCTAGTAACAACAGAAACTTCTATAGTACAATAAGATAAATATCATGACTTAGAATTAAAATATGTTTTAGGATGTTACTTTAGATTGCTTAAAGGATAAAAATATTTAACAAAATATAGAAAAAAAGTTTTAGATTTGATAATATCCTTATTACGACTGAAAATATAAAAACGTTGAAAAAAAAACCAATCACTTCAGTAGCCTTACTAATTTCTGTTTTAGCACAATAGTCATTAAGATTCAAATTGAAATAACAAATATATGATCTAAACTTTATCTACAAGCGCTGGATTTGATACAGTCTGCAGAATGTATTTCCAGGTGTTATTATTCTAGTTGTATCTATCTCCAGGTGTATTTTCCAGGTGCTCTGTTCGGTGGTATGGCTGGAGGTGCTGCTATGCGTCACGGACGTCGCCGGGTGCTGTCACTAGCTGCCGCTCCTTGCAGCCTCTCGTGGTTACTGACGGTACTTGCGACATCAGTACGTATGATGTGCATCACGGCATTCCTTGGAGGATTCTGCTGTTCTATACTGACTATGCTATCACAGGTAATATATAGATAATATAAACGAAACCTCTCATCATTCAATGTATTCACGGTGCGTGTGTCGGGTCCATCGTTGTAGTGAGAGGAGCTTCAACAGTGACTGGGACTTGTGACCCAGGTGTAGGTTTAATATATATAGAGAGACGAAACCTCTCATCATTCAATGTATTCACGGTGCGTGTGTCGGGTCCATCGTTGTAGTGAGAGGAGCTTCAACAGTGACTGGGACTTGCGACCCAGGTGTAGGTTTAATATATATAGAGAGACGAAACCTCTCATCATTCAATGTATTCACGGTGCGTGTGTCGGGTTCATCGTTGTAGTGAGAGGAGCTTCAACAGTGACTGGGACTTGCGACCCAGGTGTAGGTTTAAGGGGTCCCTATTTAACGCGTTAAACGCTTAATCTACTATACCCTACTATAATAAGGCTTGAATTTGATTTAATGAGATCTAAGACTTTAGTATTCATTTAAATGAAACTAATGTTTTCGGGAGAGAACATTTACAAATCACATCTCGTCTGTCCGTGATCACGGTTCCTGAAAAGTTACCGAAACGTCGGGAGTATGTCGTATTTAAAAGTTATGAAATATATATAGTAATCCGAAAATATTAATGTCATTGGAATTGATTACTGTAATTCTCATAAATATATAATATATTTATATAAATTTTTCAAATAAATAAACAGATGTTATTTATATATAACCACATATTAATTTTTCGTAAACATTAATCAAATGTTCCAAATTATCCAAATAGCTCAACAAAAACTGTAAACAATAATTCAAAGAAACTCCATTATTTGTGATTCGGAAAGAAAATTAAATTGTTAGCAAAAACAGCATTAGGAAGTTGAACAATAAGAAGAACATTAAGATATTCAAATACGGAGAAAAAGAGACTTAGTAATATTTGAAAGGAAGTAATTTTTCCTCATTCATACCAAATGTGCTCTGACAATAATTTTGAGTTTAAGAAAAGAGATCATTAGCTACTGTAATAGATTTTAAAGTATATTTATAACAAAAGACATTACGTTCTTTATGTTTTACCTACATAATAGTATTCGTACTCGTACAGAACACAGCTTTGTACTCTTGAATAGAAATTAAAAAATATTACAACATATTTTTCCGTTGAATGCAAGCGTTGTTACATATGTACTACAACCATATCGCTATCATTATTCTTCTGTTTAAAATAAACGCATCTGTTTGTCTTCTTCTACCTAGCAATTTCCCAGCTTTAGCCAGGGTCTGCTTTACATGTTGCGAATAGTTTTAGCTAATTGTTTTTACGACCGGCCGCCTGCCTGACATCAACCCTCTTTGGGAATGCATTAATACGTTATGTCTAAATACTCTTAGAAAGTATGTAGGTAGGTACATATGACTCGGAAAAATCACATTGGTACTTGCCAGGATCGAACCCGCGTACTCATGCATAAGAGGCAGGCCTTTTAACCACTACGCCACCACTGACTTCTAAACGCATCTGTTTGTATTTTAGTCTAAATAAGTTTCAATCAAAAGTAATCAAGATAATATCGTTTCATTTGTCCCAAATCAAAGTATACAAAATTAATAGCCGAAACTTCGAAGGACTTTGAAGTGTTTTCTAAATTTAGACCCGGCGTCGCTTCGACTAATTTCGGTATTTCACAAAGAAAAAGTTTAATTTCGACGTTAAGATTATTATTTATTAGCTCAAACAAGGCTTCAGCTTTATCGTAATTTTCTGTAAAACTTTTAATCTGAGGGCCTCTTTTGTGAATTGTAATTAAACATTTTTATTAAACTCTGCTATACTTTGTTTGTTTGTGTTGATTGTATTTATTTTTTTTCCAGGTTTACATAAGTGAAATATCAGTGCCAGATATCAGGGGCTGTTTGAGTGCTGTTCTCAAGATTGTTGGTCATCTTGGAGTGTTATTCAGCTTCACCATCGGAGCCTATCTCGACTGGCAGCAACTAGCTCTCTGTATATCCGCTGCTCCTTTACTTCTGTTCTGCACAGTTCTTTATATACCAGAAACTCCAAGTTATCTCGTCCTTATAGGAAAAGACGATGAAGCATACAAAAGTTTGCTATGGCTCCGTGGACCAAACTCTGACGTTGCTCAAGAATTAGCTACAATCAGAACTAATGTACTAGCCAGTAAAAATTTCAGTCAGCGACAAAGTCAAATGTCCAGCAGTCAACTGATAAGTTCTCTAGACGTTAGAACAATGAATCGTTTGCTTGGACCAATTTTAGTGACGTGCGGCCTTATGATGTTTCAGCGTTTCTCTGGTGCCCATGCATTCTCTTTCTACGCTGTTCCTATATTCAGGAAGACTTTCGGTGGAATGAATCCCCATGGAGCAGCTATTGCTGTTTCATTCGTGCAATTACTAGCATCTTGCCTCTCTGGTTTGTTGATTGATACTGTTGGGCGACTGCCTTTGCTTATAGTGAGCTCAGTTTTGATGTCCATGGCCTTAGCTGGTTTTGGAAGTTATGCTTACTACGAAGAAGTCCACAGGAATCAGAGGATACAGAACGTAATGTTCCATCAAACAGTTGGACAGAATGATTGGATCCCATTGCTATGTGTTTTGGTGTTTACAATAGCGTTTTCTTTGGGCATGAGTCCTATATCCTGGCTGCTTATAGGTGAACTCTTTCCTCTCGAGTACAGGGCTTTCGGCAGCGCGATGGCAACTGCTTTTAGTTATCTCTGTGCATTTGTCGGTGTGAAAACGTTTGTCGATTTCCAACAAGCGTTGGGTTTGCATGGCGCATTTTGGTTGTACGCCTCCATAAGTGTGGGTGGACTTTGTTTTGTTGTTTGTTGTGTGCCAGAAACGAAAGGCAGGGATCTTGATGAAATGGATCCTAATTATGTCCAAAGCCTCTCTCCTAAAAGGTAAGAAAATGGTAATCATCATAAGATCATTATTTGAAAACTTAAAACAATTCCATATTCTATTCCTGGCATATATCTCAATTGTTAAGTTTCGTGTTATTGATAAATATTATATTTTATTTATTCACGTTATCAGTAACTTATGATTTATTTTTAGACAAATATTTTAAATTATTTTCATTATATTTGACCCTAACAATTAAAATTATCAAAATTTACCATATCCTCTACATATCCTCAAAAATCCATATCGGAACATATTTTTCTTAGGATTTCTTATATCTTTACGTATGTTATTAAATCTCGTGAAAAAATAATATTATGAATATATTTTTATGATTAAATCTTCTAGTCATATATTATTCCAAAATTAATGAGAATATTTTATCTTAATACCTCATCTCTTCCAAAATATGTTATATTTTTTCTATACACCTTCCCCACCATTAAACGATATTTGGAGTATATAATAGAAAATGTATATGACAAAATAATATATGAAAAAAGTCAACATTTTTACATAATAGGTAATTCTACAATCGAATGGGCTCTCGTTTACCGTAGTCAATACATTTTAAAGACAATTTTAATCGAGCTTTTTTATCTATAAAATACGACAATACTTTAGACAATAAAATATTCTTCAAGCCACGTCTAACTATACATAAAACTATTTAGTTACTACTATATAATTCTTGTAGTTTTGTGGCATTAGAGCTCCTTGCAGTAGCATTTATTCTCCCTTTTAAATGTTTTCCACTGACAGTAATTTCACAGTTAATGGTTTATTTTTAATTAAAAACTAATGAGTTTTACTAAAATTAATTTAAAATTATTAATGAAGTAACCAATAACTCTCTGCATAACCATAGATTATAAAAAAATGGTAATGTCAAAAAAATAAAATGTAGTGACAGATTGTTGACTTAGAAAACTTCTTAAATGAAAAGTATTTGAGAATAATTAATTTTAATCTCATAATTCCTATCAAAGGAATATTTTATTTATACACATAGTTCCTTTTCTGTGCTAAATATATTCTTATATTATACATATGTTCAAATATATTGTTGTTGCTTCAAAAACCTTTAAGATTCGTTACATAAAGTCTTTAAATATTTTATTGATTATATATTAGAATACTCTTTCTAGTAAATAATATGCTAAAATTTATTTTAAAATATTTTGTTTAAGGTATTTTTTTTTTATTTTAAACTTATATAAAGTGACATATTGCAAACAAAAAATATTATTGTAATAAGAAAAGATGTAAGTAGGTTACATTGCTAAAAAACTAACTTCAATAGTATTCTTTCTCAATACAAAGCAAAAAAGGAATTGCTAAACTCTTTTTGTAATAACGCCTGTGAATTAAATATAGCAATTTGTTAGATGTGCAAAATTGCATTGTAGACAATTTTTGCTTATAAAATAATAAGGCTGTAAAAAAGATTCGACCGCCATATTTATCCCACAGATTAAATAAGAAATAGATTAAAATATATTTAAACTTCCAAAAACGACAATTTCTAAAAGATGTCCATTATAAAAAATGCCTTTATTAGCTTATGCCAGCCAATGCGGACCGATTATGATTTTTAATAATTATAAGACATTGTATGTAATTATTACGAAAAAACATATTTTAATATGAAAATATTATTCACCTACGAAATATATTAATATTTTGATTTGTAACATAACAAATTTGGTCTGTATTAAAAAATACATTTGTGTGTAATAACCATAACATTTTAACATTGTCAAATTAAACTCAGTGCAAAGTTTTCATTCAAATACCTAATTTAGGTATATGGAGTTCTAAAGGTGGCACTTCACTTGGCGTTTATTTGTTGTTCGGCCAAATAAGATCATGTGTGGAGGATTTATTCGTCTTCATTTGACATATTTGCACAAATAACACACATACACAAATAAGCTAAAACGCGTAAAGACATGTTGGCACGCCAAGTGTGGATGTCGTGTTTGCGCTATTTGGACTAGGTACAAATATTAGGTCAAATGAGCGAATACGCAACGCCAACTGAAGTGGAACCTTAAGAATAGAATACTTTGAACTATTTATAATTAGTTTGACGATGTGATTTTGTTTTGAAGTTTCAAAGCAATTGGAATAAATAGAAAAAAATAGATTTATATAGAAAACTCAAAGATTTCTAAACCACATATAAAAATAACATGTTAACAAATTATAAAATTATATATAAATGAATGTTTTACAAAAAATGTATGTAGAAATGCCAGTAATTTATTTATATTGACATTTAATCGGGGTGACATTTGTTTAAACCTCCTTTCAATATGACGTTTGAACAGATGCTTAATTTTTTAATCTACAAAATGATGAAAAAAATCAAATAGAAAATAGAAGATGGTAGATGTAGATTAAAATCACAATCAAATAATATAGATAATGTAATAATAGGTTGTGAAATTATACAATTTCGACTTTTTATATTATAGAATTAGTCATTGGCTTAAAAACGTTGAATAAAATGCTTGCTCATTAAATATTTCTTTATAAATATATATTATATAATGCTGTAAAGGACTTATTTGTTCTTGAAAAAATTGCTCTTTTTTAATCTTTTTTATTTAATTAATAGAAATTGTTAGTTGAAGTAAATGTTTTGTATTTTAGTTGTATTTGATGTTCCGAACGAATATATTATTAAACTAAAAAAAATATGTCTAAGTTACGTTTAAAAATATAAAGAATTCTTTCTCAGGAGTGCTTTAATATTGAAAATTAGTGCTAATGCTTAGCCTTTTAGCTATCGTAATGTATTAGAAGTGTGCCTGCTATAGAATATTTCCCAATTATAGTTGTAGAGACTACTGAGCTGTGTTTAGAATAATAATAACGAACAATACTTACAGTCTTATGGGTGTGTTGTGAAAAAACTAACTTATCGTGTAAATACTGCCATCTATTGAGTTCTGAAGGAGTTGGTTTTACGCCAATAGATGGCGCTGTTTCAAATAATTTTATTGTATAACAAATTTCATGACGCCATTCGTCCATAACTGTTTACAAGAATTATTTGTTTTTCTATCATTAAATATAAAAATCTCAGGATCAATTTATTGTAAGGTAGAACGTAATTAAGATAGAAAGGCTTTAACTAGCTTAGAAAATCCTTAAAGACTTTAGGGTACAAATGACAGCTCAATGTCAATATTATAACAATTTTTTAAATTATAAACAAATTTTTCTTCTTATTAGCAACGAAATATTTAAACTTTATATATGAATAAGATCTTTATATGTTACAAACAGATAACCGTATTAAATCAGGTTCTTGTATGATTACTATATCATTGAAAAAATTGAATATATCATAAAAACCAATACTGATAGAAAACAGTGGAAGTGTTTCTAACATAATAAAGATCTAATTCCTATTTCTTAGCTTCTATAAACAGTAAGTGAAATGACAATACAATTTTCCGACAATAACTATTATTAGAAATTCTTCTATATTGGAATGGAATTTATATTATATTCATAGATCGATGTATTGCTGAGATGCCTAAATATATGATGGTCTAGATTTGTTGTTTTATTTAAACAAAACCTTACGTTATTCTATGTAATATACAGGGTGACTGGTGAATTACTATCAATATTTAAGGAGCATACTCGGTACATGATTCTCATTCGAATTATGTAAATAAATAGGTACTTAAATTTTGACCAAATTTCCGTATAAATAAATAAAGTGTGTACACGTTCCAAGTGTTCCTAGTGTGGACGCGTGCGGCGGCGTGCTGATACAACACTACGCCGCCGCGCGCGTATGTGTGAGTGCGTGTGTATACCTAATCTGTAGGGTGCTCATACGATGCGTAATTAATTACATAACTTTTGGTTAACTTTACTTAGAAGTTTATTAATATTTATGTTATATTAATTTTTATTTTGTCATATATGATCGTCAAATATCACGTCCTAAAATATCGATAGTAATTCACCAGTCACCCTGTATATACACGAAGAACCTCTAGAAGTCTCTTATGCCTAGCACAAACATACATAGTCACAATACATACGAAGCTTTTTCTGATTCTCATTAAATAATCTAAATTCTAACTTAATACTATAATCTCTCAAGATTGAATGTTAACTCTATGTATTGTATAGTACTTGGATATGAGCATATAACAGATAAGTTTAAATAACTTTGCTATGTGCGTCAAACAACGAAAATGTGTGATGTCAATTATTGTCATCTTAAAATCAGAATAGAAAACAAGATGGCGGTCTAAAATATAATTTTAATCAATAGTATAGTGATATCGTTAATAGTGCTTTTTCCCCTTTTTTTTACCGAATTTCCTCATAAAGAGAGATAATTTTTCTTATTAGTGTACAGTTGTTACTCACATAACAATATTTACTGCCATCTATTGAATGTCAGTGAAAGCGTTACGAGAAATACGTAACTAATACTTAAACATTTTGGTACTTACAAAATATCAATAGATGGCGCAATAGTAAGTCAGGTTGCACATGAAATAAACTTCATGATTTCTTGGCATCTAGCCAGACGCAGTATATTGTGTTTTTTTAGGATATAAAAGGACCTAAAAAATATGCTCTTTTATATTTCTTCGAGGTTATATTTTCGGTAAAAGTGATAGGATAAATTGCTTGAGTTGTATTGAAGGAATTAATGCATATCTTGTATTTACGTTTAAAAATTGATACAAACCAGTAATATATTATATGTGTCTTCATAGCATAATGCTTAAAAGAATGATCAATGTACTGCATATTTATTGATTAATAACTACGAGTTTGATTTAATAAAAGAGATTATGCAATGAAGACAGTAAAAGAGACGACTAACGAAAACTATATATTGCCTAATAATAAGAAAAGGGAGAGGAAATGAAATGTAAATGGAATGCTCTTATTACTTATAGATTAAAGATATAACGACTGAACGGAACATAATCATCGATATTATTCAGTTTATTTCATACGTGGGATAACAATAAAAATTACTTTGTACAAGGGGAAGTTACTGAAAGAAAAAATATTCTCCATCTAAACTAAACGATCATCAAAAATCTGGTGCTACGCTGACAAATAATAAAAGGTAGAAGAAAGGTTATACAAAACAGAAATTTCGGATAGGTATATAGTTATATATAATTTGAAGTCATTTGACGACTTTATTAATTTGAAGTTTAAGGTGTATAAAATTAAATAAATTATAATAAACAGTTAATTGGAAATACTAGTTTATAAAATAATTCTAGACTTTTGATATATCTAGACTGAGACGGTATGAAAGTTGATAAACTAGATCTATGATTAATATACAAAATACATCTTTTACGTCATGAGCATAAGTCAGAAATAATCTGTGATAGTCTAAGATTTAAGAAGATATTCTAATCTATACATATTTATATGAAAAATTATATAATAATTATTTATTTCATTTCTATTACTGATACATTAAAAACTATCATATATTTGTAATAGCAATCGATTAAAAAGTACGTCACATGACCTCTAACGATTCAAATTTATTTATGAAACGAAAAAATCAGGGTCAAATAAACAACTAATAAATTAATTAAACGCGGAATAAATAAAAGGTTAAAGATATTATTATAGAAGCATAGTATGTAAATTATTTTTAATTGTTTTATAAACTAGTTATAACATAATATTATGTTTTTGTTTATTAATTCAAACTTATGTTTGTCAGTTGAACAATTTAAATCGTAAGGAAAGGACGTACGTGAATGTAAATGAATTTACAATTTAAGTGACGAAATGTTATTCTTTCTAGTTTTCTGGTGAATATTTTGTGTTTGTTTATCAAGTGACGCCAGCTGTTTTAATTAAAAGGTGATAAAAAAACTATTATTACTTTACTTGTATCTATTTATATGTCTTTTCTATAATAATTTCTTTTTATTTATTCCATATAAATTAAATTATAAAGTTCTGTAGACATGTTAACAGAAATGACGAGTAGATTAGATATAAATTTTGTGATTTTTCTATATCAAAAAATTCCCTACATATTACAATATTACTTAATTTAAATTATGTGTTCTCTTGCATATAAAAATCTTTTTAATATAAAAACAATACGAACAAAGTAGGGTAGTTCAGCTAGTGTAATAAATAAATAATTTCTTTATATTCTAGATGAAATTCGTAATTAATTCAGTGTTGGTGTGTTCTATCGCTGTCGCAATATGTATCATCATGAAACCAGTATACTTTGGACCCCCAAAACCATTAGACCCTGAAGAATGGTGGGGTCATGAAGATTTACGATCAAATCAGGATACTAGTATAAGACCATTCAAGATCAATTTTACTACTGAGGTAAGATTTACTAAACTTTGAATGAGAAATGAAAAATAATTAAATTTATAAAGTACATATATAATATGTATATAATACTAGCTTTCCGCCGGCAGCTTCGCCCGCGTGGAGTTCGGTTATATCGCGTATCCAAGAAAACCTTTCAAAAGTCTGGTATAAAACCTATCTTATATTCTTGCTCAAGGTCAACTCTATGTCTGTACCAAATTTCATTAAAATCAGTTCAGTGGTTTAGGCGTGAAAGCGTAACAGACAGACAGAGTTACTTTCTCATTTATAATACATATTAGTAGGGATTAGTAGGGATATAATTAATTCTATGATAAATGAAACTAATATTTTTTTAATACTAAGTACATCATAATCATCAGCCAAAAGACGTCCAGTGCAGGACATAGGAAATATGTATAAGTACGCGTTATTTTATTATTATGAACTACATACTCCCGGCGTTTGGTTACTTTTCATCAACCGTGATCATTAAGACGAGATGTGATCACGGTTGCTTCAAAGTAACCGAAATTTTGGGAGTATGTAGTTATAAAAATAAGAATATAACGCATACTAAATTTTCATTTAAATGAATACTCGCGAGTATTACATCTTATCTATACTAATATTATAAAGCTGAAGAGTTTGTTTGTTTGTTTGTTTGAAAGCGCTAATCTCCGAAACTACTGGTTCGAATTGAATAATTCTTTTTGTATTGGATAGTCCAGTTATCGAGGAAGGCTGTGAGCTATATAACATCACGCTACGACCAATAGGAGCAAAGATATAGTGGTAAATGTGTAAAAAACGGGAGAAATTATTTCATCTTTGAAGCCTTCCGTTGCGTGCGCCGTGTAAACAGTTCAAGATACACAAAAAATATGTATCAAAGAATAATAGCTCTTTTAATGATCTAAAAAACAGTCCGCGACAGTATATGTCTATCTTTTAAGATTAACTCATAAAAACCGTTTTTATGGTACCTAATTTGGTCGAAATAATTTGTTTAAGTTGTATCAACATAATAATATTAGTCTTTATTCAAATAAACAAATAAATATGTTGTTGGTTAAGAGTACTTCATTTTAAATAAAAAAAACATAGGTTTTATCCTGAAAATTCTACCGGAACTCGACCATTCCGAAAACCCCGCAAGAACGGGAACTATGTGGGAAGAACCAAAAATCTTCCGGAAGTCACTATTCCACGCGGACGTAGTCGCGGCAAAAGCTAGTTACATATAAAATATGTTTAACCAATTGTATTAATAATTGTAGATGATAAAGGATCTCAAATCCCGTCTGTCGAACCACCGTAAGCCGGCCCCCGGTCTGGAGGGCGCGGCGTTCAGTTACGGGTTCAACAGTGGCCGGTTGTCGTGGTGGACTCAGTACTGGTCGGAGAAGTACCCCTTCAGTGACCGGGAGCAGTTCCTCAACAGTGTGCCGCAGTACGTCACTAACATACAGGGGCTGGACGTGCACTTCATCAGGGTCAAGCCTAAGGTATGACGTAGTTAAGAAACATATAGAAAATATATAAGGTAGGTTTATAGCTGACTATTGAAAGAAACTATCCATGATTAATGGCTTTTCAGAATAATTAGACCAATAAAAATTACGAATATAAGTTTAAAGTTTTAGCTCACATAAAGACCTATTTCGATCACAACAAACTGTTATATATTTCTCTTATTTTTTTAGCTGTATTCTTATGGGTTGATAATCTAATTCCTTTTCATCAGGTTTCCAAAGAAGTCACCGTTGTTCCTCTCCTACTGCTTCACGGCTGGCCTGGCTCTGTGAGAGAGTTCTATGAGGCGATACCACTCTTGACGAAATATTCTGATGACCACGAATTCGTTTTCGAGGTCATTGCCCCCAGTTTACCTGGATTTGGATTTTCACAGGTATATTAGGAATCTTAACTTGCTTTATATTTTCATAGATACAAAATCTTGATTAAAGTATCCTTTAATAGTATTAAATTAATGCTTCTAGAAGATTTACAGTAAAAACATTTAAATTTAAAATCAATGTAAAGAACTTATTGACACAAGCAGTATTCAAACCTGCAATTGAAGAATATTGCATTAAAATATTAGTTTAAGTTGTGGCCTAGAGGTTAAAAGGCCCGCTTCTCATGCATGAGGGCGCGAGTTTGAAACCTGACAAGTATTAATGTGATTTTTCCGAGTCATATGTACTTAAGAGTATTTAGACATCACTGACTAATGAAGGAAAACATCGTGAGGAAACATGGAATTTTTGGAAATAAAATTTCACAATTATAAGTTTGAAATCTCCAACCCGTCTTGAGCAAGCGTGGTGATTAATGCTCAAACCTTCTCCATGTGAGAAGAGGCTCAGCAGTGGGCTCTGATAGGCTGATGATGAATTGTTATAAGCCTTATACTATTTAATATTTATTTTCCTTCATTTCCAGGCCTCAATTCGCCCTGGGCTAGGACCGTATCAAATGTCAATGATCTTCAAAAATCTCATGAAACGTTTGGGTCACGAGAAATTCTACATTCAGGGAGGAGACTGGGGAGCCGTGATAGCAAGTGCAATGGCTACATACTACCAGGAAAATATACTTGGATATCACTCAAACTTGTTGTTTGTTCTTGTAAATATGTATTTACTTTTAATCATCTTATTAGATTGTTATTACAAAGGCGATATCTACTTAAGTCAAAATTTTACTATGGATATAGTTTCATTTTCTGTGTACGTAGTTATGTATAGAAACCTAAATAGCGCATAAATTATTCCATTAAATGAAACTAACATTTTTCGGATGTACTACGCGATTTTTATTTTTGATAAAAAACTATATACACCCGTGATCACGGTACATTTAAATCGCGTATTCATTTAAATGAATACTCTCGAAAATCTTAGATCTTATTATCCCATTATCCCATAGAAAATGAAGCTCAAAGTTTGGAGCGTAATAAACCCGCCATTATCATGTACTGTTGAGGAATAAATGAACTTCACAAAAGACTTTTTTCAACACAAAATTCAATTAAATGGGTATTGCAGCCTTTGACATTAGATGACTATTTTATCGGTCATATCGTCTTCAGGGGGCACTTCACTTGACGTTACGTATTCGCGCATTTGTCCAAATATTTGTACGTAGTCCAAATAGCGCAAACACTACATCCACACTTGGCATGCCAACACGTCTTTACGCGTTTTCGCTTATTAGTGTATGTGTCTTATTTGTGCAAATATGTGAAATGAAGACGAATATATCCTCCACACATGGTCTTATTTGGTAACACAACAAATAAACGACAAGTGAAGTGCCACCTTAAAAGCTTTGGAATTGGGTATAAAGATCACGTGACTTCACACATAATAAATATGATGTTATCTTATTCTTAAACTGAGTAACATAATTTTAAAGTTTTATTACATTAGTAATATTTGTGGTTTGTGTATTGCTGTACGATTTAGTAGTTTTTGTGTGACAAGCAACAGAATTACTTACAAACGTTGCCATTTATAAAAATAAACTAATTTGAAGGTAGCCAGAGATTAATAAATTCAAGCGGAATTTCCACATCTATAAAATTTTATACTATTTTGATATTTAATAATACACATTGCGCTTGTATTTTTGTGCCACTTAAAGTAGCTTCTTCAATTTCCATATTTATTATCCATAAACTTCTTTAATATAAAATAATGTATTTTTTCCTACCATGTTCACAGAACGGCTGTTCTATGATCAAAACATTAGTCGGAGCTGTTCTACCTTCACTAGTTGTGGAGCCCGACCTCGCCTCTAGAATGTATCCTCTATCATCATATTTATCTTTCTTGATGGAAGAATCAGGATACTTTCATTTACAAGCGACTAAACCTGACACTATAGGTAGGTTTATTTTGTTATACACAATTTTTAACTTAATAGGTAATAGAGCCTAGCTGTGGTCAAGTTACTACAGCTCGAACGTGTGTTGTCTCGACCGGGGAAGTACCACCCTCTCACAGAAGATCGGCGTGAAGTAGTCTTTAATGGCTTCGTTTCGTATGATGAGTGAGAGAGACGGTTGCTCTTTCCCTCTTCCCACCCTTTCCTTGTATTTCCTTATTCCCATCCCTCCCTATCCCTAAAAATAAGGATGGCAACGCATCCGTAACGTCTATGTAGCGGATGTTCATGAGTGACAATCACTACTGCCTATTAAGTAGACCGTCAGCTAGTTTGCCACCTTTTACATAAAAAAAACCTTGTATTTTGAGCCCGAATTAGCATCAATAAGTACCAATTCCAAGTTTACTTTATGCGAAGATTTATAATGACAAAACTATAAACGCTACCTATCCCTACTAATATTATAAATGCAAAAGTAACTTTGTTTGTCTGTTAGGCTTTCACGCCTAAACCACTGAATTGATTTTAATGAAATTTGGTACAGACATAGAGTTGACCTTGAGAAAGAACAGGATAGTTTTTATCCCAGACTTTTGAAAGGTTCTCTTGGAAACGCGATATAACCGAACTAAACGCGGGCGAAGCTGCGGGCGGAAAGCTAGTTTATTATAAATTATAAGCCTGTGCCAACGGTAGTGTTTTATTTATGATAAAATTCATTGCGTAATGATATCTTAGATTTTGCATGTATTCATTTAAATGAAACCAAGCTTATACTACATACGAGTTTTGTATTATTTTATATCCACATAACTATTTCCGTTACTTTATAGCAACCGTGATTATTTACAGACGAGATGAAAAGAATTATATAGTAGTAAAATAATAAAAAAGCCTTCGTTTTATTTAAAATGAATGTAATTTTTTCAGGTATCGCACTATCAGATTCCCCTGCCGGCCTTTTGGCGTATGTATTGGAAAAATTTTCAACTGGTACTATGAAATCAAACAAATTTCTTGAAGATGGAGGCCTTTCACTATCTTACACGAAGGAACAACTTATTGACAACCTCATGATGTACTGGATCTCAAACTCAAGTATAACAGCATCAAGAATTTATATCGAATTCTTTCAGATAGATAACATTTTAATGGTTCTGGACAAGTAAGTATAATGACTGTTAATAACTATTATTCTACTAGCTGACCTGGAAAATTTTTGTCATATCAAAAAACAGGGGTTGGTGATAAAAAATAAATTTCAGGGTTATATGAATTTTTTTATGCTACGTTATAAATAAATAAAAACAAGGGAATTCGTTCAAAAATTTAATAAAAATATTTAAGGGTGAACAACCCTTATTACTTAAGGGTATGAAAAATAGATAGTAGCCGATTCTCAGACCTACTGAATACTCATATAAAAATTGGTAAAAATTTGTAAAGCTATTTCAGAGGAGTAAGGTAACTAACATTGTGCTATGGAAATTTTATATCTTACTAGCTTTCCTGCCGCAGTTTCGTTCGCGTGGAGTTCGGTTATATAGCGTTTCCAAGAGAACCTTTCAAAAGTCTGGCATAAAAACTATCCTATGTGCTTTCTCAAGGTCAATTCTATCTCTGTGCATAATTTCATTAAAATCAGTTCAGTGGTTTAGGCGTGAAAGCGTAACAGACAGAGTTACTTTCGCATTTATAATACATATTAGTAGTGATATTAATTTTAAACCTAATTGCATATATACTAAAAAGTTATTTATTAATGCAAAAACATTTCAGAACACCAACGAAAGTACCAACTTGGGCTCTTCAAGCAAAAAATGAAATTATATACCAACCGGAGAATATATTGAGATTGAAATATGAAAATCTTCTAGGTGTTACAATACTTGAAAATGGAGGTCACTTTATAGCTTTGGAGAAATATGAAGAATACTCACGTGACTTGTATAGAGCTGTTACAGCTTTTAGAGATTATCATAGAAGAAATCATTAAGTTTGGTAGATTTTATTGGCTTTAGGATGCAATAATATAATGTTATATAAAAAAATCATTATTTTTTTATGTTGGTAATATTGATTTATATTTAATTATTATTGTAAATCAAAGCATATTATAAGAGAGAGAGAAAGATAATAAAAATAATTATATTTTATATGCAATACCAATACACTTATTACTTAATATACTGTTTATTTCAATAATAGTTTTCATTTTAGTAAATAATCTTCTTTGAATGTATAAAAGTATTCCTTTATAATAAAAAAAATTATAAAGAGAGAAACAGTTCCGCTATTTAATCCTCGTAATGCTTAATAAAAAGTTAATCGAAAGTAATTTAATATTTTAAGAACCAAAACAAAATTTTCAGAACAAACTGATTAAGGGATTAAACGGCGTTTTATTTTCCTTGTTTTTTTAATCTTTTACTGAGATAAATTAGGATTTATGTAAAATAACTTCTATACGCATAAATATAAGGTACGCATTTGATTGGTGATAGTACCTGAAACAATTACATCTTGAATGGCAATACTCTTGGTAATTCCTGATAATTAAACTTATCTTTAACTAGTTTTTACTCGCGACTTCGTCCGCGTTAATTTCGGTATTAGTAATATATGTATGTACATATAGCTGACCGGGCTAACTGTATTCCGCCCTAGAGCACGTAAATAACCAGATATTAGAATTTATTGAGTATTTTTTCTCTGTTTCGATCGAACAGAATTACGAGTAAATATCTTTTCACACCCTGGCTGCGAAGAGTTGCGGCTAGGTGTGCAATGGCAACTGTGATTTTTTAGAATTTTCATATAAATTACTATCATATATAGATTTTTTATTAAAAAAATAAATAAACGGTATTTTTCCCAAAAATTAATTAAAAATAATGGCTGCCAAACCTAGTAAATATATGTTCTCCTAAATATAAATAAATATAAAAATTTCGTTTTAAACAAATAACCGATGAACCAATCGTGCAGTGAAATCTCGAACTATTAACTTTAGGCCACCACGATCGCTTAATTTTTTATTGAATTTTTATTTCCCAATAATATCAATTTCAATGCTTTTTTATCTACAAGCTAATAAAGCCGAAATGACTTTCAATGAGTGTATTATAGGATTATTGCGTGAGGGTGTGAATCGCTTCAATATTAGGGGCAGTCTGTGGGGTTCAGATAAAATAACCATTATATTATACTAATAAATATCTATTACTGGTTGAATATATGTTAACAATTTGTTTTAGGGTTCAAATCTGTTACTATAAAATATTGCTTTAATTTGGAGGCCAGAATACAATATTAATATATATTTTTCAAACAATATGTGTATATTGCAATTCATTTTATTGGTCATATATGCCATAATGTAAATTTTTCTTGCGTTTAATGTCATAGTAATATGAAATATAATGTTTATATTATATCTACATCATAATTGTTTTATATCTATAATTATTTTTCGCTTCAATAAAATAACAAATCCCTATTTGAGCTGAGAAGAGCCAACCCTATTTGTTGCCCTTATCAGCGCTACGCAGACGTCTGAGATTGAAATAAAGCTTCTTCAGATTGACAGCGTTTAAAACGCTTGATGGAAAATGTTTTGATATTTAATTTAAGCAATAATAAACGCTTGTACGTCTGAAACACCAGAAAATTCACCGAATGGGTAAGAATTTTACTACTCAGAATTAAACATATAGATATATATTTTAATGTTATAAAAGTAAAAATATATCTAATTGTTTGGTACGATACTTATGTAGCGTGGCAACTGTAGGTTGCAGGAAAACTACGAAATTTACATATATATATGATAGAAATTACATATTTAAACTTATAACCTACACCTAAGACTACATGATTGTACCGATGTTAGAATATCAATACCATTCCATATCTTGTGTGTATCAGGAATCTTCTGGTTCACACGGCTTGGTGTTCGTTCCGCGGAGTCAGCAGCGTCACTCGTTATATGATATTTTATCTATACAACGATGTTGACCCGGCTTGTTCGTTTAATTTTTAACATGTTGAGCATACGTGACCCTTTTAAAATTTATTGTAATTACTCCATAACTAACATTAATTCATTCTTGGGACGTACTTCGAAAGCAGCCCTAGTAGGTTTTTAAAATTTGGTTTGGTAGGGAGAGGAGCTTGGACGATGGACGTGAGCGTTCAACATGTGTTATAGATAGAGGCCCCTAAACCTACACCAGCACGGTGAATACATGGAAAGATGAAAGGTTTCGTTTGTGGTCTTAGTATCGAACCAAATATTTAAATCCAAAAATTAATCTGATCTTAATTTCAAGTTAAATAAGAATATATCTTACCAAATGAAATAAGGATGTTGTATGATATTAAAATTGTTAAACTAATTATTAAATTATGCCTTTCCATAGTAAGTCTCTGCATATGTATTATTACTTTACTACATGTAAATCTATAGTCTATAATAGCTCAATAAATATAAAATGCTCTGTGATTCTGTGGTGTAACAATTGTAGTTTATTTTCACCAAATCTCCTTTATTTAATAATAAAGTTATCAAAAATAAAACATAAATACATATATTAAATCAGTTTATTAAAAAATATTAATAAAACAAAGGAAAATCTTTCATAACAAACAAATCACAACTCCGTCTTCGTTTTATGAAACTCTCTGAAGGCTTTGACGGCTTTAAAGACGTCTTCAGCAAAGACTTTCGGCATTTCGAAGGCAATGAAATGACCACCATCATCTAAGACAGTTACTCCAAGGAGATTGGAGTATTTTGACTTTATCATGTGTGGTGGTTGATAGAACAGCTCGTTTTTAGCTTGAAGCGCCCAAGCTGGGACTGATGAAGAGTATCTGGAAGAAATAATTGCTCAATATACAGTTTCAGACCTAATTCTTAATGTTTAGTTTTACTTCCAGTCCTACAAAATGGCTGAAGTTCATAGTTTTCAAATACAAGTTGATATTAATTACGTTGGTTCAGTATCATAATTAATTATGATTACTCATAAATATAATTGTGAGGATTATAGTATTTTATAATTAAAATTAAGTAATAAAAAATACTACCAGGTAACGGCTTTTTTTTTTGTGTAAAAATGGCCAATTTAACTTCTAGTTCCAATAGACGACGCAGATTTTTTTTTAATTTATTTCATAACATGTCATATTAAAGTAATATAGAAGAAGATAGCAGAATTCTGTAATATGTGATTATAGCAACTAATAGACAGTTAAAAGTTTTGTCAAAAACTCTGAAAATTGCTACAATTAATATAGGTAAATTAAGATTAATCATAGAAAATTCCTATATACATATATTATAGTACCTTCCAATATCAAGGGCTCGGTTTTTGTTGCTCATATTTTCAGCATACAGTCTCATAGATGTGGTAATAGAATTTGAAGTCCAGTACATCATGAGGTTATCAATCAACTGATTGGCTGTGAAGCGGAAGGTTAGTCCGCCGTCTTCCTTCAAACGGTGTTCCATTCGAGTCCAGGATGAGAATTTCTCCAGAATATAAGCTGCCAGACCAGCAGGAGAATCAGATAATGCTACACCTGGAAAAAAGAATAGATATTGTCTACACTACCAGTGTCAATTTCGTTATGAGCTAAAGCAACTTTACAGTAGCAATTTTCTTTCCAGTTTCATATCGTTATGGGCCCATAGCAACAATAATAAAAAGTAGGCACTTAAAACTTTAAATTCATTTTTAAAACTCACCAATTGTGTCTGGTTTTGTTGCTTGTAAATGGAGATAACCAAATTCCTCTAGCAGATAAGAAATGTATTTCGTGAGAGGATACATTCTGTCAGCGAGATGAGAGTCGACTATCAAAGACGGAATGAATGCACCGATCAGTCTTTTCAAAGTGGAACAGGTATTCTAAAACAATAATGATTAATAAAGGACATCATTTCGATTTTGTATATTTTTGGTCCAAATATAAAAGTGCTGGCCAATAAATAAATATGCTGTATTCCGTTAGAACTTGTCTCCATGTTTTATTATTATGACACCAAAACTGTACGGTCAATGGTCATTGTTCTTGGTTTTATTGGAGTTTAAAATTCAACACCTTCATACATTTCTATTACAATTTTAAACATCCACGAATTTACAGTATAAAAACTATTATAGATATTGGGAATTTTGCAATTTTTGGTAAATTTTAGTGTTGCTATATATTTTTTTTATCTTTCTTGTATAGAATAAAGAACGAACCTCAACCATCAACATGTTAGAATGCATGCCCAATATTTCATTTTGGAACAAAGTTGCCATAGTGTCAGCAATAATCGCTCCCCAGTCACCTCCTTGGATGTAAAACTTTTTATGACCCAATCTGTTCATGAGATTCTTCATGATCACCCCAATTTGGGCTGCCCCAAGTCCAGGGCGAACTGCTCCCTGTAAATATAAGACGTAATATTAAAAATAAAACTAATATTTTTTCCGATTCACTGCGCATGATCAAGATTGTTGCAAAGTTATCGAAACGTTGGGACTATGTTTTTAAAAAGAATTATTATAAATCTGAAAAATCTTCGTTTTATTTCAATGGATACTCGCGAAAATCTTATCGTATGCAATATTAGAACTGTATATACTGTATATACTTGTTAAAAAAATATAATCAATATATCAAACACAAGATAGGGATAATTTTATTTACTAAAACCACCCTCAAATTTTACTAACCTGAGAGAATCCATAACCAGGTAAACTGGGAACTATGACTTCGAAGACAAAGTCGTAACCCTCAGTTTGTGTTGTCAGAAGAGGGATGGCCTCGTAGAACTCTCTCACAGAGCCAGGCCAGCCGTGAAGCAGTAGGAGAGGAACAACGGTGACTTCTTTGGAAACCTGATGAAAAGGATGATTTTCTTTAAATAAGAATGTAGTTGAAATAAATAGAGAATATATAACAGTTTGTTGTGACCGAAATAGGTCTTCATGTGAGCTAAAACTTTAAACTTATATTCGTAATTTTTATTGGTCTAATTATTCTCAAAATCCATTAACCAGGCACAGTTTCTTTCAATAGTCAGCTATGAATCTACCTTATATTATAATATTTGTAATATGTTTATCGGTAACTACGTCATACCTTAGGCTTGACCCTGATGAAGTGCACGTCCAGCCCCTGTATGTTAGTGACGTACTGCGGCACACTGTTGAGGAACTGCTCCCGGTCACTGAAGGGGTACTTCTCCGACCAGTACTGAGTCCACCACGACAACCGGCCACTGTTGAACCCGTAAGTGAACGCCGCGCCCTCCAGACCGGGGGCCGGCTTACGGTGGTTCGACAGCCGGGATTTGAGATCCTTTATCATCTACAATTACGAATTCAAATTAGAAACTCATTTGAACTTAAATATTTTACATGTTTTACAAACCTCATCTGTAAATTTAATTTTAAACGGTCTAATGCTAGTGTCTTGCTTTCCTCGTAAATCTTTCTCTCCCCACCATTCATTGGGATCCAATTCTGGAGGCGAACCCGGGAACATTAAGTTGACTCCAATCCATACCGCTATTCCCAGTACAGATGCAACAAGCAAAATTTTTAATAGCGCCATCTAGTGAGAACGAAAATAGTTAAGACCAAACTGTACTTAGTTCAAATAGGGAAGTAAAATGTTTTATTATTTCACATTTTCGAAGTAAAAAAATACCTATACTATATTTATATAGTCCAAAGATAACCATTATTTAATGAGAACTATTTTATAATATACTCGAAAGAAATTATCAATTCTGAAGATAAGAAACGTGATAATGTGTCATACAAATGAAATATTAACGAATAAAACTACTAATAAGCTTATTTTAGAACAAAATCTCGTTTCTATATAAAATAACCAATAATATTGATGTCTTACCGGCAAAACACGACCTACAGACTGCGCACCCGACTGTAAACTAAACAACACAGTACTATCAATATATATGTATATATTTCAATCTATTCCAACTCTTATTGCCCTATAATAAGATACAGTTTCGTAATAACTGTATTTGCACATGCTGCATTAAGATCCGCGGTTGTATTGACTCTTGATCATTTAATGATTCGACTTATATTTATAGAAGTTTGAATTTGAACCTTATTTTTTAATCATAAAGTTAAAATTTCAATATAATTTCTATGATATTTTTTACAAGGAATAAAAATTAATACTAGTAATTTAATATTACTTAACATAAGAAGAAATAAAGATTATTTTTATCATTCATATTATGATAGCTTAATATTTTTCCTCTCGAATCAAATAATAAGGTGATTTATGAAAAATATATGTTTTTAATGTAAATATATATAAGTTTATCTTTCAAATATGACATAAGAGATAAGAAAATGATTAGGTATTACGAATTATCTGATTTCCACTGTAAATTATTATTAGTCTTTTTCTTATAATGTATATACATATTCCTACTAATATTATAAATGCGAAAGTAACTCTGTCTGTCTGTCTGTTGCGCTTTCACGCCTAAACCACTAAACTGATTTTAATGAAATTTGGTACAGAGATAGAATTGATCTTGAGAAAGAACATAGGATAGTTTTTATCCCAGACTTTTGAAAGGTTCTCTTGGAAACGCGATATAACCGAACTCCACACGGGCGAAAGCTAGTATATATATAAAATTCTCGTGTCGCGGTGTTCGACAGAGAACTCCTCCGAAACGTCTGGACCGATTTTGATGAAATTTTGCCAGCATATTGAGTAGTTCTGACAATCGGCCAACATCTATTTTTCATACCGCTAAGTCATAAAGGTTGTTCACCTTTAATTTTTTTATTTTTTCTTTCAGACGAAATTTTTTGTTTTTATTTTTTATAATGTAGCATTAAAAATACAAACAACCCAAAATTTTTACTTCTTTTATCACCAATTCCTATTTTTTATATGGCAAAATAACGTTTGCCGGGTCAGCTAGTATATGTATAAAAAAATAGCTTTACATACTCTTTGTTAAATAAACTATCTATCAGTGAAAGTGACATCGTAATCGGGCCAGTCGTTTCTGATATAAGTTTGAACAAACATACTGATAAAAAACTACAAATAGACAGTGTAAACATGCATAAATATTAATTTGTTTGTACAGAAGATATAATTAAGACAAAATATCTTTAAAAATATATCAGAGGGTACAAAAATTTATTTTTTTATCATCAATAATAATAAATTAGCTTGACATATTGTCACCCTCGGAGGGTGTGAGCACTCCTCTCGACCGCACCCTCAAAGATCACCCTCATGACAAACTATTATAACATTAACTAGCATCTAAACTGACTTTCTCACGTTTCTTACTAAGCTATACGCTTACTACAAGCAAATTACTACATACGGATAGTTTGATCGTTTGATATTCATTCGTCTACAACGTGAGATTTTTGTAAGAAAAACTCTAAAAGTTACGTTTGTGTGACTTGTGGTAAAGATACTAGTTTTTACTCGTGACTTCGTCCGCGTTAATTTCGGAATTAGTAATATATGTATAGCTGACCGGGTGAACTATATTCCGCCTTAGAGGACATAAATAACCATATATTGGAGTTTATTAAGTTTTTTCTGTTTCAATCGAATAGAATTAAATATCCTACGTCCTTTCTATGTTCTAATCTATCTCTCCACTAATTTTCAACCATTTCCGTACAATCGTTCTTGAGTTATAAATAGTGTAACTAACACGATTTTATATATATAACTAAAAATAACCAAGTGATGTATCTTGGTTAATAATAATTATGAAAAATAATTAATATTTTTCTTATTTTTAAATATATATAAAGGTCAAAGTATCCTAAAATAAATATTTATATAACAAACTCAATATTAATACCTCTAATCTGTTTTCTCACACTTGAGTCACAAGCTATAAGCCACGCGCCGCGGCGTCGCTCGCGTCACTGATAAAATAAATTTGGTCAAATTATTGTATTAAGATTAAATTGATTTCAACCGGGGGTGACTTTTTATTATCATATTATTTTTATTGATACTAGTTTTATACCGTGGCTTCGCTTGTATAATGTATTTTCGTCTTTATAGAGGGTAGTTTTTATTTTATATTTAATATTCTTTAAGAAAACTGTTTGCAAACTATAAAAGAGATGATACATTGAAATTTAAGTTCTATCTTCTCATATATTAGGTATTTTTTACTTTAACGCTAATAGTAGAATGTTCTTTGTACGTAAAAAAATTGTCTCCAAAACATATGACAAATAAATTTAATGAATTCAAATATATTCTTTGTGAATAATTAAATTGTAAATTCTATTTAAACTGAATTCGACTCTATTATAAGACAATAAAGTTTAATTTAGACTGAATGAAATTAATGTTTTTAAATATCATCCCTACTAATATTATAAATGCGAAAGTAACTATGTCTGTCTGTCTGTCTGTCTGTCTGTCTGCTACGCTTTCACGCCTAAACCACTGAACTGATTTTAATGAAATTCGGTACAGAGATAGAGTTGACCTTGAGAAAGAACATAGGATAGTTTTTATCCCAGACTTTTGAAAGGTTCTCTTGGAAACGCGATATAACCGAACTCCACGCGGCGAAGCTGCGGGCGGAAAGCTAGTTATAATATACTAAAAAAACCGTCGTTTCAGCTACTTTTCAGCAACCGTGATCAAGAAACAAGATGTCTCAAAGCTTTCTTTTTCTGGCATTTATCATTACTATATTAAAATTCTAATACTGTATATGCAATTAAATTTTAATAGTACGAACAGGATTCGAATCTGTAACCTTAGAAATATCGATTTACAGTTACTTGGCTAACTGAGCTATAGTGTGATAATATATTTTATGCTTTATTGTAACAATTTTATACATGAAACTTATTAAGGCTTATATATTTGAAGATAATCTTTTTTTTTCATATATTTGAACAGAAACTTTAGTCTTCTTCTTCTACCAGGCAATTTCCCAGCTTTAGCCAGGGTCTGCCTTACATGTTGTAATAGTTTTGGCCAGTGGCGGCTGGTGGGTAATAGAACCGGTGGTGCACTTTACCAAAATATTAAAATTAGAAAATGCAACAAAACAACGAAATGTCAAAAACGGCTCAATTCGTCATACATCGGGTGCTCTCGGTAATCTTCGGCCGCTCGTGCGGCGCTCGAGAACCGACTCGTTACTCGGTACATTTCTATGAACTATCTTTTGTTTCACGCGCCAGGCGTATTAATGCGTATTTCATACAAGATGTATTAGCAGTCCTCGTGCACTCACCGAAGCGCACGATATGAGTTTAGTAGCGCTCAAACTTTTTGACCATAATTAGGAAATTTAATTGTTTGTACGTTTTTGTATGTTTAAAAAATAAATATTAAAATGTTAATTTAAAGATGAAGTAATATTTTTTAATTTTTAAATCTTTTGAATTGGTGGTTCAGCGCACGAGTGCACTTAAGGTACAGCCGCCACTGGTTTTGGCTATTTGTTTTTACGACCGACCGCCTGTCTGACATCAACCCTCTTTGGGAATGGACAGAAACTTTAATATCTTTGAGTATTTCGTTTTATAACATCATTATTACACAAAGTATATTTATATGAATAAGCAATTAATTGAATACAACCGTTATATAAATGTTTTCAAATAATTAATTAAGGATAGTACCTAGTATACTTGAAATTTTATGTCTTGTATGTAATGTCTTATTGATTTTTTTATCAATAAACCTTATCTAAATGGGAATTTTACACACATATATATGTCTATATGTTGAATGAAGATTTAATTGATTAAATATATACATACCAATTTCCTTTTAATAAAAAAAATATTATTGTAATGAGATCTAAGATTTTCGCGAGTACTTACACATTTAAATGAAACTAATATTTTCGGATTTACTTCACGTTTTTATTTTGACTATAAACTACATACTCCCGACGTTTCGGTTACTTTATAGCAACCGTGATCACGGACAGACGAGATGTTAATGTCTGTCAGTTGGTCTTGTTATTTTATCACCTACCGCCATCATAGTTTATAGTCAAAAATAAAAAAAACGCGTAGTAAATCCGAAAATATTAGTTTCATTTATATATTATTACTAGAAGGCCCGGCGAACTTCGTATCGCACTATAATCAAGAAATATCTAATACGTTTTTTTATTTATATTTTTGGAGTTTACCTGTAAGCCATAAATCTCCGTGTTCTGAAGTGCGACAGAATGATTGACATATTAGTTAGTTGTCCAATCTAATGTCAAAAAAACCGTTTGTATGGGAAATAAAAAAGTGCTGTTTTTAGGGTTATCAAGGAAATTATTAAAATTTTCAGCTTTTAAACCTTCCCTGAACCTCCACGAACATTTCAAGACTAAGATAAGATAAATCCGTTCAGCCGTTCTCGAGTTTTAGCGAGACTAACGAACAGCAATCCATTTTTATATATATAGATATTACATATATATTACCTTGCTCCTCAATAGGAATGCAATAAATAAAAACCCGGTGAACATCCTCGCACGTCCACACGTAACACTTATCTTTGATATAATGATTTGATTGGAACTTAGATTACATTTTTTTGTAATTTTTTTTTTGGTTTTAAAGTCCAAGGTCGTATGATTGGTTTACAAAAAAAAAAATGGTTATTTTATGTTTTCTTATTGTTGTATAAATATTAGTATATAATACAAAGATTAAAATTTTGGATATATTGATAGATATTATTTTTATTTAAATCTTTTTACTATAGAAGGTAATTGGAACCAATAATTCATCTATATACATATATAATGTATGATATTTACACACACATACACACACACACACACATATATATATATATATATATATAATTAAAAGTCGATATATATTTTTAATTATCTTTAAACGTAGATTATAAAGATAAGATAATAAATTATTTATCTTTTTTGTAACTATCTTTAGAAGTCCCACTTAGCAACTGAGTAAGATCAAAATCTATACAATTTATTATTTTACAATATATACGTGGAAAATAACTTGTTTGTTATTATTATGACCTTTAAACTTTTAACATTTCTTTAATCTTTTTATCAGAAATGAATTATTTTCCTATTTTCTTTCATATAATTAAAAGAAATAGTACAAAATTTTACGTATTTAAAGCGAAAAACGAAAACTCCTTAAGATTTTATATCTCTCTCATACTTATGATAAAGTTAAAATGAGGAAAAGAGATAGATACCTTTGGTAGACTATATTCACACGTCTTGAGCAAAACACTGATAAATAAAGACTGTTTAATGCTTATCCCTACTAATATTATAAATGCGAAAGTAACTCTGTCTGTCTGTCTGTCTGTCTGTCTGTCTGTCTGTCTGTCTGTCTGTCTGCTACGCTTTCACGCCTAAACCACTGAACTGATTTTAATGAAATTCGGTACAGAGATAGAGTTGACCTTGAGAAAGAACATAGGATAGTTTTTATCCCAGACTTTTGAAAGGTTCTCTTGGAAACGCGATATAACCGAACTCCACGCGGCGAAGCTGCGGGCGGAAAGCTAGTTATAATATACTAGTTATAATATACTAGCTTTCCGCCCGCAGCTTCGCCGCGTGGAGTTCGGTTATATCGCGTTTCCAAGAGAACCTTTCAAAAGTCTGGGATAAAAACTATCCTATGTTCTTTCTCAAGGTCAACTCTATCTCTGTACCGAATTTCATTAAAATCAGTTCAGTGGTTTAGGCGTGAAAGCGTAGCAGACAGACAGACAGACAGACAGACAGACAGACAGACAGACAGACAGACAGACAGAGTTACTTTCGCATTTATAATATTAGTAGGGATAAGCATTAAACAGTCTTTATTTATCAGTGTTTTGCTCAAGACGTGTGAATATAGTCTACCAAAGGTATCTATCTCTTTTCCTCATTTTAACTTTATCATAAGTATGAGAGAGATATAAAATCTTAAGGAGTTTTCGTTTTTCGCTTTAAATACGTAAAATTTTGTACTATTTCTTTTAATTATATGAAAGAAAATAGGAAAATAATTCATTTCTGATAAAAAGATTAAAGAAATGTTAAAAGTTTAAAGGTCATAATAATAACAAACAAGTTATTTTCCACGTATATATTGTAAAATAATAAATTGTATAGATTTTGATCTTACTCAGTTGCTAAGTGGGACTTCTAAAGATAGTTACAAAAAAGATAAATAATTTATTATCTTATCTTTATAATCTACGTTTAAAGATAATTAAAAATATATATCGACTTTTAATTATATATATATATATATATATGTGTGTGTGTGTGTGTATGTGTGTGTAAATATCATACATTATATATGTATATAGATGAATTATTGGTTCCAATTACCTTCTATAGTAAAAAGATTTAAATAAAAATAATATCTATCAATATATCCAAAATTTTAATCTTTGTATTATATACTAATATTTATACAACAATAAGAAAACATAAAATAACCATTTTTTTTTTGTAAACCAATCATACGACCTTGGACTTTAAAACCAAAAAAAAAATTACAAAAAAATGTAATCTAAGTTCCAATCAAATCATTATATCAAAGATAAGTGTTACGTGTGGACGTGCGAGGATGTTCACCGGGTTTTTATTTATTGCATTCCTATTGAGGAGCAAGGTAATATATATGTAATATCTATATATATAAAAATGGATTGCTGTTCGTTAGTCTCGCTAAAACTCGAGAACGGCTGAACGGATTTATCTTATCTTAGTCTTGAAATGTTCGTGGAGGTTCAGGGAAGGTTTAAAAGCTGAAAATTTTAATAATTTCCTTGATAACCCTAAAAACAGCACTTTTTTATTTCCCATACAAACGGTTTTTTGACATTAGATTGGACAACTAACTAATATGTCAATCATTCTGTCGCACTTCAGAACACGGAGATTTATGGCTTACAGGTAAACTCCAAAAATATAAATAAAAAAACGTATTAGATATTTCTTGATTATAGTGCGATACGAAGTTCGCCGGGCCTTCTAGTAATAATATATAAATGAAACTAATATTTTCGGATTTACTACGCGTTTTTTATTTTTGACTATAAACTATGATGGCGGTAGGTGATAAAATAACAAGACCAACTGACAGACATTAACATCTCGTCTGTCCGTGATCACGGTTGCTATAAAGTAACCGAAACGTCGGGAGTATGTAGTTTATAGTCAAAATAAAAACGTGAAGTAAATCCGAAAATATTAGTTTCATTTAAATGTGTAAGTACTCGCGAAAATCTTAGATCTCATTACAATAATATTTTTTTTATTAAAAGGAAATTGGTATGTATATATTTAATCAATTAAATCTTCATTCAACATATAGACATATATATGTGTGTAAAATTCCCATTTAGATAAGGTTTATTGATAAAAAAATCAATAAGACATTACATACAAGACATAAAATTTCAAGTATACTAGGTACTATCCTTAATTAATTATTTGAAAACATTTATATAACGGTTGTATTCAATTAATTGCTTATTCATATAAATATACTTTGTGTAATAATGATGTTATAAAACGAAATACTCAAAGATATTAAAGTTTCTGTCCATTCCCAAAGAGGGTTGATGTCAGACAGGCGGTCGGTCGTAAAAACAAATAGCCAAAACCAGTGGCGGCTGTACCTTAAGTGCACTCGTGCGCTGAACCACCAATTCAAAAGATTTAAAAATTAAAAAATATTACTTCATCTTTAAATTAACATTTTAATATTTATTTTTTAAACATACAAAAACGTACAAACAAACAATTAAATTTCCTAATTATGGTCAAAAAGTTTGAGCGCTACTAAACTCATATCGTGCGCTTCGGTGAGTGCACGAGGACTGCTAATACATCTTGTATGAAATACGCATTAATACGCCTGGCGCGTGAAACAAAAGATAGTTCATAGAAATGTACCGAGTAACGAGTCGGTTCTCGAGCGCCGCACGAGCGGCCGAAGATTACCGAGAGCACCCGATGTATGACGAATTGAGCCGTTTTTGACATTTCGTTGTTTTGTTGCATTTTCTAATTTTAATATTTTGGTAAAGTGCACCACCGGTTCTATTACCCACCAGCCGCCACTGGCCAAAACTATTACAACATGTAAGGCAGACCCTGGCTAAAGCTGGGAAATTGCCTGGTAGAAGAAGAAGACTAAAGTTTCTGTTCAAATATATGAAAAAAAAAGATTATCTTCAAATATATAAGCCTTAATAAGTTTCATGTATAAAATTGTTACAATAAAGCATAAAATATATTATCACACTATAGCTCAGTTAGCCAAGTAACTGTAAATCGATATTTCTAAGGTTACAGATTCGAATCCTGTTCGTACTATTAAAATTTAATTGCATATACAGTATTAGAATTTTAATATAGTAATGATAAATGCCAGAAAAAGAAAGCTTTGAGACATCTTGTTTCTTGATCACGGTTGCTGAAAAGTAGCTGAAACGACGGTTTTTTTTACAAAAATAAAGTAGCGTAGTGTTTTCGAAAATATAAGTTTCATTTAAATGAATAAAACTTGATGAAATCTTAGATCTCATTAAATAATTATTTGTCATATTATGTTTCAGATGGGTCGAATCATTCTGGCGATCCTGGTAGCAGTTTTTGCCGTCCCAATATATTTCCTATTCCTCAGAAGTTCGCCACCGGTACCACCAGTCGACTTAAATGAGTGGTGGAGCACGGCTCTATCGAAATCCAAACAGGATGACAGCATCAAGCCGTTTAAAGTGGAATTCAGTGAAGTGGTAAGTCATCATCAGCCTATCAGAGCCCACTGCTGAGCATAGCCTCTCACATGGAGAAGGTTTGAGCATTAATCACCACGCTTGCTCAAGACGGGTTGGTTATTTCAAACTTATTATGATATAAGTCCAGGTTTAATCACGATGTTTTCCTTCATCTGTCAGTGGTGTCTAAATACTCTTATAAAGTACATATGACTCGGGAAAATCACTTGCCAGGTTTCGAACCTGTATCATCATGCATGAGATGCCGGCTTTTAACCACCAAGCCGCCACGACCTTAGCAAAATATTACAATACAAGTTTTATTCCAGATGATAAAAGACTTAAAGGAACGTCTTCGTGATCGGCATCCTCTCGCTCCACCGCTTGAAGGAGTGGCCTTTGAATACGGCTTCAATAGTAAACATTTAGAAGGGATACTCAAATATTGGGCTGAGGAATATAATTTTAGGTGAGGCTATTACAATATGTATGGAAAATACACACATACATTTATATTTTATTACCAACCCCTATTTTTTATATGGCAAGACGTTTGTCGGGTCAGCTAGTATATATATAGTAAAGAATGCGTGTCAACTATGTATTTATATGTTGAAAACATTGAAATATCACGTATATGGTCACATACCTACAACCATATATATTTATATATATAAATTTTCCATTATTTATTACTTGGTACCAAATGAAAAGGATGTGTACTTAAACGCACATTTATTTAATAGAATTAATGATCAAAACTAGACGAATTCTTAGAATATTACTTTAATATAATTTAAAACATAAGTTTGGAACAAAATTAAAGAATATTTGGAGTATTCAGCTACCTACCATTTATTGATCTCGAAATAGTTAGATGAAATATGTCTCGAGAAACCTCAATAGTATATTTTCGTGACAAAATACAAAGCCTATAAAAGAAGGTTGATAATATATAAAAATTTGTATAGACATAATTTTCGCATATTCTTTAGAACTATTCTTATATAAGGCTTGTGTAACGTACAATTTGCTATAATATATATTTTTTCATAGAGTTAATTCTTATTAAATTCATATCTAGTTTTCATATTGACTTAACTAATTATTTTCAGCGAAAGGGAGAAGCTATTTAACAAGTATCCGAATTTCAAAACGAATATTCAAGGTCTGAATATACACTTCATCAGAGTTACACCTGAGGTAAACTATATAAAATATTATGCTTACTAATATTATAAATGCAAAATAACTCTGTCTGTCTGTCTGTTACGCTTTCCCGCCTAAACCACTGAACTGATTTTAATGAAATTTGGTACAGATATAGAGTTGACCTTGAGAAAGAACATAGGATAGTTTTTATCTTAGATTTCTGAAAAGTTCTCTTGGAAACGCGATATAACCGAACTCCACGCGGGCGAAGCTGCTGGTGGAAAGCTAGTAATATCTATAAATATATTCTAGTTATATTTTTCTATAAGTTTTACTAAAAATATCTTAGGAATTTCAAGATATATAAAAGTAAGATCGATTTATAAAACAATATAATAGGCTAGGAATAGAATATTATAAAAAAGTTTAAGTAAGTGTTATTAGTGATATTTTAATTACACGTATCCGTGTTATAAAAGTAATAAGAAAAAATTATAAGAAATAAATTGTTATTCAAAACAAAACACTAAATATACTAGTTTAAGCCCGCGACTTCAACTGCTTTGTTTCCGAATATTGCAGATGTCCATGGGCGACAGTCAGTACTGCTCATCAAGTAGACCGTCTACTCGTTATAAAAAATATATATTTTTCTGGCAAAATCAACAAATATCCACACTCTCATTAACTTACTTATATTGTTAAGTTATGGCTTTTTTATGCTAATTGGGGCAACCGAGCAGACGGTCTAAATGATGTAGCTAGTACGTTCGCCCATGGACATCCGCAACTTAGTTTTGTGGATATATTGCTATCCTTTATTAGGGAAGAGTGGAAGGAAAAAGTGGAAAAGGGAACTATAGCTGTATTATTTACTTGATAGGTACCTAAAGGTGTGGAATTAGTGCCACTTCTCATGCTGCACGGCTGGCCAGGGTCAGTCAGAGAGTTCTTTGAAGCCATCCCTCATCTCACCAAAATCAGCAAAGATAGGAATTTTGCTCTAGAACTCATCATACCAAGTCTACCTGGTTATGGATTTTCTAGTGTGAGTACCAAAATTATCCATTTTAATAACTCAATAACAATTTTAATATCGGTTTTAATTATTAAACTATATACGGATAGTCTGCAGTAATACATTTATAAAAGAATACTTGTACCAAAAATATTGTTTAATATTAAAATTAAACAATTTTGATCCATTGATAATAGTGACGAAGAGTAAAGAATACTTTACTTTTGACCTGAAAATTACTTCTAAAATATTATCTCCATATACAAGATAATACTATATTTCTTCTACAAATTACACGTCACGCTTAATTACTAAGTAATCTACATAATAACTTTACTTCTATATAGTAGTTGAACTTGAACTTTGTTATTTTTATTGCAATGACTTAAGACTTATATAGAAACAGATTTACATGTTGTGAATAGTTTTGGCTAATTGTTTTTACTACCGCCTGTCTGACATCAACCCTCTTTGCGAATGCATTAATCAGTGATGTCTAAATACTCTTAGAAAGTATATATGACTCGGAAAAATCACATTGGTACTTACCAGGATAATACTAGCCAGGATAAACCCTCAAGCATTAGAGGCGTGTCTTTTAACCACTAGGCCACCACTGACTAAACAGATTTAATAGAAAAAAATTATAATAATTATTAATTTTAACCTTACCAATATTAATACATATTTTATTGCATTAAAATTCTATTATAAATAAGTAATATCGCGTCTTTAATAATTTTTTCTTACTTCTAAAAACGATAATTAATAATAGTTTTTAACAAAAGAGTTATAAAAATTTATTACAACACTTGACCTTGCATATAACGATTAATAAAATTTTGCTTTTATTTCCTTATTCATAAGAATGTCTTAATAGGTACTAAAATCTTCATGCAAAATAATTATTTTGAGTTTGTGTATAGAATATATATTCTCAATATACATATAGAAAGGGATTATTATAATTTATTGAATACATGTCATGTAAAATTAAAATGCTTCCTAATTCTTCTTCTACCTGGCAATTTCTCAGCTATAGCCAGGGTCTGCGTTACATGTTTTGAATAGTTTTTGCTATTTGTTTTTACGACCGGCAGCCTGACTGACATCAACCCTCTTTGGGATTGAAAATACTTCCTAATTATTACTATAAAAATAAGATTCTCTATACGAAAGTATTCTATGAGAATATAAGACGTACAAATTATAGGATTTTGGTATGAAATCATATTATATTACAGGCAGCGGTACGACCAGGTCTTGGGGCTGATAAAATGGCAGTAGTATTCAGAAACCTGATGAACAGACTTGGATTTAAGAAGTACTACATACAAGGAGGAGACTGGGGTGGATTGATAACTAGCATTATGGCTATTCAGTTCCCTGAGGTAATTTTATTATATTATACAACATAATAAAGTGAAATATCTTATGGATTAAAACACTTATAAGTTGTATTAAAGTCAAAATTAATATTAAACTGATCGCGGTATAACTTTGATTGTCATATTAAAATGTTATAGAAAATTTAAAATGTTATAGAAAATTTAATATAAAATGTTATTCTTTAAAATAGATAAATATTTGTATTAGTAATCATTCTTTTATTGAATTTTATCTAAACGTTAGTAAATTTATAATTTTAATCGTCGGCGTTGGTGGTGTAATGGTCAGCATAGTTGCCTTCCAAGCAGTTGATCCGGGTTCGATTCCCGGCCAACGCACACTTTTTCTTATTTTTATTATTACTTTTATGAACACATTTAATAATTTTATGACATATTTACAAGGTACAAGGTACTTTATGTGATTAAGGTCAGAATACAAAGTAAAATAAACAATATTACGCGCTGTAGCGTCTTAAGCGAAATACAAATAATGGTTTTATTTTATTTAATATTTTGATTCTTGCAGGAGGTTTTAGGTCTGCACACTAATATGCCATTCCTAATGAGTCCAGCACTAACATTCTTCAGTGTATTGGGGTCTATTTATCCCCCAATGGTAGTTGGGGCTGAAACAAGGGATCGTATGTACCCCCTGTCTAAAGTGTACGGTAATTTGCTGCAAGAAACTGGCTATATGCATATACAGTCTACAAAACCTGATACGGTTGGTAAGTAGCTTTCGTTTCATATACATATAATATTATCTATATATAAAAGAAAGTCGTGTTAGTTACACTATTTATAACTCAAGAACGACTGTACGGGTTATTCTGAAAATTGGTGGAGAAATAGATTAGAACCAGGAAAAAGACAGAATACTTTTCAGGCCATAAAAAAATATTGTAAAATCCAAAATCTTCTTACTTACTGTTTTTAAGGAGGAAAATATTCGCCGGGTCAGCTATAAATTACAAAATTCGAAAGTAACGCCGACGAAGTAGCGGGTAAAAGCTAGTTTATAATAAAACTTATATCTACTATGACGAAGTATATTATATTTAATCGAAAAGTTATTATTTTAAGTAATTCCAAGTATTAGTTCAAAACGTTTACTTATACACTGATGGTATTACAGTCACCATTTTTAATTATAAATCAATAGTATCATCATATATCTTCATTTAAATGAAACTAATATTTTTCGGATATATAGTAGATAGTTTTTACAAAAATAAACTGCGTAGTATATTCGAAAAATATTAGTTTCATTTAAATGAATAAAACTCACGAAAATCTAAGATCTCATTATCATCAATCTTTGTTATAATTTATGAATTACAAGCAGCTGTAATTAAAAGCATATATGTAGGATCCCTGGTCCTACATGTAAGTATAACTAGACCCTGTCTCACTACTACCCCGCCTAGAGCGAATCGTCCCCGTTCTGCTCCACGCTAGTCGTGAGACTGCCGAGTGCATGCCGCACCTCTAGTGGGGTACGTGAGACAGTGTATTATATCTATTGTATAGATACATACACTACAATATCTATTCCTATTTCCAGGTGTAGCATTATCTGACTCTCCTGCTGGTCTGGCAGCTTATATTCTTGAGAAGTTCTCATCCTGGACTCGTATGGAACACCGTTCGAAGGCCGACGGAGGACTTAACTTCCGCTTCACCAACGAAAAGCTGATTGATAACCTCATGATGTACTGGACCTCAAATTCTGCGACTACTTCTATGAGGCTCTACGCTGAGACATTCAACAAGAGATACTTCGGCTTAAATTACAACGAGTACGTAGTTTTTTACTATAGATGTCAAATTTAATAAGACTTAATTGATTATTGAATAATTAAGATTTTAAAATAGTACTGTCAGGAGATAGCACTGGTTTTTTATATATTTTTATATGTAGTCAATAAAAATAAGTTAATTCCACTCTATTTTTTAATGATACAAGATATTAATTTTAGTGAGATAGATTTTATAAAATCCTATTTCTATATGCTAAATGAGGATAAAGCAGTCATTGTAACTTGGTTTAATAAAAGTATCTATCTTATTAGCTAGAGATTTAATATTCAATTTATTTTTATTACTAGCTTTCCGCCCGCAGCTTCGCCCGCGTGGAGTTCGGTTATATCGCGTTTCCAAAAGAACCTTTCAAAAGTCTGAGATAAAAACTATCCTATGTTCTTTCTCAAGGTCAACTCTATGTCTGTACCAAATTTCATTAAAATCAGTTTAGCGGTTTAGGCGTGAAAGCGTAACAAACAGACAGACAGAGTTGCTGCATTTATAATATTAGTAGGGATTATATTAAAAATATATTCTTCCTTACAGAATCCCAATCAAAGTCCCAACATGTATGATTCAAGCTAAACACGAGCTGGCGTACGTACCGAGGTGGTTACTCAAGACTAAATACGTCAACTTGATCAATGAGACTATTCTAGATGATGGCGGGCACTTCTTAGCTTTTGAACTGCCAAAAATCTTCTCCGAAGACGTGCTCAAATCTATACAGAGCTTCAGAGAATGGCACAGAAATAATAATGAAAAGACTGAACTGTAGACATTGGATGGCAATAAATTTTTGTTGTGTTAAAGTACTGTTTTATTTTATTATATTCTTGGTCGTTTTATATTTAAAATTGATATTTTATAATCAATTTACCTTACGAAATATCAAAGAGATATAGCACCTATAAATAGATATTATTCCTATATTATTCCTTAGTGGTGGCCTAGTGGTCAAAAGGGAAGAACACGATCGATCGATCCTGGCAAGTACCAATGTAATTTTTCCGAGTCATAAGTACTTTATAAGAGTATTTAGACACCACTGATTAATGCACTCCCAAAGAGGGTTGATGTCAGACAGGCGGCCGGTCGTAAAAACAATTAGCCCAAAACTATTTAAAACATGTAAGGCAGACCCTGGCTGAAGCTGGGAAATTGCCAGGTAGAAGAACAATAGATATTATTCTAGTATTTAAAATATCTGTGACTAAATGTTTCGTTATTAGAAAATTTTAGTCATATTATGGAAGGCGATAGTCAATGCTATATGCATATTTATAACTTAGCGAACAGATAAAGTAATTTTCAAGTATTCAGGTAAATGCAAAAACAGTTGTTCATTTGATTGCGTTTAATATACATAACATTGAAATAAAGATAAAATTAAATTATACATTAAACGATCTACAAATTAGAAATAACTATTTTATATCTAAAATAAATACAAAAGTATCTTGAACAACGAGATCTTTTACACTACAAGCAAAAATGTGTATAGACAAAGGGAAAAGCTACTTCTCTTTTCCATTAACTTTATCTTTGGAATCTTTTTCATCTTTAGCTGGTGCTATCATCAGCAGATTATTTCCATTCCTCTCCCCCAAATTTCTGAAAGGCATTTGACGCCATCTTGGGAAATAATACTGATTACGTAACACTTTCAAGTGGTCCTTTCCGAAGAAGAATTCTGCTTTTGGGGCACTTCTTTGTATGTTTCTTCTTATTTCTTCGTTTTCCTCGTTTCCGTACCTCGTGTATTCAGGCTCGTAGTGTCTTCTGGAATCATCGTCGTAATGTCTTTTAAGTCGCAGACGTCTGGCAGCTGGGCTTAATGGCGACTCGCATTTTATCGCCAGACCAGAGTTCTCTTTGTTCGTCACTAGACCGTGGTTCTTTTGCCATTCGAGAACCTCGCAAAGAAGACCGATGTACCTACACAAATAAGAATAATTAATTGTAAGAAATATTTTCCTACTAAATGCTTCAACTTAGCTTCTAGAATGGATAATCAGTAATATAATACTATATTATTTTAAGTATACTACGGCAGAATTTTTTCATATCAATATAAAAGATTATTTAGACACCACTGACTGATGAAGGAAAACATCGTGAGGAAACCTGGACTTATATCAAATTATAAGTTGGAAATCACCAATCTATATTGAGCAAGCGTGGTGATTAATGCTCAAACCTTCTCCATGTGAGAAGAGGCTCAACAGTGGGCTCTGATAGGCTGATGATGATGATGAATACCTACCTGATAGCCATTCGTAGTATTTCATTCTTGGACAGTTTCTTGTCTGGTGGATGTGTAGGGACCAATCTCCTAAGTTCAGCGAAGGCGCCACTCACGTTTTGCTGTCTCCAACGCTCACGACAATTGGTGAACAGCTTACGAGGAGGCCGAAGAACGCTCAGTTGAGGAAGATCTTCAGGGAGACTCTGGATAAATTTAATTAAAAACAAACTGTAATACTGAATACTCATGTATAAATTCGTGCAATCATGTTTAATTGATACTTCTCTTAATGAGACCTAATATTTTCGCGAGTACTCATTTAAATGAAACTAATATTTTTCGGATTTTACTTCGCGTTTTATGTTATGTTTTAGCAACCGTGATCACAGTTGCTGAAAAGTAGCCGAAACGTCGGGAGTATGTAATTCTAATCAAAAATAAAACGCGAAGTAAAGTCCGAAAAATATTAGTTTCATTGATACTTCTCTTTTCCATTAACTTTATTTTTGGAAATATCTTTGCCATTTATTTTTTTAAACATGAAAGTAATGTTGACGTTTTTCTTATTTAATTAAAAACTACAATGTTTTTCGTCTTTGAGTACGATTACTGTTAAATATGCGACTGTAAACACGTGAAAATATTAAATCACATATTCACAAAACTTATATATTTGTAGAGAAATATAATCCTGTGATTTACTTGTGTGCTTAAATTTATTTAAAACGCCGTTTTAAAATATGCTACTTAAAAATAATTTTTAAACTTAAAGCAAAAATGATTATATATACATAAAAGAGATTAGATTTGAAGTAAGTATTTTAAACCAGGTAACACTGACTTAAACCAGCAAAGTCATATACGTACTTTAAAAAATACTACATACTTATAGAAGATATAAATACCGAATTTTTGCTGTTGTTGGTTTTGATACCTTTAGTAAATTTATAAATATATTAAAACCAATAGAATTAAGTTGTAATAAACTATTTTACCTTTATATAAAATTAGTCTTAGTTTCATATTTTTTATACAGTATATATCTCCGAAGTTTGCATCTAGTATTTGTGTTGTTTTAGATCTACTAACAAAGTTTCTAAATGTGACTATAGTCGAGGCCGTTACATTTTATTTCAATTAAAAGATATATTGTGCACGTCTTTGCATGAATGAATTTCATATTTTAAACAACCAGCCAACCAAGAAGATATATATGAAACTAGCTGACCTGGCGAACTTCGTATCGCCCTATAATCAAGAAATATCTAATGAGATCTAAGATTTTCGCGAGTACACATTTAAATGAAACTAATATTTTCGGATTTTACTTCGCGTTTTATTTTAGAAACTACATACTCCCGACGTTTCGGCTACTTTACAGCAACCGTGATCACGGGCAGACGAGATGTGATCACGGTTGCTGTAAAGTAGCCGAAACGTCGGGAGTATGTAGTTTCTAAAATAAAACGCGAAGTAAAATCCGAAAATATTAGTTTCATTCAAGAAATATCTATTACGTTTTTTTATTTATATTTTTGGAGTTTACCTGTAAGCCATAAATCTCCGTGTTTTGAAGTGCGACAAAATGATTGACATATTAGTTAGTTGTCAAATCTAATGTCAAAAAAGCCGTTTGTATGGGAAATAGAAAAAGGCTGTTTTTATGGTTTTTCCGGAAATTAATACATTTTTTTCAGCTTTTAAACCTTCCCTGAACCTCCACAAACATTTCAAGACTAAGATAAGATAAATCCGTTCAGTCGTTCTCGAGTTTTAGCGAGACTAACAAACAGCAATTCATTTTTATATATATAGATGATTGTATAAGTATCTTTGTTAATTACCTGTACATTCCTTGGTTGCCTCTCATCTTCACTGTCAGGTAGACACAGATCGTCACTCAGCATCTCACTGTCAGGTTCCTCATCTGAACACGACTCCTGATCTGACGCCATGCTGTTCTTGATCACTGATTGGAAATATAAAACATAACTATGTATTAAAACAATAGAAAAGCTATCAATACTAATATTATAAATGCGAAAGTAACTCTGTCTGTTACGCTTTCACACTGAACTGATTTTAATGAAATTTAGTACAGACATAGAATTGACCTTGAGAAAGAACATAGGATAGTTTTTATCCCAGACTTTTGAAAGATTCTCTTGGAAACGCGATATAACCGAACTCAACGCGGGCGAAGCTGCAGGCGGAAAGCTGGTATATATTTCTAAGTTTGAATGTAAAGTGAAGGATATCGCGGTAAAAAAGTAGTTCATTGTATAATTTTTACGTACACCACAAATTTTACAAAGACAAAGATTTTGATGAGTAGAAAATAATGTCAATTTGATAAATGCAATAAATTTTCATGTACAAAATAATTTTATAAAATAAACATATATATATATATATATATATATATATATATATATATATATAGTTGTTTTATGATGAAAATATTGTTAAAAACAGTGGTGGGTTCATTAAGATGTAATTATTATCAAAACTGATATTCACTTGTACGTTAGAACGGAGTAGTCGTGGTTAAATGCTTTGTTTACAAGATTGCCAATTTATATTGAAACTATGTAGCTTTCCGCCCGCAGCTTCGCCCGCGTGGAGTTCGGTTGTATCGCGTTTCCAAGAGAACCTTTCAAAAGTCTGGGATAAAAACTATCCTATGTTCTTTCTCAAGGTCAGCTCTATTTCTGTACTAAATCCATTAAAATCTGTTCAGTGGCTTAGGCATGAAAGCGTAACAGACAGAGAGACAGAGTTACTTTCGCATTTATAATATTAGTAGGATGGACTATAGTGACTATAACTTGTATTAAAGTCGATTTTAGAGTTTAGTTTTAATCCACTTAAACCATTTATTTTCGTTAAAAAGACTAATATAGGGGAGAGTTGGTTATATCGTACTAGCATTTAAATCGTACCACCTCTTAATTTCCCATTTAATGAATATTTTTTTCTACACTGACAACGCCAAATCGTGGCCCTGTACCATCCCTCTTCACCCACTAGTTTACATCGACGTGAGTTAACAACTGTGCACGTAATAAAAAAAAACATTTTTTGTAGGAATTAATATAAATATTGTCGTACATTCGTAAGGAGATAACTCGTAATCAAGGTAAGCTATAGTTATTCATTTTTTTTTATTATTCCACAATTGTATACTAGATTATTGGGGGTTTTTGTTGCATGTCTAAGTTTTGAGTTTATGCCGGATATTTGCTTTTGTTTTAGAAATGCCTTAGTTGGTTTAATCGTACCACTTGCAGTTGGTTAAATTGTACTGGTACGATTTACCCGACTACCAACCACAAGTACCTATAGTACTACCGCAAGTACGTATAGTAAGTACTACCCAAGGCCAAAAACAAAAGTTATAAGAGGAAACGATCTCATTCCATCACCAGTAGCGATGATTCAGGAGAGACACTTATTGTAGAACTAGATGATGGTGATGACAGCGATGATTATCTTGAAAATATATGTCGAAAGTGCAATTGTTCTTACTATGATAAGAAGGGTCCAAAAGTTGATTCGATTCAATGCGTTCGCTGTAAACGGTGGCTACATGAGACGTGTACTTCGAATTTTTGAAAACATTTGTCATGACTGTTTCCATTAAGAAATATGCACAATAATTATATTACAAATAACATTCTAGTTAACTGTTACTTTATTAATATAGTTTACTGTTTTTTTTTGTCTCATTTTTATTAGTTATGTTGATTGATCTCATTATCATAGTATAATCATGTTATTTTACTGAGAAAGCTTATAGTTCCTTTATATAACCTAAGAGTTAAAAATTATGTTTCTATTACCTAAAAGATATAAATAATGTTGTTTTATTACTTACCTAAGAGTAAAAAATAAATAATTTGATTGAGAATTTTAATGTCTTTCATTCAGTGGTACGACTTAAACACCCATGGTACGATTTAAAGACTTAGTGGTACGATTAAAACGACGAGTCGGCTAAATCGTACCGATGGCAAGCCTCTATAAAAAAGCATTTTTAACAATGTTAGAATAATCGCAAGGATCTGTTCTCTTCTTCTTAGGAAGCTAAAATATGAAACTTTATTTTACATATGTATTAATTATTATAAGACCTGTTATAGTCGAAATATTTGAGTTAAAGTGAAAAGTGGTACGATATATCCGACTCTCCCCTAATGAGTGAAAAGCTTAACAAATTAATTTTTAGATCAAATTATTTTAAATTCTCTTAATATTTTTTAGTTTAATCCATTTTTAGGGATAAATGTATATGAATATTGTGTTATAATAATTTGATATATAATAATAATCTGTTTCAATGTAAGGCGCCGCCGGAAGTCGATATCGCCGGATGTTCTATATTTAACAATCATTTATCTACTTTTAATAAATTCTATATTAATATAATATTATGCTAACAAAAGATATTTTCATAATTTTGTGTTATATAAAAAAGATGAGAATATCAGCAAGACATTTGATTTTTTTATAACTCACTGACTTTATTTATTTCTTGGGGTATATAAAATTCTTATTATGTAAAGTAACTAATATTATTATTGCAACAAAAATATAAATTAATAAGTATTTATATATAAGTATTATAATTTTTAACCTTCTCCAGTAACCCGTTCTGTGATGGTTGGCATAAACACGACTATATTAACACACAAACAACGATTTCATATTTAATTAATCATTAAATTTATCACACACGTCCATCACACGCGATGTTCGGATGGCGACTGCAATTTTTTTCATTAATTCAAATTTCGAAGGGTTCCGTAAGCTTTGCGATGATTGGTGGAAATTTCTCCAATTTCAGCCAATCAGGAGTCAGGGCGGAGTGAAAGGTTTTTTTTTTTCATTTCCCGCAATAAGGTTTGTTGACTTTACATTCACACTGTAATTTGTTTACTATGGCAGAATTATTATTGTAATTTGGGATTTCTTATTAAAAATTACGAATAATTTATAAATCTGAAGTTGATTCGTTTGGAAATTTTTATTGTCGTAAAGAATTATTTCTAATATCAAGGGGATATATAATAATTAATAAGAAAACAGCTTAAATCATTAATAAAAAGTAGGCAGCTTTAAAAATAGTCTAAATGTTTTTTCTTCTTTATTTTCTGTGATTGTAGATATTTAAGAGACAAGATCGTCGTGAAGTAGTCTTTAATGACTGCGTTTCATCCGATGAGTGAGAGAGACAGTTGCCCTTTCTCTTTTCCCACTCTTTCCCCTCCCTCTTCCAAAAACAAGGCTTGTAACGCATCTACAACATCCCTTATGTTGCTTTATCCATAGGCGATTATAACTACCTTCCATCAAGTACACCGTCTGCTCGTTTACCACCTTTCAAATATATCTTCTTCTACCTGGCAATTTCCCAGCTTTAGCCAGGGTCTGCCTTACATGTTGTAAATAGTTTTCGCTATTTGTTTTTACGACCAGCCGCCTGCCTGACATCAACCCTCTTTGGGAATGCATTAATCAGTGATGTCTAAATACTCTTAGAGAGAACATATGACTCGGAAAAATCACATTGGTACTTGCCAGGACCGAACCCGCGCCCTCGTGCATGAGATGTTAACCTTTTAACCACTAGGACACCACTGACTTGGTTACTTTTAAAATAAATATACTAAATAAACCACATTATTATAACATTAAATACAAAACATGTAAGTCTGGTAAGTTAGACACGAATATATTAAACTTATCAACATATAAATATATATATATAGCAGTTTTATATCTACAGTATAAAAAACCTGTTTAAATATGATTATCAAAAACAATTGTAGGTAATTATATAAAGAAATACTTGTATGTATTGAATACTGAATTGAATAGCTGATTTTAGTTTGAGTAGGAAGGCAGATCCTGGCTAAAGCTGGAATAAATGCCAGGAAGAAGCTGATCGTATTTGGTATTCATTGGTATCTGGAGTTTGGGGTCTTATTATGATGTGTAAGATTTTCACTTGTACTCACGTTTTTTAATTATTTTAAACTACATACTCCCGACGTTTCGGTTACTTTACAGCAACCGTGATCATTAAGACGAAATGTGAGATTAGGGTATCTTGAAAGAAAAGATGTAATGAGTATCTATTGTCTTTCAATTTTTGTTATAGACATACCTATTCATGAGTTTTATTTTTTATAGTAAAGGAATCAGATTCATTATTTATTTAACTATCACTCTTTTTCGCATTAACGATGTGAAAAATAATGTTACCGCTGTAATAAAACATTTTTATCTAAAATGTTGTTGTATTGAATGACCATACAGAAAATTAGAATATAATCTCTAAATAAAAGTCAGTGGTGGCCTAGTGGTTAAAACGTCTGCCTCTCATACATGAGGACCCGGGTTCGTTTCTGGCAAGTACCAATGTGATTTTTCCGAGTCATATGTACTTTCTAAGAGTATTTCGACATCACTGATTAATGCATTCCCAAAGAGGGTTGATGTCAGGCAGGCGGCGGGTCGTAAAAACAAATAGCCAAAACTATTCACAACATGTAAGGCAGACCCTGGCTAAAGCTGGGAAATTGACAGGAAGAAGAAGAAGAAGAAGAATAATCTACAGGGTGACTGGTGAATTACTATCAATATTTAAGGAGCATACTCGGTACATGATTCTCATTCGAATTATGTAAAAAAAAATAGGCACTTCATTTTTGACAAAATTTCCGTATAAATAAGTAAAGTGTTGACACGTTCCAAGTGTTCAAGTGTGGACACGTGCGGCGACGTGTTGATACAACACCACGTCACGACATGCGTATGTGTGAGTGTCAGTGTATACCTAATCTGTAGGGTGTTCACACGATGCGTAATTAATTACATAACTTTTGGTTAACTTTTTATGTTATATTAATTTTTATTTTGTCATATATGATCGTCAACTACCACGTCCTCAAATATCGATAGTAATTCACCAGTCACCCTGTATATATAATTAAAATGTTGCAAATACGTTGGATTTTAAGTTAACTAAAGAATTTATAATATTTATTAATTTTCTTACTTAAACAATACATTGCTATTTAATTTACAAAATAAATTATATATTTATTAATTAATTATTTATTGTTTTACTTTAATTATGTAATTAGTTTTGAATGAAATCATTATCAAAAACTGAATTGTACTAAAACAATAATAAAACATACATTTGTTAATGGCTTAAGTACATGTTTGTTTGTCTGTTCCTTAATAACTACTGTATATAACTATTTATTTAAGTAAATAAAGATAAGATTGACGGTGAAGGAAAACATCGTGAGGAAACCTGGACTTATATCAAGTTATAAGTTTGAAATCACCAACCCGTTAAGCAAGCGTGGTGATTAATGCTCAAACCTTCTCCATGTGAGAAGAGGCTATGCTCAGCAGTGGGCTCTGATAGGCTGATGATGATGACGTGTTTATAAACTAAATGCAAACAGTTTTCTGTTTTTATTCATAAACTTACGTTAATAATATCACGTTCATAGATTTCGTTATGAGAAACTCAGTATTTAGAGTGACGGCGTTCTCTTGGTAAGGGTTAATATTTTTGTAAGTTAAGTAATATTAAAACATAATTTTTATTAGACATATCATCTAAATTTACTTATCCTTTTCTGCACCTTTCGAGCTTTTTATATTAACTGTATTTAAATACTCTTATAAAGTACAAACAAGAAAGTAAACACGTCATAAGGATACTATAATCATAATTAGATACACAAATAATTATGACTTATTGCAGTTTTAAGTCAGAATTATTCCACTAAAAGGTTTTAATTATAAGGCCTGATCTATATAGTTTTTTTTTCTAAAGTGTATAGAACCTTAAAGCTATGGATATATTTATTGTTTTGCATTTAACGTTATATCTTTCAAAAAGACTAATAATTGAGAAATGATATTAACTTAATGATTATTATTAATATTTAAAAATTTTCTATAATTATAGACACAAGCTTACGAACATACGATTCTATTGAAAAAAACTACAATAACCAAATATTCAAAATGGCGGACATTCATGATTTAAGCTATTTATATTTAAAGCAGAACGCGCGAAGATAAAATCAGTCCCAATTCAATCGTCGTACGATAAGGACGTGTGACAAAATACATGTATAACGAATTTAATACGTGAATATTAATTATATTAGTAAATTAAATATATTATATATAGTTTTCATTCAAGTAATTTTTGATAAATTACTTATAATTTATATAAAGAAGAGATATAAAACTTAAAAGTGTTTCAAAAAATAATACGTATTTTTATTGTTACGTAAGTAAACACGTTTAATCTTATATTTGTGTATATACGAGGAATGTTTTAAATGAATTTTTTTTACTAGTATTGTGATTTAATGTGGAAAAATATTTGTAATATATTTATGTATTTTAATGTGATTATTATTATTGAGTCTGCGTAGTGTTTAACAGTTTTCTCCTAAACTAAATATATACTTTAGATAAACTAGCTATCCGTGGTAATCACGTTGTTTTGGCGTGGGTCCATCAACTTTCTAAACAATAGCTCGAATATCAATCCAAAATTTTTATAATTCACGAAATTTTTGCAAAATAAATGAAATTAAATGTATTGTTAGGTAAACTTTTGTTTTTACATCTGAAAACACAGGTTAATGAACTCTGACGAAAATAAAAACTGTTCTACATTCATGGCTGTTTCCATTTTGATGGTATACAAAAGATTTTTAGTATCTATTGTAGGAATTTCAATAAAACCTATATATTGTATAGTAGTTTTTCGATATATAATATTATTTTATGTTTATTTTGATCTGTGAGCTATTCATTAATGTTTTATTTATTTAAATGTTAAATGTCCTTGTAGTTAGCAATCAATATTGTAGTAGCGTGGCCATTTTATTATACATAGTGTGATATGTGTGTGTGTGTGTGTGTGTGTGTGTGTGTGTGTACACATTTATATTCTTATATGTGTGTGTTACTTATACCAATTGTTCATACTAATTTATAAAAAATATATATATAATCTATTAAACATATTATAATTCGTATGTGTTTGATGTTTGTTTGTTTCTAAAATAGGTTTTTTATCTATTACTAGTTCTTGCCCGCGATTTCGTCTGCTTTAGTTTTAGAATAAAAAATGTATCACTGACCGAGCGAACTCTATTACTCCTTAAAGACAGTAGATAAGATTTTGGATTTGATCAACTTATTTTTTCTTTTTCAATCCAATTTAAAGTATCCTATGTCCTTTCCTTGTTCTAATCTATCTCTCCACCAATTTTCAGCCAAACCCGTACAGTCGGTATTGAGTTATAAATAGTGTAACTAACACGACTTTTTTATATTTAAAGATTACATTAAACAGTTAAAATTAATTCTACATATATGAACAACTTCGATAGAGAATACTTTTTATATATGTACATAATTTATATATCCACGTGTACATGACTCACATAACTATGTATTATTTTATTTAGAATATCAATATAACTATCTCGCTGTATGTCTGTTTGTTTGTAAATATATAAATAACTAGCTCTCCGCCCGCGGCTTCGCCCGCGTGGAGTTCGGTTATATCGCGTTTCCAAGAGAACCTTTCAAAAGTTTTAGATAAAAACTATCCTATGTTCTTTCTCAAAGTCAACTCTATCTCTGTACCAAATTTCATTAAAATCAGTTCAGTGGTTTAGGCGTGAAAGCGTAACAGACAGACAGACAGACAGGGTTACTTTCGCATTTATAATATTAGTAGCGATATTCAAATATATGTATATCTCTATTAACCTGTATCAGATAAATGAAGCTAATATTTTCGGATTTACAATGCGATTTTTATTTTTGCTTATAAATTAGGTACATATTCCCGACGTTTTAGTTACTTTACAGCAAACGTGATTTAAGCAATTTATGTAAATATTAGTTTCATTTAAATGAATACTCTCGAACATCTTAGAACTCATACTGTATATAAAATTTTAATATTTTTAATATAAAATTTCATCGAAATCTGTTAATTGGTTTTTGAGTGAAAGAATATTTTTCAAATATCCTCTTAAGATTACTCATTTATATATTAGTAGAATTATATGCTTAATGAGAGAGATAAAAGGGTGTTATGTGTGTGTGGGTACTCTCAAAGGGATGGAACGATTTTGCTCACTTTTTTTCCTCACTTTAAAGCCAGTTTACATGCAATTATTCTATACTATTTTTATTTAAAATTATTTTATTCATCATTATATTATTCATTATTGATCTATGATAACTCGCTTAGTCAGAATATTGGTTAAATGACAATAAGTACGTTAATTTTTGTTTAATTTAATAAGAGAGACAAAACCTCTCATCATTCAATGTATTCACGGTGCGTGTGTCGGGTCCATCGTTGTAGTGAGAGGAGCTTCAACAGTGACTGGGACTTGTGACCCAGGTGTAGGTTTAATATATATAGAGAGACGAAACCTCTCATCATTCAATGTATTCACGGTGCGTGTGTCGGGTCCATCGTTGTAGTGAGAGGAGCTTCAACAGTGACTGGGACTTGTGACCCAGGTGTAGGTTTAATATATATAGAGAGACGAAACCTCTCATCATTCAATGTATTCACGGTGCGTGTGTCGGGTCCATCGTTGTAGTGAGAGGAGCTTCAACAGTGACTGGGACTTGTGACCCAGGTGTAGGTTTAATATATATAGAGAGACGAAACCTCTCATCATTCAATGTATTCACGGTGCGTGTGTCGGGTCCATCGTTGTAGTGAGAGGAGCTTCAACAGTGACTGGGACTTGTGACCCAGGTGTAGGTTTAATATATATAGAGAGACGAAACCTCTCATCATTCAATGTATTCACGGTGCGTGTGTCGGGTCCATCGTTGTAGTGAGAGGAGCTTCAACAGTGACTGTGACTTGTGACCCAGGTGTAGGTTTAATATATATAGAGAGACGAAACCTCTCATCATTCAATGTATTCACGGTGCGTGTGTCGGGTCCATCGTTGTAGTGAGAGGAGCTTCAACAGTGACTGGGACTTGTGACCCAGGTGTAGGTTTAATATATATAGAGAGACGAAACCTCTCATCATTCAATGTATTCACGGTGCGTGTGTCGGGTCCATCGTTGTAGTGAGAGGAGCTTCAACAGTGACTGGGACTTGTGACCCAGGTGTAGGTTTAATATATATAGAGAGACGAAACCTCTCATCATTCAATGTATTCACGGTGCGTGTGTCGGGTCCATCGTTGTAGTGAGAGGAGCTTCAACAGTGACTGGGACTTGTGACCCAGGTGTAGGTTTAATATATATAGAGAGACGAAACCTCTCATCATTCAATGTATTCACGGTGCGTGTGTCGGGTCCATCGTTGTAGTGAGAGGAGCTTCAACAGTGACTGGGACTTGTGACCCAGGTGTAGGTTTAATATATATAGAGAGACGAAACCTCTCATCATTCAATGTATTCACGGTGCGTGTGTCGGGTCCATCGTTGTAGTGAGAGGAGCTTCAACAGTGACTGGGACTTGTGACCCAGGTGTAGGTTTAATATATATAGAGAGACGAAACCTCTCATCATTCAATGTATTCACGGTGCGTGTGTCGGGTCCATCGTTGTAGTGAGAGGAGCTTCAACAGTGACTGGGACTTGTGACCCAGGTGTAGGTTTAATATATATAGAGAGACGAAACCTCTCATCATTCAATGTATTCACGGTGCGTGTGTCGGGTCCATCGTTGTAGTGAGAGGAGCTTCAACAGTGACTGGGACTTGTGACCCAGGTGTAGGTTTAATATATATAGAGAGACGAAACCTCTCATCATTCAATGTATTCACGGTGCGTGTGTCGGGTCCATCGTTGTAGTGAGAGGAGCTTCAACAGTGACTGGGACTTGTGACCCAGGTGTAGGTTTAATATATATAGAGAGACGAAACCTCTCATCATTCAATGTATTCACGGTGCGTGTGTCGGGTCCATCGTTGTAGTGAGAGGAGCTTCAACAGTGACTGGGACTTGTGACCCAGGTGTAGGTTTAAGGGACCCTATCTAACGCGCATTTTAATAACAAAAGGTCAATGTAATTAAAATTGAATTCAAGAAAAACTGGTTAAGTCTATAATATATAATAATGTGTGGAAATTCTGAGTCTAGACTGAGTCATCAAGTCTCAAATCATCCATCAACTTGACTGATAAATAAAATCTTAATACTGTACAGTTTGTTTAGTATGTTTGTTTATCAGTGATAATGGCTTACATTGCAATATATATTCCTTACAAGAGAGAGAGAGAGAAAAAAATGTGGTAGCCTAGTGATTAAAGGCCGGCTTCTCATGCATGAGGGCGCGGGTTCGATCCTGGCATGTACCAATGTGATTGTTACGAGTCATATGTACTTGATAAGAGTATTTAGACATCACTGATAGACGGTGAAGGAAAACATCTTGTGGAAAATTTCAAATTATAACTTTGAAATCACCAACCCGTCTTGAGCAAGCGTGGTGATTAATGCTCAAACCTTCTCCATGTGAGAAGAGGCTATGCTCAGCAGTGGGCTCTGATAGGCTGATGATGATGATAATATCGTTGCAATATTACTTATAAATTTCATTGAAATTAAACAAAATCTTGTTTTATATCATCCTGAAATACTTATTGGCAACTTTTATTTAGATAATACGTGTTAAACAATTCCCGATGCACTAAATGAGATCACGCGACAATATAATTGGCAAATGAAGTGGGGGCAATGACCTTCACATTATCAAAGAAAGAAATTAATATAAGAGTTTCGTTCTAGTTTTATTTTATCAAGTCTTGAAAGATATTTCTTTGTCTTGAAACTTATATTTTACAGATGACAGAAGAAAATGAGTCAAAATATACAAACATTTTAATATTATTATTATTATTATTTTATTTAGTACCAACAAAGTATACAGTAAATTATTAAAAATATATATGTACAAGGAATATCTTATCTCTAACAAGAGATCTCTTCCAGAAATCCTGAATAAAGTGGAGACCATTTGCAATACAAATTTATAGTGTAGGTACATCAACAAACTACTTATTATTATAAATTGAAGTAGACTTTTTTTTAATAAATATATAACACACTAAATACAAATAAATATACTAACACATATTAATGCTAATAATATACTAAAATCGAAAGTTTGTAAGTGTTTGTCGTTACCTTACGCAAAAACTATTAGACAGATATTGATGAAACTTTACAGTAATGTAAATCAAGCATCAGGATAAGACATAGGCTATAGTTTATGCTGAAACACCTTGTAGTTCCCAAGACTTATGGTCTTATAGTTGTATAGTGTATGAAGTCATGTGACATACATAATATAGAGGTCATTGACCTATTACTACCATATCTATTCTTTTACTACTATACAATTCTCTCTAAGCCAATCCCAAAGTGTAAATAAAGTCGCGGGCATATACTAGTTGTTAATACATACAATAAAATTTTTATTATAGACACTATTCAAAATACACACGTCAATGAACCATTGTAAATCGTTTAATCTCACAATATCATGTTTAATTTGTGCCTGCGTTATCATTTAAAGTATTTTATCAATTTATTATATGTGAAGTAGATTTTTTTAGTTTCGTTATTATAAAAAATACAATATAATTTGAAGTTTCAGAACGCATAATGTTTGTGTTTATTCTCGAAATGTCAATATGACAGCTGTCTTTTTTTTTGGTCGAATCGAAGGTATTAGTGATAAGTTTATTGTGTCATTCTAACACACCAAAAAGTTATTCTGGGTGTGGAACTATTTTTTTTAATATAAAGTAATCCTTTGTAGAGATTTCGATTTTATAAGATATCCTCAAATAATATTTAATATATGGTTTAAAGACAAAGAAGAATTTTTGTAAATTTGCGTTTATTATGTTGTTTTAATATATTATAACTAGCTTTTGCCGCGTCTACGTCCGCGTGGAATAGTGACTTCGGGCAGATTTTTGGTTCTTCCCACATAGTTCCCGTTCTTGCGGGGTTTTCGGAATGATCGAGTGCCCGTAGAATTTTCAGGATTAAACCTTCGTTTTTTTATTCACAATGAAGTACTCTTAACTAAAAACATATTTATTTGAATAAAGATTAATATTATTATGTTGATACAACTTAAACAAATTATTTCGACCAAATTAGGTACCATAAAAACGGGTTTTTGTGAGTTAATCTTAAAAGATAGACATATACTATCGCGGACTGTTTTTTAGATCATTAAAAGAGCTATTATTCTTTAACACATATTTTTTGTGTACCTTGAACCGTTTTCACGGCGCACGCAACGGAAGGTTTCAAAGATGAAATAATTTCTCCCGTTTTTTACACATTTACCACTATATCTTTGCTCCTATTGGTCGTAGCGTGATGTTATATAGCCCACAGCCTTCCTCGATAACTGGTCTATCCAACACAAAAAGAATTATTCAATTCGAACCAGTAGTTTCGGAGATTAGCGCTTTCAAACAAACAAACAAACAAACAAACTCTTCAGCTTTATAATATTAGTATAGATTAGCTATATAAATAAAATGTCATCAAAATCACTTATGCCGTGGTTGCGTAATAAAAATACTACACACTCATATTGTATACAAGAGCGTGTATCTATCTTATATATAAAATTCTCATGTCGCGGTGTTAGACAGAGAACTCCACCGAAACGGATGGACCGATTTTGATGAAATTTGTGAGCATATTGAGTAGGTCTGAGAATCGGCCAACATCTATTTTTCATACCCCTTCATAAGTCATAAGGGTTGTTCACCCTTAACTTTTATTTTATTTTCGGACGAAATTTTTTTTTATCACCAACCCCTATTTTCTTTATGTTTGTATGTATGTTGTTAACATATGTAGGACTAAAAATACGGGTAAAATAGTTTTGACGGGCCCGGATCGACTGAGCCGATTTCAATAAAACTTTGTAGATTATTAACTATAATAGCTAAAATTATAATGCAGAATATATCTCCAATGTAATCAAATTTTATTTAAAGATTTCCAATCAAAAATCACGTTATATACGACATAATTATTATATAATAAGATCTACAAGGATACTGTTAATCATAATATAATTAATTGATTCAAATCTAACATATGATTATATATTTAATTTAGGTATATCGGAAATAATTGTTCTATATTAGAAAATCAAGTAAAATTCGCGTGTTTTACTTAACATTTTATCAGACAATTCGGGAGATGAAAAGGTTGCCTTCTCCAGCTCTCCATTCAAAATATTAAATTAATAGAATTATCGAGAAAATTTTAATTAAAAATAAATGGTAGTGTGTAGGAAAATCATAGTTTCATTAAAATGTGAATTCGCAAACTTTACTCGTAATTAGTTTTCGAGTTAAAAAGCAATAAACATCCTTAAAAACTTTCGCGTAGGTATATATATATGTATAATAGGTATGGATAGGACAGATAAGGTTTCAGACCATTGAAAGAATAATTTAAAAAAATGCTTAGGAATTATAACAGGTTCTTAAAGTAGATGATAATGAATACTTACTTTAAATTATAAATAATAAATATTAGTTAAAAAAATTGTGCGTAGAATCTCTCCGCGTGGAAGAAGTGAAACTTAGTAATGTGGAAATGAAAATAGAAAGGGATAGAAATACCTTTTTAGTTAACTCATATTGTTTCTTTAAGACAGACTTTGTAAACATTTTATAAGCAATGTTCACAATTATTATTATTCTCACTCCGTCCCTTTCTATTCCCCCTCCCTCAGAGCGTTGAACGTTTAACGCAACCTTGTTGGAAGTCGCATAAGAAATTTCATTTCAATGGTTTTTCGATAAACAATTTTTCAGGATTTGAAATTATAAATTACTATTTAATATGGTTCCTATGATAATATTTTCATACCTTACATTTTTTAATAAATTTTAATCATAATTCAATTCATTTCACATATAAAATATTTCCGACATAACATATATTAAAAATTTAAAATATCAATATGTATTAATGTTATATTAAAAAGTTATATATTTTTTAATCTAATGATAAATTGTTTCAGTTATTAGAATGTAACAAAATGGAGTCGTGACAAGGATTACAAAATGGATCCGCAGGAATTAGTACCGCTAGAATGTAAGTATAGCAATTGTTTATTAGTTATTATATACAAATATATTATATACATACATAAGTCAGTGGTGGCCTAGTGGTTAAAAGGCCCGCCTCTCATGCACGACGGCGCGGGTTCGATCCTGGCAAGTACCAATCTGATTTTTCCGAGTCATATGTATTTTCTAAGAGTATTTAGACATCACTGATTAATGCTGATTCCCAAAAAGAAGGATAAATAGCCAAAACTATTCACAACATGTAAGGCAGACCCTGGCTAAAGCTGGGAAATTGCCAGGTAGAAGAAGACATATAAAAGATATATGAAAATAGAATATCTTATCCGATTTACAATAGAATAGAAAGTATTTTTTTTTCAAAGCATATTAAAATGTTCATTTTCGTTTCAAGAAGTCTAACAAAGCAACCTGATAATAATTTTGAGTGAAATTCTATCCGTCTGTTTGTTAGCGTCTAACATCAAAACTACTGAACTGATTTTAATGAAATTTGGTATAAAGATAGATAAAACATAGAGGAAGGATACCAGTTTACTATTATCTTGCTTACTGTAATCCACAAAACATAAATGCTAGTTATAACTTGTTAAATACTAAGAAAGTATAAGTATTAAGTAATCTTTGATCTCAGCGGGACTGCCCCGACCTCGTCCGTCTCGTCAGTTCAGCCACATCAACCGTTCTTGCTACAAGGGACCCTTAAGGATTTGTCGTCTGATACTGCTCATGATAGTGCTGCCATGCTTGTTCATATTCATCCCGCTATACATGAGGTAAGAAGACCTCGTACACATAGCAATAAGAATCAGTGTAACCAAAAATTTTCATTATAAAACTATATATAAAAACTTAAAAGCTACACATATATTATGTTTATATTATGTAGGTAAAAATATACGTAAACCAGAAGTACATGTGTCTATACATTCAACATAATGACAAATAATATACATAAAACACTAATATTCTTATAGTCTTATAAAATTGACATTTCAATGAAAAATAGACTTAAAATTCATTTCAAATAAAGTCCATATTTATCTACTTATCACATATGATAAGAATTACATACAGTTCTTGATACATATATAATAGTACCCCTTTTATTTCAGGTACCGAGTATTTTCAGGACAGATCTATCCAATGGGTATGACAGATATGCGTCTTATTGACAGCAAGATATCACCCACGTGGTGTCAGGTAGGTCTGTACATATAAATATAATAGAAGGAAAAACATATATACATACATACACACACACATACATATGTACATACATACATACATATATATGGAGCTACAGTCTCCAATCCAATGTCCAAAGAAATTTTAAAGGAGGATTTTCATTTCTTTTAAAGAACTTAATTTGTGTCAGCTTTCTTATATTTATTCATATAAACCATATATTCTGATTATGTATACATTTAATGATTAATTTAATTGATTCATAAGTGATAAACTATTTATTATAAAATATTCAAAACACTTTAATTTCCAAATTAAGTTCATATTATTTATCGTAAAATTTCCGCTTTATCTCTACGCTTATCTACAAATTATATTATTATATTTAGATATATATTATTATAATTATATCATTATAGAAAGTCGTGTTAGTTACAGTATTTATAACTCAAGAACGGCTGTAGGGATATGGTTAAAAATTGGCGCGGAAATATCTTAATAGCTTAGAACTAGGAGACGGACATAGGATATTTAATTCTGTTCGATCGAAACAGAAAAAAACAATAAATTCCAATATGGTTATTTATGGCCTCTAGGGCGGAATAGAGTTCGCCCGGTCAGCTATATGTACATATATTACTAATTCCGAATTATACGCGGACGAAGTCGCGGTCAAAAACTAGTAATATACTAGTTTTTGACCGCGACTGTATATTACAGGGTGACTGGTGAATTACTATTGATACTTGAGGACGTGATATTTGACGATCATATATGACAAAATAAAAATTAATATAACATAAATATTAATAAACTTAACCAAAAGTTATGTAATTAATTACGCATCGTGTGAACACCCTACAGATTAGGTATACACACACACACACGCGCGTGCGGCGCGTAGTGTTGTATCAGCACGCCGCCGCACGCGTCCACACTTTATTTATTTATACGGAAATTTTGTCAAAAATTAAGTACCTATTTTTTTTTACATAATTCGAATGAGAATCATGTACCGAGTATTCTCCTTAAATATTGATAGTAATTCACCAGTCACCCTGTATAAATGCCATCTTCAATTGCCTCTGTTATCATAATCTTTGACATTATCGCCACTTATGATAATACTTTTCATTGTTTAAATTTCTTATAACAAGTGTCTTAGCGATCATTCATCTCTTCGATATAAAGAGGCATTATTAGTTTAAATCTAGTTATCCCACGCGACTTGTTCCATTATTATATGATTCTACTATATCTTTTAACAATGAGATCTAAGATATCTCGTCTTAATTAATTTATTTATTTATTTATTTGGTTCTCCAACAATGTGTACACTAAATACATATACAGGGTGACTGGTGAATTACTATCAATATTTAAGGAGAATACTCGGTACATGATTCTCATTCCAATTATGTAAAAAAAATAGGTACTTAATTTTTGACCAAATTTCCGTATAAATAAATAAAGTGTTGACACGTTCCAAGTGTTCAAGTGTGGACGCGTGCGGCGGCGTGCTGATACAACACCACGTCACGACACGCGTATGTGTGAGTGTCAGTGTATACCTAATCTGTAGGGTGTTCACACGATGCGTAATTAATTACACAACTTTTGGTTAACTTTACTTAGAAGTTTATTAATATTTATGTTATATGAATTTTTATTTTGTCATATATGATCGTCAAATATCACGTCCTCAAATATCGATAGTAATTCACCAGTCACCCTGTATACAATTTTTAATGAATAAATCTTAAAACTAAGTGTCAGAATTATTTACAGGAGAACAGGGTTAATGATCACGGTTGCTGAAAAGTAACCGAAATGTTTGGAGTATGTAGTTAAAAATAATAAAATAACGCGTAGTAATTCAAAAAATGTATTAGTTTCATTTAAATATGTATTAATCTTTGACCGTGAAGTTGTGGTTGCCTAAAGGTTAAAAGCCCGCCTCTCATGCATGAGAGTGCGGGTTCGAAACATGACAAGTACCAATGTGATTTTCCAAAGTCATATGTACTTTATAAGAGTATTTAGACTGACAGACGATGAAGGAAAACATCGTGAGGAAACCTGGACTTATAGTTTCACAATTATAAGTTTGAAATCGCCAACCCGTGTTGAGCAAGCGTGGTGATTAATGCTCAAACCTTCTCCATGTGAGAAGAGGCAGCTCAGCAGTGGGTAGATATGTATGGATATCCTGATAATATTTTAAATAAATGAGTTATAAGGATCCATCGCGTTATTATCTTTATATCATCTTAATGCTACAGTATATATGTCATAAAACTTTTTATATGTTCGACGTACGCCTAAATTTATCAGTGAATTTTGAGCCTATAGATTATTATTTATTGTTTATTACTGCGTAACCAGGATTTGAATAAATCCATCAAATAAAATAAAATATAACAATAGAATTTTATATATGATAAAATAAAAAAATGTTTATTTAAGTCGATTTTCTCTCATTTCATTAAATAAAAATGGTAGTAGTTGAAATAATGTAGAAGCAAATATTGTATTGAAGATTAAGATTATTATCAAAAATCTATTGATATGTGAATAAAATTAATTTATTGTTAATAAAGATTATTTTGTTCATTGAAATTTACAGTTGTATAAGTAAATAAAGCAATATTTTTTTATATTTATTAAACTTCCCCTTATGTAACTTCGCCTTAATTCGTCTTAACTAAGTTTAATATGCTTGATACTTTATTACAAGAAAAAACTAATAACCGAAATTGGCTGAAAATTTTCTATTTAGATAGCTAATGAACTCAAATAATACTTTTTATCTTAATAAAGTCATAATTGTATAACTTAAACTAAACAAATCGAAGAAAATATAAAGGAACTCATAATTCTTATTTACATAAACATAGAAAAACAATGAATAAAATTCTTTAAATATTTTTTCTACTTTAACATACCGTGACAAGCACGCGCTTATCCGACCATATCCGATAATAATCCGATTAAATCACCCGTGAAATATTATAATTCAAATTAGTCAAATATATTAATACAACGCATTATAAACTATAAAAATAACAATAATTAACAGGCATAATGTTCTGAAACGCAATATAAAATTGTTCTTATATAACTATTGAGAGAAAAGTTAAACAATCAAATAAATAAAGATATATGGATAACTAGCTGTCCGCCCGCAGCTTCGCCCGCGTGGAGTTCGGTTATATCGCGTTTCCAACAGAACCTTTCATAAGTCTGGTATAAAAACTATCCTATGTTCTTTCTCAAGGTCAACTCTATCTCTGTACCAAATTTAATTAAAATCAATTCAGTGGTTTAGGCGTGAAAGCGTAACAGACAGACAGACAGAGTTACTTTCGCATTTATAATATTAGTAGGGTCCGAAAGTAGTGCTTGGAAGTAGATGAGAGAGGCCTATGTCCCGCAGTGGACTTCACATGAATGAAGATAGATATAATATGGAAACATTGTTTAAAAGACAAATTCTTGTATTCCAAATATTATGTTTAACAATGATAACAATATTTTTGTTTATTCATTTAAAAGAAACTAAGCTTTTATTATACTACGCGTTATTTTATTATGTTAACTACGTACGACGTTTCGGTTACTTAACAGCACTGCTCACTGACAGATGAAATGAAATTATCTGCTAGTGTCTGAAAAACTTTCTTTAATTTAGGTTAGGACCTTTATTAATTTGTTATTTTTAATATTTAATGATTGCTCAGTATCCTTACCACTAGTTTTGCAAACAGTAAAGTTTAATTCACATCTCGTCTGTCCGTGATCACGGTTGCTCTAAAGTAACCGAAACGTGGGGAGTATGTAGTTTATACAAAAATAAAAACGCGATGTAAAATCCGAAAATATTAGTTAAATTTAAGTAAAGTTCTAGTTTATCATTACTATACTACATATTAATACTACATATTTTGAAGATTTATGAACAAACAAACTAGTGTACATAGATGGTGATATAGTGGTTGTAAATTTGGTACAAATTAAGAAATTATCATTACAATAAAGATTATATATACAACTAGTTTTTGCCCGCGACTTCGCTCGCGTTAATTTCTGAATTAGTAATACATATATGTATAGCTGACCAGGCGAACTCTGTTCCGCTTTAGAAGCCATAAATAACCCGATATTGGTATTTATTGAGTTTTTATTTTTCGATCGAATAGAATTAAATATCCTATGTCCGTCTCCTTGTTCTAAGCTATCTCTCCCAAATTTTCAACCATATCAATACAGCCGTTCTTGAGTTATAAATATTGTAACTAACACGACTTTCTTCACACATATAGATTTCTTTCAATATGTAATTATCTTACATATCGTTATAATCAATAGATAGAAACATCTTTAGATAATAGATAAAATTATATCTATGTATATAGATAACCTAATATTGACAAATATTAAGTACTATTGAATATAATCTTTTTAGTGATGGAAATTTTCATGTTTATTCAAATCTGTAGGCTGTAACAGAGATTAAACTCGTAAAAGTCACTATCTAATCTTGAAATATTGTCTCTTTAAGGAATTAGCGAAATTATGATACTATATTATGTCGCTATGTTATTTGATAAAGATGTAATAAAGAAATACATATATATATATAAAAGGAAAATGTACGTCTCATCATGAGTCAGTATAAAATAGGATAATTCATGTTTTTAAGAAACAGTTGAAATTAAGCTAAAGTATAAAAAAAATCACTTCGAAAAAGAGTTTCTGTATCTATATCTAATATCATATAACCTTATATTAATATATATATGTAAAACTAATTACAGATAAAGATATAATATGTTTGTTTCATAATTAGTCGATCCCTTAAAAGAAAATTTTAATTTATAAAGCAATGCTGAAACTATATGTAGTTTGGGATAAAACATAATTTTTTCGTATCCTTTATGTATATCTCTTATATACCAGAAGACAAACATTATTTCCTTATATAAAAGTATTTTATACAACTAAAGTATAGAACTAAAAAAATATCATAAATCAATAAAACTGTCATTTAATAAATATTATAATAAAATATTTATCGACGTGAGCTATAGATAGAATATGATATGACTCAACACCAAGTTTAATAATGAAAGAAAATAATATAAATAAAAAAACATACTTTGGAAAATAGTCATCATCATCAACCTATCAGAGCCCACTGTTGAGCATAGCCTCTTCTCACATGGAGAAGGTTTGAGCATTAATCACCACGCTTGCTCAAGACGGGTTGGTGATTTCAAACTTATAATTTGATATCGTAAGTCCAGGTTTCCTCACGATGTTTTCCTTCATCTGTCAGTTATGTTTAAATACTCTTAGAAAGTGCATCTGACTTGGAAAAATCACAAAAAATATATAAAATAAAATCTATGTTTGATATTACTTTAGTAAAGTATAAGTTTTACGGAATGGTGAAGTCTAGATTATTTCTTCTTCTTCTTCTTCTTAGCGTTAATCCCTTGATTATTTATTATTTATTTATTTATTATTTAGATTATTTATTATTTAATATTATATAGGAGAAAGAATACAATCGACTTTTGATATATAGACAGAGCTCGTACATTACTCATTAGTACTTCTCACAGTACTTTGTTCATTGAATATTAAATTCAGAAAGTAAATTCAACTTTTTAGTGTCAAAATCTTTAGGAACAAATTTCGTAAATCGTATGCAATGTTGGTTAAATAACCACAACTAGACTTCCTAAACTAAGAAAATTTGTACTTTAAGTTGCTGCTACTTCAATATAGTCCCAAATACTAGTCATATTTTACTTTAAGGTTATTCTTTGCCAAAAATATAGAAAATAACATAACTTTTCTGACCAATTCGTTCAATATAGTCCCAAAAACAGAAAATAACGCAACTTTTCTGACCAAATACTATTTCTTCAGAGACAGGTGGTAAAATCCAATGCTACCTTCAATGCCTTCGTGGTCCCAGGACCTCCGGAGCTGATGGATGAACTGGTTCCCGTCTCCATGGTCCGGGAACTTCAGCTTGAAGATGACATGAAGGAATACTGGGGCTTCTATCTATTACAAGGATCCACTGTCACTGTTTCATCTTGTGTCAGGTAAGGATTCGTATCAATTCTTTTCTATGATAGCTTTATTATTATTATTGGAATGAAACAAATTAGTGAGTTTTTTTATTATATGTACTTTCAATAGTTTTTTTTTGGTAGGTGCTCTTGAATCGTACTCTCTATTTTATGAATTTTAAATTAACACAACAACTTATGCTTAAGTCAAGCAATAAAAACAACGATATCTTTTTAATTGAATGGTTTTATTAGTATTTTTTGGGTAAGAGCTCTTTAATATTATACTTTATCCTGAATATTTCATAATTATAAAATTAACATCAGAGTTGGAGATTTTAAAGAATTCATTATATCGATTACTCTGGCTGGCTTGATTGTTAATAAAAATTCTGGATAAATTAGACATTATTTTTCCATATAACACCTGAAAAATGCTGCAATCTTTTCTGGGTATTTTGGAAGTTAAATTAAAAGCCTAAAAACATATTAAAGTTAAAGAAATTCTCTGCAGTAGTAGACATAAAAACAAAAATGAGAAATAAACTTCAATTACAAGTTGATTTGATAGATAATATTTCAGAAAATTCACATGCTTTTGAAAGAAAACAAACCCATTCTTCTCATTAAAATTTAGTTTTTATTATACTGTAGAACTTTACCTTTTTTTACCGGATTCTAAAAAAACACAAGATAATAGAATAGATGTGTCTATATACAGATGGCCAGGAGCGTCACTTATCATGATCAAAGGCTACAAACACCTCCAGGAATGCGCGTACATTGGAGATGATTCTTCTGAAGAGCTCGATGAGCTCATAGAAGCTCACAAACTGGGACTCCTCTCCAACACGACTCTTCTTGAGAAACTGACGCAGTTAAATAAAGAAAATGGAAAGGCCAACCATCCTGGTAAGACTATTTCTTACAGCTCTCCGCCCGCAGCTTCGCCCGCGTGGAGTTCAGTTATATCGCGTTTCCAAGAGAACCTTTCAAAAGTTTGGAATAAAAAGTATCCTATGTTCTTTCTCAAGGTCAACTCTATGTCTGTACAAAATGTCATTAAAATCAGTTAAGTGGTTTAGGCGTGAAAGCGTAACAGACAGACAGACAGAGTTATTTTCGCATTTATAATATTAGTAGGGATGTTTCTTTTTAATGGATTTGTAGGTGTTATAAAAAGAATTTCAAGGTCTAAAAGGTATAGAGATTCGCGTCGAATAGAATTTTATTTGGTTTATTTTGAAAAACATTGAATTATGAATATTCTTAGCAGACTTTCATCTTTCAAGATATATAAAGTGTACAGTAATATTTGAGACTAATAGAGCAACCATACGAAAAAAAAAAATTATTATAATAGATTTTCCTGCAACGTGTTTAGTTTCGTTATTATTTAAAAAACGTTATACAAAGAATTCATTGGAAATAATATTTTTTACATTAAATTACATCAGTTAATTATATTTTTAACAAATAAGTAATCTTAATTTAAATAATACCAAAAAATTGTTCTTTATACTATCATATTAAGAGAAACAACTTGCCTATCATAATACTACCTGACTTATTTACAAAAAATATATATAAATTTAAATACATATTTATATTAATTTTTTTTTGCTATATAGTAGATTATTTATATACTAACATAAGCTAAGAAAATATATTTAAATAACTACCACTTTCCTTGTGAAATACGTGTCGTGACCTAAAAATATATCAAACAACCTTTATCATAAGTACATAACAAATGTTTATACAAACACTTCATATGTAACAGACAATGTAATTATTATGTCACAGAAATGTTATGTATAAATAGGTTGTAAATAGAGACAATAGATAAAAACGTATTGGGAAACGTGTAACTAATATACATCTATATAAAAATAAATAAAAATACATAGTTTTCGTATATACTAGGATTTTTTTCCGTATATACCTACTAATAGTTTTCGTATATACTACTAGTATATCCGAAAAATATTAGTTTCATTTAAATCCATACTTGCGAAAGTCTTAGATCTCATTAACTTATCAGTATTTTAACTATTTAATTTTATTTATTAGTATGGACAGTTATACATAGTAATAACAATATTAATTTTTCATAGATAAACTTTTACCTGAAGCTATACGCGCATTTTTATGCGTTATGGAAAAATAAATAATAAATTGTGATAAAAGACTTATTTAAAGTAGTACGTGTTATACCACTTAAAAAAAACATTGCTAAATTAATGTAATAGCTTAATTAGTAACACTAATCTTTAAATATCATAAAAATAAGCTATAAGCTATTACAACTACTAAAGCTACATAGATTCTTCGTCAACAGAGTTTAGTCAATTTTAATATGGAATTTACAAACTTTTGTACAGAAAATTTCTTTTTTCTTTGACTCCTTATATTGGGTTTATTAGTGGTGAGAGTTATTAAGAACGCAGAGTGATTTTGATCGGACAACCACTAACGTTATTAAACAGATTATTATTAAGATTAAAAGATTATTAAGTTACTCCTTATTAGATCAACTATCTGCCAGTAAAAGTCCCGTCACTATCGGTCCAGCCATTTTAGAAATTAGCTGGACCAAACAGACAGACAGAAAAAAATTTAAAAAAAAATATTTTGGTACATGTACCGTATACATATTCATATGAATGTAGTAAAAAACGGTTATTTCAATATTACAAACAGACACTAGAATTAGATTTATTTGTATATATTATGATTATTTTGTTACTAAGTTCTTAATAATAGGAGCTCATGATGTATATATTTTATCAGGTACAATGAAACGTCACAAGGCCGGCGTTAGTTTCCATGATCCGAGCCAATCAAATCAAACGATGAACGACGCGTCATCAGAGAAAGTACCTTCGCTTGACATCACGGACCATGATCCTAAGGTACGTTGATTAAAAAGGTCATTAACCTCTAAATATTCATCATCATCAGCCTATTAAAGCCCACTGCTGAGCCTCTTCTCCCATGGAGAAGGTTTGAGCATTAATCACCACGCTTGCTCAAGAAGTGTTGGTGATTTCAAACTTATAATTTGTTATTATAAGTCCAGGTTTCCTCACGATGTTTGCCTTCACCGTATGTCAGTGATGTCTAAATACTCTTATAAAGTACATATGACTCGGAACAATCACATTGGAACTTGCCAGGATCGAGCCCGCGCCCTCATAAATAAAAGGCGAGCCTTAAACTTTTAGCCCACTACGATCTCAAAATTATATCATCAAAGAATATATAAAATAAGTGGCATTTCAAGTTGATATCAATATACAACTTAGAAAGAATTATTATAAAGATAAATTCATACAAAATCTTCCTAAGTTGTATTGAAGTTCAAATAAACAATATGGAATGACAAATTCATACATACTAACAGGATTAGAATCTACTACCTTCCGAATATTGCGTTTCATAAAACTTGTCAATTAAAGTATCATGTCCTTACTCGAATGATGGAATTAATCATTCTATATATTAACCTTCACGTCGAAACAGAAGTGGCATCTATACGTATCTGTAAAAAAAATCCTCATCAACATTTTCTATCTTTATAATATACACAATAGACCAAATTCCGTTTAAAATATCATAAATCCTTTCTCAGGAACTTAGACCTAAGTTTCCAAACCTTTAAAATAGATCGTTCTTAATCAGGAACTTCCTATACCCTCTTAGGAAAATCCTCATCAACATTTTCTATCTTTATAGTATATACGAAAGACGTAATTCCATTTAAAATATCATAAATCCTTTCTCAGGAACTTAGACCTAAGTTTCCAAACCTTTAAAATAGATCGTTCTTAATCAGGAACTTCCTATACCCTCTTAGGAAAATCCTCATCAACATTTTCTATCTTTATAGTATATACGAAAGACGTAATTCCATTTAAAATATCATAAATCCTTTCTCAGGAACTTAGACCTAAGTTTCCAAACCTTTAAAATAGATCGTTCTTAATCAGGAACTTCCTATACCCTCTTAGGAAAATCCTCATCAACATTTTCTATCTTTATAGTATACACGATAGACCAAATTCCATTTAAAATATCATAAATCCTTTCTCAGGAACTTAGACCTAAGTTTCCAAACCTTTAAAATAGATCGTTCTTAATCAGGAACTTCCTATACCCTCTTAGGAAAATCCTCATCAACATTTTCTATCTTTATAGTATATACGAAAGACGTAATTCCATTTAAAATATCATAAATCCTTTCTCAGGAACTTAGACCTAAGTTTCCGAACCTTTAAAATAGATCGTTCTTAATCAGGAACTTCCTATACCCTCTTAGGAAAATCCTCATCAACATTTTCTATCTTTATAGTATATACGAAAGACGTAATTCCATTTAAAATATCATAAATCCTTTCTCAGGAACTTAGACCTAAGTTTCCAAACCTTTAAAATAGATCGTTCTTAATCAGGAACTTCCTATACCCTCTTAGGAAAATCCTCATCAACATTTTCTATCTTTATAGTATATACGAAAGACGTAATTCCATTTAAAATATCATAAATCCTTTCTCAGGAACTTAGACCTAAGTTTCCAAACCTTTAAAATAGATCGTTCTTAATCAGGAACTTCCTATACCCTCTTAGGAAAATCCTCATCAACATTTTCTATCTTTATAGTATATACGAAAGACGTAATTCCATTTAAAATATCATAAATCCTTTCTCAGGAACTTAGACCTAAGTTTCCAAACCTTTAAAATAGATCGTTCTTAATCAGGAACTTCCTATACCCTCTTAGGAAAATCCTCATCAACATTTTCTATCTTTATAGTATATACGAAAGACGTAATTCCATTTAAAATATCATAAATCCTTTCTCAGGAACTTAGACCTAAGTTTCCGAACCTTTAAAATAGATCGTTCTTAATCAGGAACTTCCTATACCCTCTTAGGAAAATCCTCATCAACATTTTCTATCTTTATAGTATATACGAAAGACGTAATTCCATTTAAAATATCATAAATCCTTTCTCAGGAACTTAGACCTAAGTTTCCAAACCTTTAAAATAGATCGTTCTTAATCAGGAACTTCCTATACCCTCTTAGGAAAATCCTCATCAACATTTTCTATCTTTATAGTATATACGAAAGACGTAATTCCATTTAAAATATCATAAATCCTTTCTCAGGAACTTAGACCTAAGTTTCCAAACCTTTAAAATAGATCGTTCTTAATCAGGAACTTCCTATACCCTCTTAGGAAAATCCTCATCAACATTTTCTATCTTTATAGTATACACGATAGACCAAATTCCATTTAAAATATCATAAATCCTTTCTCAGGAACTTAGACCTAAGTTTCCAAACCTTTAAAATAGATCGTTCTTAATCAGGAACTTCCTATACCCTCTTAGGAAAATCCTCATCAACATTTTCTATCTTTATAGTATATACGAAAGACGTAATTCCATTTAAAATATCATAAATCCTTTCTCAGGAACTTAGACCTAAGTTTCCGAACCTTTAAAATAGATCGTTCTTAATCAGGAACTTCCTATACCCTCTTAGGAAAATCCTCATCAACATTTTCTATCTTTATAGTATATACGAAAGACGTAATTCCATTTAAAATATCATAAATCCTTTCTCAGGAACTTAGACCTAAGTTTCCAAACCTTTAAAATAGATCGTTCTTAATCAGGAACTTCCTATACCCTCTTAGGAAAATCCTCATCAACATTTTCTATCTTTATAGTATATACGAAAGACGTAATTCCATTTAAAATATCATAAATCCTTTCTCAGGAACTTAGACCTAAGTTTCCAAACCTTTAAAATAGATCGTTCTTAATCAGGAACTTCCTATACCCTCTTAGGAAAATCCTCATCAACATTTTCTATCTTTATAGTATATACGAAAGACGTAATTCCATTTAAAATATCATAAATCCTTTCTCAGGAACTTAGACCTAAGTTTCCAAACCTTTAAAATAGATCGTTCTTAATCAGGAACTTCCTATACCCTCTTAGGAAAATCCTCATCAACATTTTCTATCTTTATAGTATATACGAAAGACGTAATTCCATTTAAAATATCATAAATCCTTTCTCAGGAACTTAGACCTAAGTTTCCGAACCTTTAAAATAGATCGTTCTTAATCAGGAACTTCCTATACCCTCTTAGGAAAATCCTCATCAACATTTTCTATCTTTATAGTATATACGAAAGACGTAATTCCATTTAAAATATCATAAATCCTTTCTCAGGAACTTAGACCTAAGTTTCCAAACCTTTAAAATAGATCGTTCTTAATCAGGAACTTCCTATACCCTCTTAGGAAAATCCTCATCAACATTTTCTATCTTTATAGTATATACGAAAGACGTAATTCCATTTAAAATATCATAAATCCTTTCTCAGGAACTTAGACCTAAGTTTCCGAACCTTTAAAATAGATCGTTCTTAATCAGGAACTTCCTATACCCTCTTAGGAAAATCCTCATCAACATTTTCTATCTTTATAGTATATACGAAAGACGTAATTCCATTTAAAATATCATAAATCCTTTCTCAGGAACTTAGACCTAAGTTTCCGAACCTTTAAAATAGATCGTTCTTAATCAGGAACTTCCTATACCCTCTTAGGAAAATCCTCATCAACATTTTCTATCTTTATAGTATATAGGAAAGACGTAATTCCATTTAAAATATCATAAATCCTTTCTCAGGAACTTAGACCTAAGTTTCCAAACCTTTAAAATAGATCGTTCTTAATCAGGAACTTCCTATACCCTCTTAGGAAAATCCTCATCAACATTTTCTATCTTTATAGTATATACGAAAGACGTAATTCCATTTAAAATATCATAAATCCTTTCTCAGGAACTTAGACCTAAGTTTCCAAACCTTTTAAAATAGATCGTTCTTAATCAGGAACTTCCTATACCCTCTTAGGAAAATCCTCATCAACATTTTCTATCTTTATAGTATATACGAAAGACGTAATTCCATTTAAAATATCATAAATCCTTTCTCAGGAACTTAGACCTAAGTTTCCAAACCTTTAAAATAGATCGTTCTTAATCAGGAACTTCCTATACCCTCTTAGGAAAATCCTCATCAACATTTTCTATCTTTATAGTATATACGAAAGACGTAATTCCATTTAAAATATCATAAATCCTTTCTCAGGAACTTAGACCTAAGTTTCCAAACCTTTAAAATAGATCGTTCTTAATCAGGAACTTCCTATACCCTCTTAGGAAAATCCTCATCAACATTTTCTATCTTTATAGTATATACGAAAGACGTAATTCCATTTAAAATATCATAAATCCTTTCTCAGGAACTTAGACCTAAGTTTCCAAACCTTTAAAATAGATCGTTCTTAATCAGGAACTTCCTATACCCTCTTAGGAAAATCCTCATCAACATTTTCTATCTTTATAGTATATACGAAAGACGTAATTCCATTTAAAATATCATAAATCCTTTCTCAGGAACTTAGACCTAAGTTTCCAAACCTTTAAAATAGATCGTTCTTAATCAGGAACTTCCTATACCCTCTTAGGAAAATCCTCATCAACATTTTCTATCTTTATAGTATATACGAAAGACGTAATTCCATTTAAAATATCATAAATCCTTTCTCAGGAACTTAGACCTAAGTTTCCAAACCTTTAAAATAGATCGTTCTTAATCAGGAACTTCCTATACCCTCTTAGGAAAATCCTCATCAACATTTTCTATCTTTATAGTATACACGATAGACCAAATTCCATTTAAAATATCATAAATCCTCTCTCAGGAACCTAGACCTAATTTTCCAGACTTTTAAAATAGATCGTTCTTAATCAGGAACTTCCTATACCCTCTTAGGAAAATCCTAATCTACATTTTCTGTCTTTATAGTATACACGAAAGACCTTAAAAAATATCATAGATTCTGTCTCAGGAATTTCCTAAGTTTCCAAACCTTTAAAGTAATAATTTTTAATCAGGAACTTCGAGCAATACTAGACTATCTTCACGATATACGTGAAGCAGCTAAAATAGAAAAGGCCAAGTACTACCAGCCTCCTTCACATCTAATGCCTCTACCAGGACTACACAGACATAGAGACACGAACGTGGACAGAGACGAGAGGAAATGGATCTCATTTAAAGGTAATAGAGTTTATATTCAAATAACAGTGAGATTTCCTTTGAAGATATATTCTGGATGTTTTAAAAATAATTTCTTCGTAGTTACATGATTTAAAGGTGTACATCTTCTATATATATAAAAATGAATTGCTGTTCTTTAGTCTCACTAAAACTCGAGAACAGCTGAACGGATTTATCTTATCTTAGTCTTAAAATGTTTGTGGAGGTTCAGGAAAGGTTCAAAAGCAGAAAAAAATTGGTTAATTTCCGAGAAAACTCTAAAAACAGCGCTTTTCTATTTACCACACAAACATTTATTTGATATTAGATTTGAAAACTAATATTTCAATCATTCTGTCGCACTTCAGAACACGGAGATTTATGGCTTAAAGGTAAACTCCGAAAAAATAAATAAAACATCATTTATTTCTCGATTGAGACAGTACGAAGTCTGCCGGGTCAGCTAGTATATATGTAATGTAGGTCTACTTAAATGAAAATATTAAAAAGGTTTTTTTTTAGAAAATATGGAATATTTTAGTAATTCACCATAAATTTATTTGCTTCTGATCAAACAGAATTATGAATATTTAAAATCCATTCCTATAAATAATCACAATTTGAAATGCACCATTTAAATAAGATACTAATTAGTACTTACTTCGATTTTTTTTTATTTAAGATTAATATTATTATATTTAGATAGATTTTCGCGTTTATTAATTTAAATAAAACTAATATTTCAAATACCCACAACGCGTTTTTTATTATTTCATATCTACATACTCCCGATAATCGTTGTGGACATAAAGATAAAATATTGTCAGTGTTGTCATACGGTCATTAACCTTCTCACACTTTAGTATGTAAGGAAATAATTTAAACAACTTCGACCTATATATTGAAGTATTAAACTTTCCCTTTCAGATATCGATGGAAATATCAAAGAAAATGTTACATCTAGCAGTAATATTACTTCAACTGAATCACTCAATACAACATCACACCAAGTACCTAACGAACATACATACAAGAGCTCCAAGAATATAACGAACGAAAACAGTATTAAAGATGAAACTTTAGTGAACAAGAAGACTGTATTGGAGAAAAGAAATGATACTAAAGAAATGGTGAGTCAATATATTACAGAGACGAAACTTATCATTCAATGTATTCATATGCGTGTGTATGTATAAATATCTTGTATTAAAAGTTGGTACTTATAGATAAAGACTACTTAGTTTTTTGGATATATGTCGGTATATAATATTCATTAAAAGGCACTTCTAGTATATTATAAATATATGCCAAAATATTTATAAGTATATATTGAAATGGTTACTTCTTTGCTTACACTTTAAAACATTTCTTATTAGAGAAGTTATTCCAAATAATTTTTATAATACTTTGTCAATTACTTTGTATCAATTATAATATATGTTTCCTTAATACCATTTATATATGTAGTCTTCTTCTACCTGGCAATTTCCCAGCTTTAGCCAGGGTCTGCCTTACATGTTGTAAATAGTTTTGGCTAATTGTTTTTACGACCGGCCGCCTGTCTGACATCAACCCTCTTTGGGAATGCATTAATCAGTGATGTCTAAATACTCTTATAAAGTACATATGACTCTGAAAAATCACATTGGTACTTGCCAGGATCGAACCCGCGCCCTCATGCACGAGCGGCGGGCTTTTTAACCACTAGGCCACCACTGACTTTATTACTTACACCCCGTTCTTACGGAATAGTTTTTCAAAGTTTATTACACGAAGTCATTATATTCTATATTGATAAAGTAATGATTTGATAAGAATATAGAGTAAATACAAATATTTCATAATAATATTTTATGTTGATAGTCTGACGATAGTTGGCCAATATTATATATTAATTTGTAATGATCTACTAAAAATATATATGGAATTTTACTTTATATGTAGGTACATATGTTTACGCTCTAAATTAAATTAAACCATTACGTAGAACTATACTTATTTTAAATAAAAGAAAAACAATATGATTAAAACATAATAAGTATTTAGAAATTTTATATAGATATATGATATACCTATAATTTATCTAATATTCTAATTGAACTAAAACCATACTATTTTAACTTAAAAAAATCAGTGGTGGCCTAATGGTTAGAGGGCCCGCCTCTCGTTGCCGAGGGCGCGGGATGGATCCTGACCCGGGCAAGGACCAATGTGTACTTTCTAAGAATATTTAGACATCACTGATTAATGCTGATTCCCAAAAGAGGGTTGATGTCAGGCAGGCGGCCGGTCGTAAAAACAAATAGCCAAAACTATTCACAACATGTAAGGCAGACCCTGGCTATAGCTGGGAAATTGCCAGGTAGAAGAAGAAATGGCATAGTCTATATAAAAACTAAAATAACTAGCATCATAATACACAGTGTATAATTATGTGGTTCATCGTATCAGTATGTTAATATATTAAAATTTGCATAGTAACAAAGCTATCGTTTTATATACTAATTACTATAGTATCTAGTATAAACGATAAAAGAGTAATATCATATCAATCATGCCCAATCTATAGATAACTAATAATAAAATAGTTACCAACCAGTTAATGGTACAGTTAAAATTAACTATGTACTCGTAGATACTATTTAGTTAACAAAATCTTAACTTAACAATCATTAACAATTTTGGCAATTAACGAAATTTAAAGATAATGAGATGTAAGACTTTTGCAAGTATTCATTTAAATGAAAATAATATTTTTCGAATGTACTACATACGCGATCGTTTAAAAGTTTAAAATAATAAAAAACGCGTAGTAAATCCGAAAATATTATTTAAATTAAACCATCTCCCAAAGTAAATTAGGATAAATAATATATTTGAATGTATAATAAATCCTTTATTTCCATACAGAAGGAAGATCAAAGCTCCAAAGAAGTGTTTGAAAATGTATTGAAGCAACTCCAAGATTTGGGTGACAGAGGAAAAAGAGTTTTGGTCAAACTGCACCAAACTATGGCAGTTAATTTTAACGAATCAGTAAGTACTTTTAATATAACTACAAATTATGGTTCAAATAAACTACTTTTTTGTTAATATTAAGATTCATTGACGATTCAATATTTTCTATCTCATTTGACAATTGACACAATGATGACAAATGGATTACATTCATAAGTTGTACTTAGAGTCAACTAGATGGCGCTAGAAGACATTTAAAACTTATTTTGATACATATTAACAGTTGAACTAAACTTAATTGACTTTTATCTCGTCTTTAAATAATAAAGTTAGCTATAGTCTTAAAAGACTGTAAAGTAAAGTAACCATTACCTTTTAAGAGTAATGGTTAAATAGAAAATACAAGTTATAAACAAAAAAAAATGATTAAATTCTTATTAACTACTATAAAATTATCTCAGTAATATAATTTCAAAATTATTCAGTCTTCAGATACGTTGACTGGTAGTGACGAAGAATTGGATCACTTGAGACGAGTTTTAGTAGAAGCTATCGATGAAGAAAAAACTCGAGGACAGAGACAAAGTAAGGGAGCAATAATAAAGCTTATTTTCCTTTCATTCTGATATTAATATCTATATTATTTCATCTTCCATACAATATCTTATTTAAAATACCCGTTTAACTCAATTTATTTCAGAGAAAATAGAAAAATATAATCTACTATTATGTATATAGAATAAAAGATTTGAAATTGAAACGAAATTATATTTTGATCAATAATAGCATTACATTAATATCATCTCTGTATAAATATTTCAGAAAAACGCCGCGAATCGTTTGTAGAGGCAAGAAATAAAAGAGAATTGATGTTGGGTCGTGAAGAATTGAAGAAAGAATTGACGGAAGACGATGCAGCCAGAGATTACGCCGCTGAGGAAGTGAGTACACACACGCACACACACACACACACACACACACACACACACACACACACACACACACACACACACACACACACACACACACACATCCACACACACTCACACACACGCACACACATGTATGTATGTACCCAGGACATAGTGCACTTATAAGAATAAACACTCGGACTTCTCACATCATTTTATTTAGTACTAGTTTTTGACCGCGACTTCGTCCGCGTTAGTTTGGTCAATATATGTAGGTATAGCTGACCTGGCAGTGGTGGCCTAGTGGTTAAAGGGCCCGCCTCTCGTTGCCGAGGGCGCGGGTTCGATCCTGGCCCTGGCAAGTATCAATGTGATTTTTCCGAGTCATATGTACTTTCTAAGAGTATTTAGACATCACTGATTTATGTTGATTCCCAAAGAGAGGGTTGATGTCAGGCAGGCGGCCGGTCATAAAAACAAATAGCCAAAACTATTCACAAACATGTAAGGCAGACCCTAGCTATAGCTGGGAAATTGCCAGGTAGAAGAAGAAGCTGACCAGGCAAACTCTATTCCGTCTTAGAGGCCATAAATAATCAGGTTTTTCCTGTTTCAATCAAACAGAATGATTGACATATTAGTTAGTTGTCAAATCTAATGTCAAAAAAAAACGTTTGTATGGGAAATAGAAAAGGGCTGTTTTTATGGTTTTCCCAGTAATGAATCAATTTTTTTCAGCTTTTATACCTTCCCTGAACCTCCACGAACATTTCAAGACTAAGATAAGATAAATCCGTTCAGCCGTTCTCGAGTTTTAGCGAGACTAAGGAACAGCAATCCATTTTTATATATATAGAAGATAGAAGATAGTGCGTTTGATTAAAGCTCAGCTTTGCATATGTGTGAGTGCACACGGATAGTGTAGGTGTGATGTAAATTTTTTGAATTCCACGTTCTTTTCTAGTTTTGAACCGGTTTATTCATCTTTTACTCCGCCCCGCACCTTCCTCACTTCACCCTTTGTACTGATAGCAACGTCAAATGTTGAAAACCCAATGTCAACTGAAGAAAAATATGAATTGTTTTTATCAAAATTTTTATTACTTAATAAATTTTTTTCCATAATATTTCCATTTGGCCTTTAACAAGTTTTGCTTATTTTATTTTAAATCTAGAATAGCTCTAGCACTTATATTACGTATCTATTTAAAATATAATAAAATTGAATTTTAATAGTTTTTTGTCTAACTCTACTTTTACTTTCACTCACACAAATACAAAGCTCATCTTAAGTCTAACGGACTATAATAGTAGTATGATGTATGTATGTCAGTGGTGTCGTAGCTTTGAAACAGATCCATCGATTTCAATACGGTCTTCAGAAGTACGATCTAAGAATGAATTTATATTAGTTCTTGGCAGGAAAAATTCTTTTAGTATGTTATTGACATTTATCTGTTATCTCGCTCCCACTTCTTCTTCTAACAAGTTTCAATCTACACGAGGTATATATATTCTTCTGTCTCCTTTCTCCACATAAGTTAATCTATATCTGTCTCGCTCCCACATTTTCTAACAAGTTTCAATCTCTATTCTTCTGTCTCCTTTCTTCACACAAGTTTACCTATTTCTGTCTCGCTCTTTCAGGGTCTGGAACCAGACGGGTTCGCGGATCACCACGACCAAATCAATGAGACCACAGCCTTCGATATGTCGAACTCTGAGTTCTGGTCGTCTTTCTCTAGTAGCGAGGAGGCGCTGCTGGAGTGTGAGGGTCTCATACTGAACCTGCCTCTCACTCCTCACGCGTCGTGTACACCGGGAGCTTCGGAGAAGGATGTTATGGATGCGGCAGCGGCTAATGCACTCACTTACAGGTATATATAATATATATACAGGGTGACTGGTGAATTACTATCAATATTTAAGGAGAATACTCGGTACATGATTCTCATTCGATTTATGTAAAAAAAATAGGCACTTAATTTTTGACAAAATTTCCGTATAAATAAATAAAGTGTTGACACGTTCCAAGTGTTCCTAGTGTGGACGCGTGCGGCGGCGTGCTGATACAACACCACGCTTCAACACACGTATGTGTGAGTGTGTGTGTATACCTAATCTGTAGGGTGTTCACACGATGCGTAATTAATTACATAACTTTTGGTTAACTTTACTTAGAAGTTTATTAATATTTATGTTATATTAATTTTTATTTTGTCATATATGATCGTCAAATATCACGTCCTCAAGTATCGATAGTAATTCACCAGTCGCCCTGTATAATCATCATCATCAGCCTATCAGAGCCCACTGCTGAGCTGCCTCTTCTCACATGGAGAAGGTTTGAGCATTAATCACCACGCTTGCTCAAGACTGGTTGGTGATTTCAAACTTATTGTGAAAATATAAGTACATGTTTCCTCACGATGTTTTCCTTCATAAGTCAGTGGTGTCTAAATACTCTCAGAAAGTACATATGACTCCGAAAAATCACATTGGTACTTGCCAGGTTTGAACCCGCGTCCTCGGCAACGAGAGGCTGACCCTTTAACCACTAGGCCACCACTGACTTTTTACACATACATATATACATATGTGTATGTATGTGTGTGTGTATTTTTGTACAAGGCCGTGGTGGCTTAATTGTTAAAAGGCCCGCATCTTAAGCATCAGGGTGGTGTTCGAAACCTGGCAAGTACTCGTACCAATATGATTTTTCCGACACCACTGACAGATGAAGGAAAACATCGTGAGATAATCTGGACTTATATCAAATTATAAGTTTGTAATCACCAACCCGTTAAGCAAGCGTGGTGATTAATGCTCAAACCTTCTCCATGTGAGAAGAGGCCTTGCTAGCAGTGGGCTCTGATAGGATGATGATGTTGATTTTCATGTACATATTTAAATGATTATCTAAATGCATTCTGATGACCAAGATTTCGATATTAGTTTTTGAATACGAAGTAAACATTATCAGTTATCTTAATTAACTTTAGCATTTTGAACGATTCAAAAACTTATCCTGAACTATGACTCAACTGTCTTGAACATAGTAATATTAATTTTAAGCTTACGGAACATTTGACAAAAATTAAAGAAAATCCAAATAACCATTTAATTTCACACAAAGTACCCAAATACAAACGTAAAACTTATTTTAATATCAATTTTTTTACAGGGTTCCAGCTAACGGATACTATTTCTTTGTATTCAATTCTGAGAACGAAGTTCAAGTCAACCACATAAGAGCGAGGTTTGATCTTCAGAAGACAAGATATGAAGTGACCCGCGCAGCGTTACGAGCTTGTACAAACGCGACCAGTCGCTGTGACCTGCCTCTCGATATGTTTTCTACGCAGAAGGTGGGTCTATTTAAATTGGTTATAATTCGACCAAAACTCAATGAACCTTATCTTGATATATTTGTATGGCTGTTTAGGGATCATCTTAATTTGGTTACTTTACTACATAATCTTAATATATATAATTCTTTTGTCAGTGTGTATGTCACTGAACTTCTCTCTAACGACTGGACCGATTTTGATGAATTTTTTTGTGTTTGTTCAAGGACATCTGGGAATATTTTAGATTCACAATTTTGTTTTTTCATTAATTTTTAATTTATTAGTAGTTGTTGATACAAACGTTTTTTATGACATAAGATTTGACAACTAACTAATATGTCAATTATTCTGTCGCACTTCAAAACACGGAGATTTATGGCTTTAATAGGTAAACTCCAAAAATATAAATAAAAAACGTAACAGATATTTCTTGATTATAGGGCGATACGAAGTTCGCCGGGTCTTCTAGTATTTTCATAAAATTTCTTGGAACTTTTCACATTGGTTAGAAGATCACCAAAATTTTATGAACCTTATCTTGATATATTTTCTTTGCTGTTGAAGGATCATCTTAATTTGGTTAATTTACTATATAACATTTTCATTTGTTTCAGGTGGTTTTAGAACTTCCTTTGAGGAACAATGATTCTCTATGGAATGAACAGTTTGTTATTATTTCAGAGTGTGAACCTCGTACCTCCGTGTATTTGACTTGCGCCATCGCTGTACCTATACTCATACTGGCATTTGCATTTCAATAATATTGAATATCTTTTCTTTATAATAATTAAAACTTGAGGAAAAACCGTCAAAATTAAAAAAAGATTACATAATAATTGAAATTACAGGGATTTTTGTATAGTTTAATGCATTTTTGTTAAATTTTAAGTTTTTTTGTCGAATATATCTAAGTCAGTTAATCTACACGGGAATATGTTTTATATATTTCCTTTATGGGACCAATATTTTTAGGAATTTTAATATGATCACTAAATATTTCATTTTGATAGGCTATATGATCTTCGTTACAATTTTTTTAGAGTAGATCCATCTCTTAAAGAAAATGTTGTTAATACATTTATATGCTTATTTGTAAGAGACAATATGTGTTCGGCCTAAAATTTTAAATGAAATTTGTAATGTAAGATAATCTTATCTTTTATTTTAGGTAATCGTAGATTGTAAGGAAAATATACTAAAAAATATTTTTCCATAAATATTATTAGTATTTTCGTATATTAATTGTTTACATTATATAATATTGGTTACAATAAAATATTAACCTATTTACAACATTTAAGGTAGACCCTGGCTAAAGCTGGGAAATTGCCAGGAAGAAAAAAATGTTGGTTGTGATGTTACTCTGTATATATTAAAGTAACGAAATTAATTAACTTTTTGATAATTTTATAAACAAATTATTATATTTTTATAAGTTTAATATTAAGGAAGAACATATCGAAATATTTGTAAATGTTTTTATATTGAGGCTGTTTTTGTGATACTAGTCATATCTGAATAAAAAAATATATAAAAAAATAGTTTATTTATTTTAATATATTGATGGTCGGGTGTACATTCCGGCGAATAGAATGAGATCAGTCTTTTTATCCACTATGAGATACGCGAATGGTCTATCCGCTGAGAAAATATCCTGTTCATTATTCCTCACCAAAAACTCAACTTGTCCATTCACACCTTCTTCTGTTATTTCTATATGAGTGATCTGCTTCATTAGCGATGTATGGACTTTAAAATCACTGATGCCACCAAAATTAGCTAGATCAGGATAAAATATCCTTTTAACACCCATATCGTAGACCAATTCCGGTATATTTTGTAATTCAGTGGTAATTTTAAATCGTGGTAACCTAACTGTTAATAATTTTGGTCCAGCATCTTTGAATAAATTGAATATCGATGTCAATCTGATGTAACTTAGATTGTAAAATAAATCTTCTACATAGCCTTTTGTTGGTAGGAAAACCAACATTGATACTCTGCCGTTTGAATTGAGAGGTAATTCAACAACTCGGGCATTGATTATCGGTACTTCAGTGACATTGAAGTATCCGATTTGTGTCATTAACTTCACTTTTCCGATAGCCACTGAGGATTTGTAGAAGTTTTCCACTGAAGTGTAAACGGGATTGAAAGCGTGTAACCAATCGCTCTTGAAGTACGCTACATCTGTTGTCATGAGTACAGTCATATTGAAGTCTTCTGGTGTAACAGTTTTTGTGACTACTCCATTTATATCAGTCTCTATGAAATCATTAGCTTTTGACGCAGAATCAATTGGATTATTAAAATTCAAAGACAAAATCTTTGTTGCATGGGATTTCATTGCTTCGTCCTCGTATGACTTTTTGATATTTAATAATTTGTTCATGATGACTATGTTAGTTCTTTTCGTCATGTAAGCTAACTCCTCATCCATAGCGTTGATGATCTCTTTGTATTTACGTCTAAAACATTTCACGCGATGGTATCTGGTAACTTTCCATAATTCGCTGCGAGTTTTTCCACGGGCGCCTTCAGCCAAAGTCATCAATTGCCACCAGGTCGAAAACGGAGAGAAGACGAAATGGAAATAAGTCTCCGTAGCAACTTTGTCAAGAATTCTCACAGAAAAATCATAAGTCGGCTGTTTGAATGCGACGAGAGCGTTCTCATCATTACAGTTTGTCGTTTGACTTGATACGCACGAAAATATTAACATAAAACAAACACTTAAGTACAACATGATTTTAAACACATTAGTTGTTATATAAATAATTCTAATATATACAGTTTTTGTTACTTTTAATCTAGTTTTATTTACATATGTTATTGTTAATCTAACAATTGACAAAATTCGTAGCTCCCTTATAAACTATTTTCGCGTATGATAAAACTGCACAATATTCAATGAGTTATATCATTATTTATAATGTCGACTATGAACTCGGGTCACGAACGTGATACGTCACTTGAGATATTACTTTGTTTTTCTGTATTTTCCAGAATAAATTCCAAATAGTGAGTACCTTTTAACCCTATTAAGAACAAGGTAAGACCCAAAAACATATAAATTTTCCGTTAAACTATAAACAGATATTTTGTTAGTAGATTTTATTTATTAACTTTGTTTATTTAAATTCAAATATACATAGTGTTTCTATAATACCTCAAAAATATTTGGTAAGTAGAAAAAATGTTTACATAATATCCTGGAACATTTATTGAACAAAAAAAAAATTATAAAACATTTGAATCTCTATATAAAAGGAGTTTTTTTTGAGATTTTCTATAAAAAAACTTGATGTCTTTTAATGATTTTTGCTTATGTTTTCGTTTGTCTCTAAATCAAACATCTCTAAATTTTCTATAAGAATAACATTTAATAGCGTTACTTTTTAGTGTTCTTTTTATGTTATGTTAATTAAACTTGTATGATACCACTTATTTCTTATATAATATATTTTTATCTCAATTTAACAATTTTTTTCTATATCTAACTCTTTAATTAACATATTTTAATGGGTATATTCCGAAAACGATAACAAAAAACAAATGAGTACACATACTAGTTACTGTGTCATACATAAAATGTTGCCCAATCTATTTAGACCCTCGTTTATTTTTGTTTCTTCTACTAGAAATAAGTTTAGTTTCTCTGGACTTGAAAAAACAAAGTAATGGAAACAAGTGATATTAAATATATAATATAAATACTACATCGAAAAAAAATTATTAATAACAATTTGATGTCGGCGTATCTATAAGCATTTTCACGTTCTAATCTAATAAATAAATATATTTTTATAAGAAAACCTAATATTATGTAATAAATGGAATTTATAAATTAAAAAACCTGTTAGATCATAATTATAACGGAATAAAAAAACCAATGTTTTGTCTTTAACGTACTGTTAACAATAAATCTTCTTATATAGGTATATTACTTTTCATTTAAAATTAACGAAAGTCGTTCAGTACAGAAATAAATCTATTAAATTTCGTCTAATTAAGACATTTTTACGTATTACATCTAATATAAATCAACCTAAATTTCATTGTACAATCAAATGTAACAACCAAAAGTACTATAACCTTTTTATCTCGTTGCCCGGTCATTTGATAACGCGACTCCAAGCATCAGTCACTTCAGGCTGTGCCGAAGACAACGGTCGACATGGTTGCTATCAGAATATTAGTAATATTCACACTCATACCTACAATACTATCACAATGTACCGTGGAGAAAGCTGAACCTTTATTCAGAAGATCAGTTTATGAGTTCTCAGTGAATCTATTATCAAGAATCGCTTTAGAAAAGGATAATCATTTCGTGACATCGACGTTTTCTATATGGGTATTGCTTTCCTGCGCGTCGCTAGGCGCTTCGGGCGGGACACTGCAAGAACTGAAGCAAGTATTACAGTTGAATGACAACAAATGCTTCAATAATAAATACATGAAGCTAGCCAGTACAGTGACAAGCAATAATGATACTGATGTCATATTAGAACGTAGTGCCTTAATATTTGTTGATAAAACAATATCATTATCAGATTTCTACAAAGCTAGACTAAGTATGACATCAATTGCTGATGTTGAAACAGCGTCCTTTGATAATCCAGATGTAGTTGCGTACGTTATAAACGAGTATGTGAGACGAGCTACTCATGAAACTATAGAAGATATAATAACTCCAGCAGATTTGGAAAACTCTTTAATTGTGATGCTGGATGCAATCTTCTTTAAAGGTATTTGGAAGACACAGTTCTCTGTCGAAGATACTGAAGTTAGCGCGTTCTATAACGACTTGGGTGATTCGATCGGCGATGTGAACCTTATGTTCATTAGTTCACAGTTCAGAGTCGGTATAATCAAACAGATTGACGCTCAGATATTGGAACTACCCTACGGAGACAGCGATAGATATTCCATGATCCTTTTCCTTCCATTGGACGGCGTGCCCCTATACAACGTGATCAGCAACCTCAAATCTATCAATTTAGCGTCAATAAAGAACTTCCTAAACATCGATCCTATAACAGTACAGGTTCAAATCCCTCGTTTCGAGATTTCCTCTGATCTAAACAACTTGAAGGAGCTCATGATCGACATGGGTTTGAAGACTATGTTTGAAGACCGGGCAGACTTTTCGTTTATGTCAGATTTCCCGCTACACATATCTAATTTCATACAGAAAGCTCATATAGAGGTTACAGAAGAAGGTACTGTGTCAAGTGCGTCTACGCTAGACGATTTTTCATTCAGGAGTATGCCTTACCAGTTTATCGCCAACAAACCATTCCTATACATGATTGTCGATAAACAAGTTGAAGTGCCTCTCTTCATGGGAGCCTATTCGAAGCCATCCTTGTATTAATTGTAAATAGTTCTACAGGTCTTAGTTTATTTTATATCTTATGTAATTACAACAGGAATTTCACATTTTGATTGATAAATCACTGATTTATTTTGATTCTTATAACCAATGACAAACAACTTAGTAATTGTATCTGGGTTTTCTTTATTTAAGAATTTCTTACTATCATCATGTCTTCACATGTTGGCTACTACAAAGTTTGTGAATATACTTTTGGAAGCCTAATTGACTCCATTATATACCTCCTAGCCAATTATACAACATAGGGTGGTTGTTTGTGTTTAGATAAATATTTAAAACATGAAAATCATTCATTTAAGTAAGAAAGTTGTTGAAATATGTGGAATAAAATTTTATGTTACGTTACTATTTGTAATAGTATACTCGTATGGCGATTTCAGTAATTAATAAATAGATTCAATTAAAACAGGGAACGGCTCACAATTCACAAATACCGACACTCTTGACAATGTTGCTATATCTCTATGAATGTGAAATGATAAAAGTTTTAATTTAAGCATTTAAAATCAATGGCACACTTGTCTAATTTTTACTATGTAGTCATTTTCGCTTTAAATTTTATATTAGCAATTTTTATATACAATGTTTTGTAACCAATGTACAATATTAAATAAAGCTACCTATCAAAAGTTTTTTATTGACACCACTCTTCTATTCAATGATAAAAAAACATGTTTATGACAATATTGACTATAATTTTATTAAGGCAAAGGTTATATACAAGTTATGTACAACATTTTAAGTAAATTTTATATTCATTCTTGCCAAAAAATGTCTGTTTATAGACAGTTGAAATTAATACATTTTTTATTGCATTCAACTCTATCCTAAACCGAAAACATTGTCGTTTTCTTTTTCTAATAATACTATTTAATTACAAATAATATAATATATCATATGAAGTTACTTTTAAAATTATGTTCGTGAGTATGAAATTGTTACCAACACTACATATCTACTGTCAGTTGTCACAAAGTTATGTTTACACTTTACAGGAATCATTTATTTATAACTAGCTGACCCGGCAGACTTCGTACTGCCTCAATCAAGAAATAAATTATTTCTTAATTATTTTTTTGGAGTTTACCTTTAAGCCATAAGTCTCCGTGTTCTAAAGTGCGACAGAATGATAGACATATTAGTTAGTTGTCAAATCTAATGTCAAAAAAACGTTTGTATGGGAAATAGAAAAGGGCTGTTTTTATGGTTTTCCCGGTAATGAATCAATTTTTTTCATCTTTTATACCTTCCCTGAACCTTCACAAACATTTCAAGACTAAGATAAGATAAATCCGTTCAGCTGTTCTCGAGTTTTAGCGAGACTAAGGAACAGCAATCCATTTTTATATATATAGAAGATTAGGTAGTTAATAACAATGACATTGGCAAAAAATTCCACAAGTCCAATGTGAAAGAAGCTATAGTATAGAAAAAAATATATAAAACCTTATTTTAGATTTTCTTTTACAAAATATTCCAAAAATAACCTAAGTAATTTTTTTTTTAAATTTTTCATTTTTGATATAACAAACAATTAACGCAGTTACTTGTAGCCATAAATATGACCTTGTACAGAAACCTTTATTAAGTACCTATACGTATGTAATTTTTTTGCTTAACCAATTGTGAATCAGTATTTATCTCGAAAGTTGAAAAAACAAAACATTGTCACTAAGTTAAAACTCAAGTATTCAAGTAAGTTGATTTTTATTGCGTATCATTGATCGTATCTTAATATTACAATGTATTTATAAAACCATTAAAATTTTATTGTTTGGGTAATCGACATTATAAAACACAATAAAAATTTACATTTCAACATAAATTTTAACTAATTCGTATGAGTTATAAAAAAGTAATACTAATTAATGTGTTATATTAAAAATAAACCATTACATTATTTAATAACCTTTGATATTTGTTCAACAGATCATATAAATCAAGTTTCAAACTATTTCTAGAATGTTACGTGATAAGTCAAATACTTATACACTATCTAAGGAGCAAAAACAATTCTATGAAGACAATGGATATCTGGTTATTAAGGAATTCTTTGATTTTACAACACTTTATAACTGGAAGTAAGTATCATCTACTATCATAAGTGTCTCGCTGCCTTTTTGACATAGTTTTTCAAAGATTTTAAACTTAATTAAGCAATGAAATCTTTTATCAGAAGTTACAAAACTACATGTTTGATGAAGTATGACCATTGATTTATAGTATGAATGGTATTCCAGGAAAAGATTCCAACTTATATGTAGAGGAATCGTCGACAAAGGTAACATGCTTGTGTTTAAAGAACCAAAACTCGTCGCACAAGGCTTGAAAGGAGAGGATCTTATTAACAAGGTAATGTAAGAATTCAATGACAAAACAAATGAATTATTAGTAGAGCAATAGTTTATAGGTTTAGTTAAAATAATTATCGTTTTTCTAGTATCAACATATAAGTAGTTTTAATAATAATTAACGATCTTTCTTCTTCCTGGCAATTTCCCAACTTTAGCCAGGGTCTGCTTAATAACTAAAGATATTGTCTAATATAATATATATTTAAGGTTTCAGAGATTCAATATGACGAAGTTTTCTCCACATTTACTGAACATCCTCGTCTAATCAATGTACTTTCACAATTCATTGGACGCGATATGAATGTTATGAACAGTATGTTCATTAATAAACCACCGGGAAGTACAAGACATCCACCACATCAGGTAAATATAACAAAATAGTTGTCATCAGCCTATCAGAGCCCACTGCTGAGCAAGGCCTCTTTCTCACATGGAGAAGGTTTGAGCATTAATCACTATGCTTGCTCAAGACACGTTGGTGATTTCAAACTTATAATTGTGAAACTATAAGTCCAGGTTTCCTCACGATGTTTTCCTTCACCGTATTGTCAGTGATGTCTAAATACTCTCAGAAAGTACATATGACTTCGAAAAATCACATTGGTACTTGCCAGGTTTGAACCCGCGCCCTCGGCAAAATAGTTACAGTTTTCTAAATATGTAAATGAAATAATTGCAGTCTTTTTTAATAAATTATTAATTATTAATTAAAAAAGTTGGGTATTAGTATTCAACAATTAAATGTGTATATGTTTGAGTTTCTCTAAAACTTAATTCCATTCATATTCTCAAGCATGTTTAACATTATACAATTAATTGTATAGATTCCAATAAACAACTTGACTGAAAGAACAAAATTTTTGTGTTAACGATAATATTATATTGTAAAACAGTTGAAGGATAGTAATCCTAAATTATATACTTTTAAAGTCACATTCTGAGTCCCGAAAAAGTGAAAGGCTTTTAGTATTTGTATTTCTATTTTAAATTATTCAATGTCCCTCATAAATTTTACAATAAAATAATGTTATACATATTAATATTTTGTTGTTGTTTAAAATCGGGCAAGTACCAATGTGATTTTTCCAAGTCATATGTACTTCCTAAGAGTATTTAGACATCACTGACATACAGTGAAGGAAAACATTGTGAGGAAACCTGTACATATAATATCGATTTTTAAGTTTGAAATCAGCAACCCGTCTTGAGCGAGTGTGGCAATTAATGCTCAAACCTTCTCCATGTGAGAAGAGGCTATTCTCAGCAGTGGGCTCTGATAGGCTGATGACGATGATGTTGTATATTCCAGGACCTGTATTATGTTGTATATTCAAGGACCTGTATTATTTCCCGTTCCGGCCAGCAGATAAGATTGTAGCAGCTTGGACGGCCATCGATGATGTAACAGTGGACAATGGATGTCTGTATGTTGTACCGAGATCACATAAGAACAATACTATATACAGACATGGAAACTTACCTGTGAGTTAATCAAAATTATAATTATACTAACTAAACCTATGTATTAATTTAATTATTTAATAACACATATGTCTTGATGAGTCTGCGGCATTAAGAGATAAACTTGTGAAAATATAGCTTAATTTATATAAAGACAATCAGATTATCATACATCCATAAGAAACAATGTAGTAATAATTTTAAAGAATTGTCAATCTTGTTTTTTTTTACTTTAATATTGTTTTATATGCATGATGCCATTTGAATTAATTTATAAGTGGTAGATATCATTTTTTCTTATACCTGGTATATTAAAAATTTGAATCGCCAACGTCCATACCACGTTGAATACACCGGTTCTCGTCCGATCACCGAAGTTAAGCAACGTCGGGCGCGGTCAGTACTTGGATGGGTGACCGCCTGGGAACACCGCGTGATGTTGGCTTTTTGCACATTTTTAAATAAAGTTTATCATTTACATATCACACAATATACTAACATAAATTTGTTTTTTTTTATATGTATATATTTTTTTTAATTGTTTCGTTTTTATTACACTATATATAATATCGGCAGGACTCCAACAAGTTGTATCACGGTATCTTGGAGTCAGGTCCGTGTGAGCCTAAAGTGTATGTAGAGATGTCTCCCGGAGACACGGTCTTCTTTCATCCTCTCATCGTTCATGGATCAGGAGAGAACAGAACAAAGGTAACACACTTATGTATAATTTAGTGATTAAAGTAAAATAAATTTATTTATGATCAGCGCCATCTATCGGCGTGTGTTGTAACTCGGTGGTGTTCTATTAACAAAGGTAACACAGATATATTACAACTCATTAAAGTAAAAGAAACATTTATTTATGATCAGCGCCATCTATCGGTGCGTGTTGTAACTCGGTGGTGTCATGTTTCAGGGGTATCGTAAGAGTATAACGGCTCACTACGCGAGCACGTCGTGTGTGTGTGTGGACGTGAGGGGGACTGTACAGGAACCAGTGGCTGAAGAATTGGAGCAAGAGGCGAGGAGGAGGGGGATGGAGCTCAGCTTCCAGGTGACACACACACACACACACATACAGACACACACACACATATCTCGTGTATATATTCTGTTATGAAACTCTCACGCATGATATCTTTCGATCTCTTTAGATTTCGGGTAAGATTGTCTAACACGAATAACTACTAATTCAGTAGAGCTACAAAAATGGGAAAAAAATTAGGGGCACAATAAATCCATTTAAGTTCATATTAATTTACAAAGATATCGCTATACGTAGTATGAACGGAAAAAACGAGGTTGTTATTTCAGTACGCTAAAGCACTTGCATCGGGTGTGCACCACGTTGGTAAAAAAAAGGTATTAGTGTTGAAATATCAGTTATTTGGAGGATCTATGCAAGTTATTTTATTCTTCTATGATATATCTATGTGATAGTAAATTACATTAGTAAAATATACGTTTTTTACGAAGTTATAGTTGATCAAATTAAAAGCTGGTCTCAAAATAGGCCGTGGCGAAGTCCGTCTAGGCCATGGAGGGTAATGAATGTCACATACAGATATTATCAACATTTTTTTTAAACCTTTTTGAAATCCATATTTCAAATCAGAATTCTCGCGATTGATTGGGCAGATTTGGTCTGGAATAGATGCCCAAGTGTTGCGAAATGGTTTCAGAAAATCTGGTATTTACCCAGTAAACCGTGATGAAGTAAATAAAGAGAAATTTGATATGTTGAAACTAATACAACGGAATGAAATATTTCTGCATCAGAGAAATAAGGAACATATTTTAACAGGAGAGCAACAAGACACTGGGGAAATCCAAAATCGTTAGTGTCAATTTTACTTGATTTTTTTAATATAAAGTTGTAACCGGATAGTGCAGATGAATTCAATAGTCACAACACACCGCCAGAAATAACTGTACAGAACCATATTGTTACCTTTGAAACCGAGAGAGAGACAATTCTACTTATTAGTTATTATTAATTGTTTACAACCCCTGAATGACGGTCTTCGCCGAAGAGTGTAGAATCTAGCCAAATGAGTGAAATAAAATGTTATTTCTGCGAGTTAGGGTGCAAATATGAAGTTGTTATACTTACTTAAGTTGTTATACTTTTACTGGCATTCGCACACATATTCATTTACACAGGCATTGAAATCTATCACTACGCTTGCTACCGCTTACTAGAGAATTTTGCCAGTAGACGGTCTTAGCCAACATGGGTGCCAAATCCGTCTTATTTCACTAATTAAAACAAAAATTGTTTATTTTCTGAACCAATGCTTTACTTGTCATTTTGACACGTTTACAGTTTGGTCAAATAAACATGCTATCATTTAGTTCAACTATATTTGGAATAATTATAAAATCACCAAACTAAGACCATTTATATTTTTTTAAATTTTATATGCCTGTCTTCCTCGAACTGATCCTAATATATTTATTTTGTTCCCAGGATCTGTGGCGATACAAGAGTAAATTGGTGACCGTGCCTTCCAAACTGTGATTTTGACATTTATATAATATTGTATATTGGGTTAAGGAGATATTATTTACAATTGTTTTTATATGGAGCGGAAATAAACATGTTATATTAATTGTGTTTTATTTTTTACCATAACTACTGTTTAATACTATCTTAGTTGTATTTTCTTCGGTCCTATATCAAAATTTCAATCGAGACGGTTTAGCCTAAAACTTTTTTGAGGGTTTCTGACTTAAAACGACCAAGCTCTACCAGTTTTTTTTTATCTGCTTGTCTGCGCTAATATCAACACCCCAAATTCTCAATAGTCTATCGTCTCCACAACTATTTTGACGTATATTAACTATCTCATATTATTGGAGGTTTTTTGTTAATCAAATACCACAGTTGTAGAGTATTACAAATCCAAGTTAGGGACCAGAATGGAGCGTCAAATAGATTTGCAAAGAAATGCCATTCTACTTGCTAGTGCGTGTTAAAATCATACTTCAGAGAATCTCTATTGGGAGTGATGCTTACTTTGTAAAAGTTATCATCACCTAATCATCGTGTCTTATTACCGCTACAAATATTCTATCTCATGTCAACTGTAATTCTCCAGAATGTATATTGATTAATGTGACTTACTTTGTATCAATTATAATATATGTTTCTTTAATACCATTTATATATAATCTTCTTCTTCTACCTGGCAAGTTCCCGGCTTTAGCCAGGGTCTGCCTTACATGTCGTGAATAATTTCGGCTAATTGTTTTTTACGACCGGTCGCCTGCCTGACATCAACCCTCTTTTGGGAATCAGCATTAATCAGTGATGTCTAAATATTGTTAGAAAGTACATATGACTCGAAAAAAATCACATTGGTAATCACAATCACAACTCCTTGCCCGGGCCAGGATCGAACCCGCGCCCTCGGCAACGAGAGGCGGACCCTCTAACCATTAGGCCACCACTTACTACCCTCAATTATTAGGTACTAAGTTTGACTTTTTGCTGTTTAAGTCCATGATTAAGGCAGCAAGGAAACTTGTCGTGGTTGTTAAAGTACATACATAGTTTCTTTTATGTACAAAATAGGCCCGATCGTGTCTGACATACTGGTTTCAAGAGATCTATGAATTTCACGAACTCTCGAGGTGAAACTAATTTATTCGGATTAATTATTGAATCGAGTAAAAAATGTTTTTTATTAATGTTAATGAATGTCTTTGAAAGACTTTTTTCCATCATAATTTTTGGTTAAGGACTTGAAGTGAATATTTCTAACTTAACCAGTTTATCGATCTTCTACAAAAACCTGGCAAATTTCTTAAGAAATTTTCTTAATCCTTAATTTTTAGGGATCTTCCAGAAGATGTAGACCACATTCATAATATTTAGAAAAAAATATATTGCAAGTTTTTCTTATAAAGGTTTTAAAAAAACCACAGAGTTTTAATTGGATGCACAGAGACATGTCTTTTTTCTATTCGATTGATTAAAAAAAAATCATAATGTGTGCATTTAAATGCTTATAATCCTAAAAAAACATTGTTATACCTTTCTATTGTGTAAAATGCTTTAGTTTTGTATAAAATATAATCTTCATTTATTCATAAAACAATATATCTACTACTTAAACATTTTCTTAAAACTAGACTCTCTCCAATAGTCAGCCCTCAAATAAAGACACCTGCATCTCGTGACTACTTTCATTATTATAACATATTTTAAACATAATAAAATCCCTACTAATATTATAAATGCGAAAGTAACTCTGTCTGTCTGTTTCGCTTTCACGCCTAAACCACTGAACTGATCTTAATGAAATTTGATACAGACATAGAGTTGACGTTGAGAACGAACATAGGATAGTTTTTATTCCAGACTTTTGAAAAGTTCTCTTGGAAACGCGATATAACCGAACTCCACGCGGGCGAAGCTGCGGGAGGAAAGCTAGTACTTACATAAAAATAATGGTTTTATTTCGTTTTCTCGTAATTTAATTAGCTTTAGAAAAAATAAGGAAAATATTACATAATCTGAAAGAGCCCTTTATTGTGTGTTGTTACAAACGTCGATATAATCATTTGAATAATTATTTTTTATATTAGGTACACGACATTTATAAGTTTGAAAAACAATGACATCTTTCAGTTAATATCTAGAATCAAGAGTTTAAACAACAAATCAGTGATTAAATATTATTACTTCTTAAAGAATAATTCTTCTTATTATTGTAATTAAGGTAACGTATTGTTTTAACCATTAAATTAATTTTGATATAATTAAAATTATATTATAATAAATCATAATATCTTTTTTGTAAAAAACATACATTATTTATTATACTTTACTCTCGATAAATATACATGTATAACAAATGTTTTAACTGAAACTTCAAACTATTTCTAGAATGTTAAGTGATAAGTCAAATACTTACACACTGTCTAAGGAGCAAAAACAATTCTATGAAGACAATGGATATCTGGTTATTAAGGAACTATTCGATTTAACAACACTTTATAACATAAAGTGAGTATTATGTATCAAATATATTGAGATCATAATTAGTGTGTATTTTAATATAATTATACAGGGTGACTGGTGAATTACTATCAATATTTAAGGAGCATACTCGGTACATGATTCTCATTCGAATTATGTAAAAAAATAGGTACTTAATTTTCGACCAAATTGGGTTTTTGAAAAAAAAAAGTATTGATTTTTTTTATGTATTTTAAAACTTTATTATTAATTATATTGATTTTTAATGCAAAAATCTTGAAAAAATTTTTTTTAAATTAATTATAAGCAATTAAAAATTGATAAAATTCAAAAACAAATCACGTGACTGTAAACGCGCCACGATTGGTTGCCATACTTGTGACGTCATAATGTTAAAGCAATTTCATAATAGTACAGTGTTTATGGCTATTATCTTTGACTTGATAAAAATATCTCAAATTTATTAGTGAAAAACGATTTGAAAAGTTTATTTCCACTAACTATGTGTGATAAAGGATTTATAAAAGCAAAATCGGATAATATTCCTGATGTTGATATATTTTTATGATAACTAATTTTTTAAAAAGTGCGGTTTAATTTTGCTGAAGTTCGAGGTGCTAAGACATCAAGGTAAGTCTGTTAAAAAATACTATTCTAAATGAAAATAAGTATTTATTCTCTATTAAATATAATTAATAATTATTTCATTAAATCATTATTAATAAAATGTTATTACAACATTATAAAAAACCAAAATAACATATACTTTAAAAATTTAAATGTAGTCTGATACAGAACCTAGAATATTATAAAATTATGAAAATATCTATTAATTGAATTCCAATTATTAGACAAACATACATATAGATTTACTATTTAATCACTTTGAATTATCAATTAAAAAAATTTTAATGCTACGATTCTAAAGGTTATGATTTGGAGCCCAGGTAAAAAAATTAATTACTGAACTATACTTATTCGATTTATATACTTAGATAAATAATAATTAATAACAATATTATTATGAATACTTACAACGAAATGATCTTCACAACAAAAAAAAAATTGATTTTGTATTTGAATAATCTCGGTGCACTGCTTGAAACCATTTCTTTCGACGTTTTTCGTCTTGTGGAACATTTAAAAACATTTTTTCAGGAGTTGTTTTTGTAGTATTTGTACATAATGGTACAAAACAAGAGCGATAACTTTTGAGTTTTGACATTTTTGATTATTTAACAATGCCAACAGAATTTACTAGATAAAAACTCAAAACACTGTACTAATTATTATATCCCTGTATGCTACAATGAGCAAAAACTAACATTGTGACGTCACACGCGCTCGGGTTTATTCGCGAGCTGTCGGCTTGTCTTCGGTACTGAATTTAAAATTTAATTTTTATTTTGAAATAACTTTTTAAATATTGCAAAAAAAAAAATAAAAATAAAAATAGTTTTGTTATAAAACTTATATATGATCTTTCCATTTATCACAAAAAAAAATAAATTCAAAAACCCAATTTTCGTATAAATAAATAAAGTGAGGACACGTTCCAAGTGTTCCAAGTGTGGACGCGTGCGGCGGCGTGCTGTTACAACAACACGCCGCCGCGCGCGAGTGTGTGTGTGTGTGTGTATACCTAATCTGTAGGGTGTTCACACGATGCGTAATTAACTACATAACTTTTGGTTAACTTTACTTAGAAGTTTATTAATATTTATGTTATATTAATTTTTATTTTGTCATATATGATCGTCAACTATCACGTCCTCAAGTATCGATAGTAATTCACCAGTCACCCTGTACAGTCACATGTAATTTTTTGGTGACAAGGTTCAAATACTTTAAAAGACCATATAGCATCGTCATATTTTAATAGTCGTTTAAGCCCTGGTGATGATAAATATAGCTGTTGTATTACAGAAAAAGATTTCAAGACATCTGCAAAGGGACCGTCGATAAAGGTAACATATTAGTGTACAAAGAACCAGCGCTCGTGGCTAAAGGTCTGAAAGGTGAAGACTCTATCAATAAGGTGAGGTATTGTAGATACACAAAATAACTATTCAATAAATAAAAACCACCAAAACAATATTTGTTTAACCACACTGTTTAATTGTACTGTTACGAAAAACGTGTTATAAAAATAATAATATTATAATATACAACTTGAACATAGTTATCATGCCACATACAACTAGAAACTTAATTATTTTTTTATCGCGATTAGAAATCCATAATTGTTAACAGGGAGTTGATTTAAAATCTATAGGTACCTAATGTATATTATATATATATTGAGAGTACATATTATAAGTAAGTGACTGTGTATCAGAAGTATGAAGAGATATGTATACCTATATCAGATTGATTAATAATTCTTTGTTTTTAAAGAGAGACGCCAGCCTCGCTGACGTCACTAATGAAACTTCTTCATATATTTTAAATTTAAACTTCAGTTGTTCTTAATGTTCTTATATTTCTTGAAGGTTCTTCATAATCACATTCTTCAATGATACGCACTCACTGAACTCTGCCGTCGTGCGTCCAGACGTCATATTTATACCAAAATTCAAACATTCTATTCTCCTTTTAAACAGTCTTTAATTTCGTTTTATTTTTAACAATAATCATGAATACATATAAGTTTTAATATATATATTTTCATATCTTAACCAATATATCGTCGGGTATAGTGCAAATCCGCGTAACTATCATTGGATAATTCCCTGTATCTACATTGGAAGCAGATTATCAGAAGAATTTTAAGCTGAAATATTTTCTGTATTAACGAATGTTAAGGTATTTTTTTCAGAATTAGTAAGTTTAAGTGCTTAATTTATTTATTTCCCTAGATATCTGAACTCCAATATGATGAGGTTTTCTCGACTTTCTCTGAAGACCCTCGTCTGCTCCACATTCTGTCACAGTTCCTTGGAGGAGACGTGAGCGTCATGAACAGTATGTTCATTAACAAGCCTCCAGGAAGCGCTAGACATCCACCACATCAGGTAAATATATACTAATAATTGGCTTGTAACATTTAACACACTTTAATGTTCAATCTCGTTGTGGTAAAAAAGTTGTGGTGGCCTAGAGATTAACGTCTCGTGCAGGAGGGCGCGGATTCGAAACCTGGCAAGTACCAATATGATTTTTCCGAGTCATATGTACTTTCTAAGAATATTTAGACATCGATGACAGACGGTGAAGAAAAATATCGAGAGGAAATCTGGACTTATAATTTCACAATTATAAGTTTGAAATCACCAATCCGTCTTGAGAAAGCGTGGTGATTAATGCTCAAACCTTCTCCATGTGAGAAGAGGCTCAGCAGTGGGCTCTGATAGGATGATGATTATGTTATATTTAATGTATGGACATTGACTATATCTATATTTTATATATAAAAGAAAGTTGTGTTAGTTACACTATTTATAACTCAAGAAAGGCTGTACGGGTTTGGATGAAAATTGGTGGAGAGATAGCTTAGAACCAGGACATAGGATATTTAATTCTGTTTGATCGAAAAAAAATTAATAAACCAATAACTGTTTCTTTGTGGCCTCTAGGGTGGAATACAGTTCGCCAGGTTATTTATACATAATATGATAATATGTTACCAATAACGAAATTCACGCGGACGAAGTCGCGAGCGAAAACTAGTATCGTTATAGAAGAAAGTCGTGTTAGCTATTTTATTTACAAATTTTTTATTGAAAATTGGTGGAGATATAGCTTAGAACCAGGAAAGAACATAAGACACTTCATCAGGATCAAAAAAATAAAAATAAGTTGATAAAATCCAAAATCTTCTTGTTTACTGTCTTTTTTGAGGAACAGAGCTCGATTAGTCAGTTTTTCTTCCTGACAATTTTTCCCAGCCAGGATCTGCCCCAACTGCTTCGCTTAGTCAGTTATAGATATCTATTTCTGAAACTAAAGCAGACGAAGTTGCAGGCAAATACTAGTGTTACGATAAAACTGCTTTGAAATTAAGAATCTACAGATTCTCACACTACATGACCCTTATAATTACATGATAGCATTACGATAGGTTTGTTAATGAGAAGATTTAATTTATATCCTTATTTAATTTGACTTATGACAATACAAGGCTCAGTAAGCGAAGACGCGTTAATTGTTTAGTATGTAAGGTTAAAGATATTTTCATTACCTACATCTTTATTTCTACACAAGATACATTGTACGCTAATTAACAATTAATACAAGAAATTAAATATTTATTTCCTACATTGCGTTTAAATGTACATGATTTCTTACATATTATGTAAAACAGTGTATTAGCCAATAGTTTTTTTATTGAAAAAAATAAAAACATAAAGAATATCAATTGAAAAGTTTTTATAAGATTATATTTAAATTACATCAGAAGTAATCTTTTAACGTAAGAGCTATTTTTTACTATTTTTTAAAGTGTGTATATGTGCGTGTATGTGTGTATGTGTATTTAAGTTTTTGGTGGAATTATTATCCCTCGGATTATAATAAATTTGAAACAGTGAAATGTATTAAGTCAGTTTTAATAAGATCCATTTATACAGGATTATATTAAGGTTTTCCAGGTCCTTTATTATGTTGTATATTCCAGGACCTGTATTATTTCCCGTTCCGGCCAGCAGATAAGATTGTAGCAGCTTGGACGGCCATCGATGATGTAACAGTGGACAATGGATGTCTGTATGTTGTACCGAAATCACATAAGAACAACATTTTGTACAAACATGGGAATTTACTCGTAAGTTAATAATATTTTGTTCTATGTTAAACCTTAAATGTATAGAATACACTTATACACTATAGGTAAGCTAAATTTTCCCAAAATATTTCATAAATGTATTGTCATAAGCGGTCACGTCTAAAAGTAAAATAAAATTTCACCAAAAAGCCAACATCACGCGGTGTTCCCAGGCGGTCACCCATCCAAGTACTGACCGCGCCCGACGTTGCTTAACTTCGGTGATCGGACGAGAACCGGTGTATTCAACGTGGTATGGACGTTGGCGACTGAAGCTTCGAATTTATTTAATATAATATCAAAAATAATAATACCTAGATGACGTTATATACAGCGAATATTTAAGAATTTATAAAAAAAATCTTATTTATTGAATACATTTTTTTTATACTTAACCATACAATTAAAATTAATACACGTTTACAATTTAAACATAATGTGTGATCCTTCGAAGGGAAACTAATTTGATTGAAAGAAAAACTTCTACATTGTACAATAGACACTTATAAATTAAGGGAGAAAATAATTAACATAGTACTTGTATAAGGATATATTCCTTGTATAATATTACTTCTGAGTTAATCTGTATGTTAAACAAATCCGATCGACCAGTACTTTTATGGGTAACCTTGGAACACCGCGTGATATTGGCTTTTCTTTATACATTAGCAAAATAACATACCTAATTAAGTTCTAATCCTTTTTATGTACGGCCCGTATAAAACATTTTAAACGTCTAATCGTTTAAACTTCATACGTATATAACAATTTTAGGAATCCAACAAACTATTCCACGGTATCTTGGAGTCTGGTCCGTGTGAGCCTAAAGTTAATCTTGAGATGTCTCCCGGAGACACAGTCTTCTTTCATCCTCTTATCGTTCATGGATCGGGAGAAAACAGAACAAAGGTAACACACTTATGTATAATTTAGTCATTAAAGTAAAATAAACATTTATTTATGATCAGCGCCATCTGTTGGCGCGTGGTGTAACTCGGTGGTGTTCTATTAACAAAGGTAAGGATACGTAAATTGTAATACAAATGTTTTTAACGATGGTCTCAATACATAGACTAACATGATAAACGAAGTAGAGAACTTACGAAAAGATAATAAATTCAATGTAACTAATATTTTCGGATTTTACTTCGCGTTTTCTATTTTTGACGATGAGTCACTCACATCTCGTCTTTATGATCACGATTGCTGAAAAGTAACCGAAACGTCGGGAGTATGTAGTTTATAATCAATAAAAAACGCGAAGTAAAATCTGAAAATATTAGTTTCATTTAAATGAGTAATAAAATCTTAGATCTCATTATAATAATATCAAACCAGAGCTAAAAGCGTAAAGTTACATGGACCGGTGCGATCAGCAGCATCCCTATTAACTCTTGAGTTTTCATGTCTGCGAATGATCGTTTAAACAGATTGTATCGACCATCAACATCTCTATGTTACAATTTGTATAAAATTCGATTCTTTCATGAATATATTATAGTTAAAGTACTATTAACCTTAAGTATTGATCAATGATCAGTCTGCAGTTTGAAAAATACAAGATTAACAAAAAATCCGTCAGTTATTTTATTTTCTTGTCTTGCTCTCTCACTTATTTGTGGGTGAGTTATAAAAAGAAACATTTATTCTTTTTCATGAATAATTTTATGAGTTGTTCTTTTTATTACATTACTAGCTTTCCGCCCGCAGCTTCGCCCGCGTGGAGTTCGGTTATATCGCGTTCCCAAGAGAACCTTTCAAAAGTCTGAGATAAAAACTATCCTATGTTCTTTCTCAAAGTCAACTCTATGTCTGTACCAAATTTCATTAAAATCATTTCAACAGACAGACAAACAGACAGAGTTATTTTCGCATTTATAATATTAGTAGGGATGTACAGCTGGTATATTAATATGAACTTCTAGTATAGTATTATTTCCAGCGGTATCGTAAGTGTGTAACGGGTCACTTCGCGAGCCCCTCGTGTTACTTCATCGACGTGACGGGAACAGTGCAGGAGGGACTCAAGGACGAAGTGGAGGAGGAGATACGGAGATATGGGTTCACGTTCAGCTTCCAGGTGACACATGCACACACACACACACGCACGCACACACACACACACACACACACACACACACACACACACACACACACACACACACACACACACACACACACACACACACACACACACACACACACACACACACACACACACACACACACACATCATATAATGTTATGAAACTCTCACACGCATGATATCTGTCGATCTTCTTACATTTCCGTGTAACTCTCTATGCATCATGAACTCCTGGTACTTCACACACACATTGTATGGGAACAAAAAATACACACACACACACACACACACACACACACAATATTGAACAATACATACAGGTGACACACACACACACACACATACATACACACACACATACAGGCACACACACGCATACATGTAATTACACGCTCACACACACACACACACACACAAACCTTCGGTTCGATCCTGGCAAGTACCAATGTAATATTTCGGAGTCATAATTATGTACTTTATAAGAGTGTTTAGACATCACTGACAGGTGAAGGAAAACATCGTGAGGAAACATGGACTTAAATCAAATTATAAGTTTGAAATCACCAACCCGTCTTGAGCAAGCGTGGTGATTAATGCTCAAACCTTCTCCATGTGAGAAGAGGCTCAGCAGTGGGCTCTGATAGGCTGATTATGTTGACACACACACACTCACACACACACTTGGAAACACATATACACGCACACACGCGCACACAAACACAACCACACAACAATCATCAATTTACTCGATTATCATATACTTACCTAATTATTATATTTTTCATAATTATATAAGTAACTTTTATATTAATATGAATATTTTATTTTTCAGGACTTCTTTAAATACAAGAGCAAGGTCGTGTTGAAGTCATCTTCCAAACTATGAATGGGAACATTTCAAGGGGAATTAAAATAAATATAATTCAAATATTATTGATATTTCATTTATTATCATACATTTGGTAATTACTTGTTACAATTAATACTCGTGTTAATATATATTATAATATATTCTACAGTTAATTAATAATTATTTACAATATAAATGATTAAACTCATAGCACGCAACGTTATCACTCGTCTTTATAATACGACGCACCATTTAAATTATTATTAAGAAATTAAACAAAAAAATATATTTGTAAAACTTATTATAAAATATATTATTCATTAAATTAAATATTCTATCTCTAATTAAGGTCAGTGATTGGTTAAATTTGTATACATATTATATGTAATTCCAAAAAAATGTATATGAGATAGCAATGTACAGCTATATACATGGTCAGCGCCATCTATTAGCGAGTAGATGGAAGTATAACTTATATTAAAACTGTGACGTCAGACTAGATACGGTTTGGAATTAAAAGATATGAAGAATTGAGCTTAAAATATAACTAGCGGTAATCGAGACGAACAGTGGCGCCCTCAGAAATCTGAAACGAGATATATATACAACTATTATATAAAATATATAAAGAAAATACGTGTTACTCATGAAAGAAATATATATTAGATGACACGAGAAAAGACAGGGAGAAGTAACAGTTAAAATTGATATGTTATATAAAAATAATTAGAAAAACAGTTCTTATATATGTTAGTTACATAATATTTTGTTATACAACAACCAAAACCAAAATAATCATAATTATATTTACCTTATACACACTATAGTATTTATACTGTAAATATAAAAATAATAAAAGCCAGTTATTTATATTAATGCTTATTATTTCATTAAATTGGTACAAAAATTATTTTAAGCTTCCACATCTTGACGCTAGATGTCGCTAATACAAAATTATAAGCTTATAAAATATATTAAAAAAATCTACCATTAACATTTACATAAAAAGCATATTATTAGAATACAATATAATATATTTACATACAAATGTAACTTAGCAACTAAATAATTAATAACTTAATCTAAGTGTTACATGTTAAAGCTACTACCAACAAAACTATTACTTAATATAACAATTAACTACATAATTTTAATAAATGATAATTTGTACTGTTATAACATATATCATATACATATATAGGTGGATCCTATATATAAGGGCCAATGTAGCAATTTAGCTAATATTTTTGTTTTAAACACTTCATAATACTGTATTCTAAAACATACATTCAAAAAAAATGTATTTGTTGGTGGAAATACTTAGTTTTTATTGCTGTAAAAAGCATAAGTAACACACTTTTTAACGTATAAATTCTTATATAATGCATATTATAAAAATAAATATTATTTAAAAAACCAATAGCTGCTTTACAAAAAGTTTATCAATATTAACTGACGTACATGTACATCATAGTTGCTATTCAAAGTTTCAAAAGCATCAGTTGTATGTACAAGATACACTGAAATCAAACTTACAACGCCTCTACTGAACAATTGTTTTACATATTGACCCTTATATATAGAAGACATATATATACATACAACATATATATGTATATATGTTATTTGTGTGTTTGTCCCGCTACATATACTCTTATAAGCTCACCTTCGTGTTTCCTTTGTGAGGGCATAAAGTAGAAGTCGCTGGGCCCTTCAGACCCGCGAGGTAGGGAAAGCGTACTACCGGCAGACGTGCGACTGAAATATATAATGTAATATATATAAGTGATTTTTTATGACTATAAAATAAAAAATAAAAATAAAAATTGGTTATTACTGTAACTTATACCTAGAAACAAACAGATACAGCTAGGGAGCTCCTTTTAAGAAATGGAATTATATGACTATATACAATATATCCGTAATGGAATTTAAATTGTATATGAAATTTAAATTGAATTTTGAAATAGACTTTTCTCATATGTTTTATTTTATACAAAAGAAATTGTATCTGAAGTAATTTTTATGTAAACTTTAAAATATTGTTAATTATTTTGAAATCATCTTTCAATACATTGATAATATTTAACATGATTGACATTTTATCAAAAAATATAATAATTTAATATTATTTTCATATAAAATAATAAAAATTATATATAAAAAAGCCAAAAGCATTCATCGACCGTGACAGGACTCGAACCTGCAATCTTCGGATCCGAAGTCCGACGCCTTATCCATTAGGCCACACGGTCATGTTCAGTGATCTTCAAATTGGTGATAATTTTATTTCAATGTATTTATTATCATCTCATTACATTAATTTCGTAAATATTTTTTTCTTTAATTAAAACCTAATTAATATGTATAGTTTATGATGATATTGAGAAATGTTTTTAGAGTGATAATTTTTCTTTATAATTAATCGTACAAATTAAAGTTAAAATCATTTTTTAAAATAATAGAAATTGATTATATATTTACTTATTTTAGTACAACCGCTCATTTAAAAATCTAAATGAAACTCGTGATAAAAAAGGATTCTACCTAATGCTCTAGTGATAAAATATATAATAAACAGTATGATTAACTTTAATATGTATAGATTAGATTTAAATTTTAATTCCAATTGTCTTATAATTTCAAACGAAACCGATTTTAAATTTACTTGTTGGCATTACAATTTAAATGATTTTATAGTGGATTAATTATTTTTCATATATTAATTGATAATGGATCTTTGTAGCTTTAAAAGGACATAATATATATTAAAATCATTCATAATCCAATATTGATATATTTTTATATTCCTAGTATATACAAGTCTCACCCGTATTGATTCCTAGGTCTCTGTAGTGATCTTGTTTCAGGATAGTACTGGGAGGGTGTTCTTCTGCCGGGAGAGTACTTCCTGCCGCTTCTGTTATAACCGTCAAGGACGTCATGTCCGTTATGGTTATTTACGTTATGGCCATTATGGACATTATGGCCATTATGGTTATTCCCGTTATGGACATTATGGTTATTTCCGTTATGGACATTTTGGCCATTATATGTTTTATGTTGTCCGTTTCTAGGGGTCGTGTTATGTCCATTAGGGGTCACTTTATGTTGTTTGGGGGTCGCTGTGGGTCGCGGCGGTGGGGGTGATGTGGGTCGTGTTGGGGGTCGGGAGCTAGTGTTATATTTCTCGTTTTCAAATGGTTCGAACGCGTAGTTAGTATTAGCGGTGGTGTATTCCTTCCACGCTTGTGTTGGCATCAAACGGTCCTGTAATGTATGGTTATATGAATTAGTTACATATGAAAAATAAAATAAAAATTCTTTAAAAAAAATATTCTGTTGTTAACTGTACAGATATGTCACTTTATTAAGTTTTCCTCAATGTGCTAAATTAAAGTCTTGTTATATTAAATACACATTACAATAGTTCGCTCATATGACATCAAAAGACATATTTAGTTCTACTTGGAGTTTGTTCTGTGTAATCAAAGTCTAACAATGATTTTATATCATACTAGCTTTCCGCCCGCAGCTTCGCGCGCGTGGAGCTCGTTTATATCGCGTTATCAAGAGAACCTTTCAAAAGTCTGAGATAAAAGCTATCCTATGTTCTTTCTCAAGGTCAATTCTATGTCTGCACCAAATTTCGTTAAAATCAGTTCAGTGGTTTAGGTGTGAAAGCGTGACAGACAGACAGTTACTTGCGCATTTATAATATTAGTAAAGATTATGTTATATTACTATAATTCTACTTGAATAACCCATCTATATTAATCTACATCTATCTATATGTTAATTCCTCCATATCTCCATACATACCTTTCTTCTAGTAGTTGCCAGTGTACACGCCGCTTGTAGCGCTGCCAATGCAGCCAACAGACATACACACCCCGCGACCAGCCACAGACGAGGGGGGGAGGATATAATGGGAGGAGGGGGAGGAGGGGATGACGCTGGAATGATATACATAGATGATGTTAGATATATAGATAGTTGACGTTTTAACAATCATATTTGCTCATCCATTAAAAAAAATGTGTATTTGTTGGTAGAAAGACTTTGTTTTTATTGCTGTAAAAAGCATAAGTAACACACTTTTTAACGTTAAAAAATACATACAAATCAAAATTTGTACTTTTTTTGTCGGCTAGTATATATATATATGTTTCATACTCACTAATAACTTGTTGGAACACCAAGAACTCCGGGTCTACAATCAAGTTACCGACTTTTCCTTCAGCCAGCGTCTCTTTTATGGTTCTGTACCACTTCTCTCTATCTATATCTCTGTCTATATCTTCATCTCTTTCTATCTCAGTGTCGTTTCCTTCAGGTGTGAGCGAGACGGAGTTATCTTCTATCTCTATCGTGTTGAACGTTATATCGGCGATGATGGATTTCGTTTCGTTTCTGGAATTAAATGTTAGATTGATTTTGAAAATTGTTATATATAGAATTTTTTGCATATTTAGTTATACATAATAGAATGAAATTTATATGTATTTTATAATCCCTCTAGATTTCTAACGGATTTTCATTCAATATTTCAATAGGAATTTCGTCAAATTGAAAGTTCGTCAAACGAAACATTCATTTTTCTTCATATGCTTGGTCGGTGAATCGAATGAGAAACATCGATATATATTAGAGTTTTAAATAAATCGATATATATAAATCATTTCTAGTTTGGTTTTAGTCATATTTTTTGGAAAATCCTACTAATATTATAATTGCGAAAGTTTGTGATCGTTTGTATGTTTGTTACCTCTTCACGCTCGAACGGCTGAAGCGATTTTGATAAAATTTTGTATACAGGAAGCTGACATCCAGGTATAAGACATAGGCTACTTTACATCCCGGAAACCAAAATATATAAATGTCATATACTCACTGCATAAATCCATTAATGCTGATCCCTTGATAACCTTTGATCCCATTCATAGTACTATCAAAACTATTAGTTATTTTCGTCTTTAATTCATTGTATTCTGCAGTTCCCATAGCGGGAGTTCTATAACTATCTCCGAGGCCTGTTATCTTCATGAGGAGGGAATATGATCGGGAACCGGGGGGAGGGGGAGGGAGCGTCGTATACGGATCCTCTTCCGGTTCTGAAAACGGAAATGACGTCACGATTATATTGAATTGTATATTAAGCAATGTTGAGGTCAATTTAAGTTCAATACAATTTATTTGTAGTCACATTTTTGATAATTGATATCGTTATATGCAACTATATATAAAGGGTGTTTTTTTAAGCCCGATAGAACTTGAAATTGTAAAAAATAACACAAAAAATTTAATTGTAATCAAAATTTTTTTTTATTCAAAAGATCAATACGTGACATTAACATTTGAAAATGATTTCGGACATATGGGCACCGCGGCTGTTCTTGACGAAGCACTTTCTGGATGTCCAATTTTGGGCCACTTTTTCGAGCACTGCTGGCCGTATGTCACGAATAACACGAACAATGCTGGCCTCCAAGGCGTCAACTGTTGCTGGTTTATCAGCATAAACCAGTGACTTCACGGAGCCCCACAGGAAATAATCGAGAGGTGTCAAATCGCACGACCTTGGAGGCCAATTGACAGGTCCATTTCTCGAAATCAACTTATCGCCAAATTTTGATTTTAATAAGTCGATGGTTGCGTTCGCCGTATGGCACGTAGCGCCATCCTGTTGAAACCACATCGGCTCCCGTTCAATATCATCCATATTTTGAAACAAAAAATCATTGATCATGGTGCGGTAACGATCTCCATTGACCGTAACGCGAGCTCCGGCCTCATTTTTGAAGAAATAAGGTCCGATGATGCCACCAGCGTGAAAACCGCACCAAACGGTGCATTTTTCTGGATGTAATGGAGTCTGTAGGGTCTCTTGTGAATTGGTCTCACTCCATATGCGGCAATTTTGCTTATTAACAAACCCGTTAAGCCAAAAATGCGCCTCATCGCTGAACACAATTTTGCGATAAAACAACGGGTCAGTTGCCAACTGCTCTAGAGCCCAATCGGCGAAAGAATGACGCATATAATGGTCTCGTGGCTTCAATTCCTGCACCAGCTGGATCTTATACGGGTGTAGACCGAGATCTTTGCTCAAAATTTTCCACGTAGTGGACGGACAGAGCCCCAACTCCTCTAGAGAGTATGTGGTACGAAATCTATCCACAGTTCGACGAATGGCTTGTTCAGATGGACGATTATGTACGCCATACAAATGACGAAGTCGTCTATAAGTTGCGCGAATCGACGACTGATTTTCAAAGTAAATTAGGAAAATTTCGTAGCATTGTTCAAGCGTGAATCTATTCATGATAATTTGTCAGAGTATACTCAAACAAATAAAAAAAATGTTTCATCAAAATTAAATTTTTTGTGTTACTTTTTACAATTTAAAGTTCTATCTAGCTTAAAAAAACACCCCTTATATGGTAATATGTTATACAGTAATAGTCCGGTCAAATTATACATTCGAGGTTACATAAATTCCCATCAAGCTGAAAATCGCTAAAATTGAAATATCATTAAAAACAAAATTTGAAAGTTTCCCATCTTTCCGCTGTAAGGAAAAAATGGTATTCAAGGTCATAGGAAAACAAATCGAGTTTTTTGCGATTTTCAGCAAAACGGTAAGTATTATCATAAAACTATCTCAGACAGAAAATAAACAAAATTGAAAAATTGAATATTTGAATCATACATACAATTTTTTTTACTCTATACACATATAACATTATTTCTGTAATAATTATGTTATATTACCTGGTCCGCATGGCTTAATGCAGACTCTCTCCTCAGTAACAAGCGGTGTGTCCGTGTGTTTGCTCATCCTCTTATTGGCGGGGTCGAAGTTACCCCCGGACACAACAAACATCATGTATAGACACTTGGTGTTAGTGAATTGAAGGTCCTGAAGAATAAATATATAATATTAGACGTAATTCAGTAAAATTCAGTGGTGGCTTAAAGGTTAAAGGCCCGCTTCTTATGAATGAGGGCGCGGGTTCGATCCTGGCAAGTACCAATGTGATTTTTTCCGATTCATACTCTTATGTACTTTCAATGAGTATTTAGACATCACTGGCTGATGAAGGAAAACATCGTGAGGAAACATGGACTTATAATATCAAATTATTATTGTGATTTTCTGAGTTTATTTGTTGGAAGAATATGAAAAATTACATATTTACAAACATTGATTGATAAAGATGTAAGTCAGTGGTGGCCTAGTGGTTAAAAGGCCCGCCTCTCATGCATGAGGGCGCGGGTTCGATCTTGGCAAGTACCAATATGATTTTTCCGACTCATATGTACTTTCTAAGAGTATTTAGATCTCATTGATTAATGCATTCCCAAAGAGGGTTGATGTCAGGCAGGCGGCCGGTTGTAAAAGGCAGACCCTGGCTAAAGCTGGGAAATTGCCGGATAGAAGAAGAAACTCGACCCACCTTATTGTCACCGGTGTCTCTCTTTCTAACGAAGCTGAGTGTAGTAACGCCGTCTATCAATGAACCGCTGATCTGTTGTACAAAATATAAATATATAAAACATTTAAACAATAATTTTACTTTTACCACTAAAATTGGGAACTGGTAGAAAGAAGTAGCTGTGTGATAATATATTTGAAGAGGTAAATAAATAAAAACACAGAACAGATTAATTATATACAACTAGCTTTCCACCTGCAGCTTCGCCCGCGTGGAGTTCTGTTATATCGCGTTTCCAAGAGAACCTTTCAAAGTCTGGAATAAAAAGTATCCTATGTTGGATGTATGGTCAACTCTATATCTGTACCAAATTTAATGAAAATCAGTTCAGTTCAGTGTTTTGGGCGTGAAAGCGTAACAGACAGACAGACAGATAGAGTTACTTTCGCATTTATAATATTAGTAGGGATCAATTATGATACTCTCTTGTTTCTTTATATTTTATATCTCTCTCTCCTCACCTGTGTAACGTCCTGCCTGTTATCGCCAGCGGGCGCCCCATACCCGCTGAGCCAGACGTCCCTCACTGTTGGTCTGTTGGAGCGAGGATCGACCCAGCCGACTACCGCGTCAGATTGAGACTGTAATAATAATAATAATCTTTATATATATAATTCTTCTGTGAGTGTGTATGTCACTGAACCTCTCTCAAACGACTGGACAGCTTTTGATGAATTTTTTTGTGTGTGTTCAACGGGATCTGGGAATGGTTTAGATTCACAATTTCGTCCGCTGGACAATGGATTTTAATTTAGTTTTTAATTTATTAGTAGTTGTTGATACAAACTTTTTTTTAGAAATTAGATTTGACAACTAACTAATATGTCGATCATTCCATCGCAATTCAAAACACGGAGATTTATGGCTTTTATAGGTAAACTCCAAAAATATAAATAAAAAAAAGAACAAATATTTCTTGGTTATAGGGCGATACGAAGTTCGCCGGGTCTTCTAGTAATAACATAATAATAATCATTATTCACAAAAAAAAAGTTACAAAGTATATGAAGTCCCTGATTTTATTAGGCTCAAAGATCTGTATTGCAGAAATCAGTGTCCTCTCTCATATTTTTGTGATATCGTTCTATGTAAATAAAAATAAATGATAAATAATTATTACTGTATACTAGAGTAGCGTGTGTGTATGTGTGTGTGTGTGTGGGTGTGCAATGAGCATTCTATCAAATAAACATCATGATTATTATATTTCTAGATGATTCAATACCATTTTCTTATCGTTGCTGAATCCTATTCCAGTCCAAAGTTTGCTCTGTTTCGTACTAATAGTGAATCGTACACTATCTTTTCCTCGTTTTTCTCCCAAATACTCCCACCTAGCGGTGTATGAACAAGTATTGTTTCCGGTATTATTACAATTACTAGGGTATTTCCATTGTCCACCACATTTATCGTCTTCTAGAGATAATACACCACTCGTTTGACTCGATTTTTGTTCATCTGAAATAAAATTATATGAACAAGTTATATTTCAGCTAAATGTGTAAATTTTCTTAAATTATAGTGCTTTGCCTTATTGCAAATTTCTTTACGCAAAAAAGATTAACAAAATACGTTCATTAATAGTGATGGAAAAAGAACTTATACATAGGAAGATATAATTTAATGACCGAAAGAGACAAAAATATGTTTAGTTTATAACTATGGCAAGATAAATGTTTTTTGAATCTTTCGCTCATAACCAGTTAGTTTTGGAGATACAGCAGATTTACTTCTGTCGTATGGACTAAAACACACTTGACAATGAGATCGAAGACTTTCAAACTTTAAAACTAATATTTTCATATTACTAAGCGAATTTTATCATTTTAAAAACTATATAATATTTAGTTTGCAGTTATTTTGCGTCGACCGTTATCACGAGCAGACGAGAATTCCCTTCTGATGTTTACTTCAAAGTAATCTAAACTTCTGAAGTATGCAGTTATAAAATAATATAAAATGCGTAGAGGTTCCAAAATATTAAGGTCATTACCACTAATCATAGTCTCTTACTAAAGAAGTGTAGAAAATAATAAGAAACGCGTAGTAATTCAAGAATATCAGAGGTCATTGACCCCTATAATAGTATCTTACCAAAAAAGTGCAAAAAATAATAAGAAACACGTAGAAATCCGAAAATTAAGGTCATTGACCCTTCTTACCAAAGAAGTTAAAACTATCGACGCCCCTCTGCGTTCCATGCCCGTGATATTTCAGTTCGTCAAGACCGTAGAAGTCCTTGGAAGTGTTTGGACGAAGTTCTTGACCGCGGGCCCAAATAATATGCATTAGGTCATCCACTATAGAATGATCGCTCGGCTCACTAGCCTGGACATGCAATACATGTCAATTTAATATTTTTAATGTTTTTAAAAAAAAAAAAAAAAATTTGTTTTCGATTGGTAATATTTTTTTAGCATGTATAGATACTATGACTGGACCGATTTTGATGAAATTTTTTGTGAGTATTTAAGGGGATCTGGGTTTGTTTAGATTCACAATTTTGTCCCCTGGACAATGTTTTTTTAATTAATATTTAAATTATTAGTAGTTGATACAAACGTTTTTTTTTTTTGACATTAGTTTTGACAACTAACTAATATATCAATCATTCTTTTTCACTTCAAAACACGGAGATTTATGGCTTTAATAGGTAAACTCCAAAAATATAAATAAAAAACGTAACCGATATTTCTTGATTATAGGGCGATACGAAGTTCGCCGGGTCTTCTAGTATATATATAAGATGCAATATATATGTACCTTAATCTTCTTTCTGAACAGTATCGTTGTAACTCCATTCTCTTCGTATCCTGACGCGCTAGTCACGTCATCTTTGCCTCCCCAAAATTTATCCACGCGTGGCGTTGACCTATGTTAATAGAATTTAAATTTAATAAGTACAAGTTATTATACAGTATTAAACTACAATCATACATAATGTTGATTTATTTATATTGATGAAGATTTTGAGAATAAATATATAATAAGTATATATATATAAATACATACTGCATAAGATAGATCTACAGATGTTTTTTTAATATAATTTATGACATAAAGATAATAATTATATAGTAAGAAAAAAATGTTACTTTAAATATAAATCCCTATAAAAATATAGGTGTATTTCTAGCATGATATTGAAAGCTATATATGTATATGTTATATGTTTTATATGTCACCTGTCTCTAGTATAGTAATCCATGACTCGATGGTAATTCCCTTTAGCTGATCCTATGACTATGTCCGTACAGTCCATTGGGTTGAAATCGAATTTAGGAGCGTACTCATGTGAGGGGAAGTAACCTATAGTAGGGAGAAAATTAATAGATAGAAGATTTATATAAAGATTATATGATGATGTGAAAATAAAATTTTAAGTTAATCTTGACTTATTTCACTTTATTATAATATTTTTTTGGTTAAGCAATATATATTTATTTTGTACTTTAAATTGTTCAGTTTATTTTATGAAGTATGTAATTTTTTACTTATAAATGCTCCTAGATGTTTTAGGAAAATTTTGTATCAATATTTATTTATAATCCTTAAATAATATTCAATTATAACAAAATATAGTCAGAAACTATACAAATATAGATTCATATGTTCTACATCCAATAAATTAATTGTATTATGGACTAGAAAATACACTTACTACCATTAAAAGAACCATTACTTAATCACTTAAAAAAGTCCTTAAAATTTAACAAATAAAATTAAATTAAAAGTTAAAATCATATTAAACACAGTCATATGAGAGTCAGTTACAGAAAATTAATAGAAAGAACAGAATAGTCAGTCAGAAGAGTAGAGATATAGTTTTGGGAGGAGAGGGAAAGGGATAGAAGATTAGAAGCATACAATAGCAAGAAGGCAAGAAGCAGAAATATAAAGAAACATAAAGAAGATTATAAGAAGCATAGTTGTCTAATTCTAGATTACTTTGTATTAACAATAAATAAATTTTAATTAAATGATTAAGAACCACAAAAATTAATTATTAATTTTATGTTTAACGTGCACACAATGTTTTATATGTTTTTGTTAATCTACATATAATTATACATAGTAATAAAATATAACACAGATTGAAACAATATATGTAATATTTATGGAAGGCTCCTGGACTATAGAATATATCAAATTATTTCAGATTAAAACGGCCAAAATTTTGATATTGTTGAAGATTTTTTCATAGTCCACTTATATAGAGTCTAAATATGGTTTATTTTTTCTTAATTAAAGAATATTCAAAACTTAGGCTGTTCAATAGATTGAAAGATAAAAACATGATAGCTCTCAAAAAACTTGTAATCATAACACAAGAAAGCTATTGGAAGATTTATCATAGAGGATTTAGCTCACCAATACTGATGTAATCTTATTAATTTATCTTTACACCCCTTTTTTTCGTTTTCACCCAAACATTTTCCCACCATATTACTATATTTACTCTTTCTAATATAATATTTCGTCCTATATCGCGTTGTGTTATATTTATGTGTTAAATCTCTTTTAGTTAGTGACCTTTTTTTCGTAATTCATTATTAATTCCATTATATTTTATCACTATGTATACAATGCGTCATATTATTTGCTAAGCGTGTGCGTTACCTGTGTCTTCTTTGAGTCCTTTCACTAGCAGAGTCTCGGGATCTTCAGCATTAGGTTCGGGAGATGGTTCGGGTTCGGAATTGGGTTCGGGAGATGGTTCGGGCTCAGATTTTGGTTCTGGAGATGGTTCGGGCTCAGATTTTGGTTCAGGAGATGGTTCGGGTTCAGATTTAGGTTCGGGCGATGGTTCGGGCTCAGATTTAGGTTCGGGCGATGGTTCGGGCTTGGATTTGGGTTCAGGAGATGGTTCGGGCTCGGATTTGGGTTCAGGAGATGGTTCGGGCACGGATTTGGGTTCAGGAGATGGTTCGGGCTCGGATTTAGGTTCAGGAGATGGTTCGGGTTCTGATTTTGGTTCGGGTGATGGTTCGGGTTCAGATTTAGGTTCCGGCGATGGTTCAGGCTCGGATTTGGGTTCGGGAGATGGTTCGGGTTCTGATTTTGGTTCAGGAGATGGTTCGGGTTGAGATTTTGAGTCCGAATCGAAATAGTATTTTGATTGTCGATCAACTTTTTTATCAGAACTTTTTTCAGATAAAGGTTCAGGTTCAGAATTAGGTTCAGGACTTGGTTCGGGTTCAGATGTGGGTTCAGGACTTGGTTCTGGTTCAGATGTGGGTTCAGGGGAGGGTTCTAACTCATACATATCTACGGGTGATTCTGTAGGGGTCTTATTTACTTTATTTTTGGGTTGGGTCTTAGATTTAAGCTTTGGCTGTAACTTTGGTTCTGAACTTAGGGAATGGTCAATCGATGTTTCCACATCTGTAAACAATCATGCAAACATCTATATATGTGTTTTTACAGAGTTAGTCTGCAAATAGTGTTTTGCATAGCTCGTGATTATTATATATGTAAATTATTTTTGTTCGTCCGCACTTACTTGGTTTGTCTGATTTCACGTCTCGCTTTTTGCGACCTTAAAAGATAATTATAATATTAGTATTTTCCTTTTATTCTTGTTAATAACTTTTATTATTAACAGTACCTTTTGAGGTGGAAACTTTGAAGGACACGCTAGTTTTATAAGTGACATCGTTTCCTAGGTTTTTAAAGTCGAAACCATCTAATGTATGCATGGCGACTCTTTTGTTTCTGTTGTCATTTTCAGGTACATTAGTTTGTTCGGTGGCCGGTTCGGGTTCCGGTTCCGGTTCAGCTTTCGGTTCGGGTGTAGGTTCAGGTTCTGCTTTCGGTTCCGGTGTCGGTTCAGGTTCTGCTTTCGGTTCGGGCGTCGGTTCCGGTTCAGATTTCGGTTCCGGTGCTGCCTCTGGTTCGGATTTAGGTTCCGGTTTCGGAAGCGGTTCGGGTGCCGGTGTGCTTACTGAATCAAAAATAACAAAAAACTTCTCATCATTCAATGTATTCACGGTGCGTGTGTCGGGTCCATCGTTGTATTGAGAGGAGCTTCAACAGTGACTGGGACTTGTGACCCAGGTGTAGGTTTAAAATACCCGTTTGTAACTCATTTAGATTATATATAGTTATGTTATTAATATGAATATAACTTACGGTTCTCCATAGGTGGTCCTAAGACGGGGAAATTTTTGCATTCTTTCTTCAATCCTTTCGGCCTCCATCCAATACCTGCGTATTTATCACACACGTTATATATATATAAATTACAAATTAAATCAGGTTCCATTTAATCGGAGATAATGATTTGTGAGAGATCGCATATTTCGAACTTAAGGAATAAATACAAACTTCAAATTGATCACGTGAGGACTAATTATGGTAAAAAAACAATTTTGTTTGAGGGAGTACAACTGTGCAATAAATTACCAGACGAAATAAAACTGTGTGATAGTATAGGCATGTTTAAGGTTAAATTAAAAATATATTAAATATCCTCGCTGTAGTAGTAAATGTAGCAAGTCTGTCATGTCCAACGGCCCGTTTGTTAAAATTGTTATCTTGCAAATATTCCTTGTATCTCATTTTAAGGGAATGTAAAATTCTTATGAGAAATAAAGTTCTTTATATATCTGTTGTATAAGCTTGCGTCATATCCTATGTATACTAACCAGCGTAAGATGATCCATTTACTATCATAGCGACCTCTATCTCTCCTTCTTCCTTCAAAACTCTCCAGTACAAAGCGAACTCTTTGGACAGCTGTTTCTTGGTGTACATATCTAAGTTTATATTCTTATCCTTCCACGGAGCCTCTGTTAATATAAGATATATCTGTATGAGTAATTATTATTACGATTAATGGTGAACAAAAATAATAACTCACTTTTGCTACAGCCCTTGCCGTAGAATCCAAAGGCGCAATAACAGACTCCTCCTCCTTCGTTAGTGTCCTTTGAGGTCATTGACCCCGCTCTAGGCCCAGGCCCGGGGCCGGAAGCGCTAGGCCCGGTTCCGGAAGGCCCAGCAGGCCTCACACAACGCCCTCGTAATCCACAATCCCCGTCTTCAATACATTCATTCGAGTATTGACAGCGATCTCCCGAATACAGTCTGTTACACTTACATCGAGAGAGAATGTGGAACCCGCGTGAAGAACACGTCTCGTGATACGACTTACCTTGGATGTGATAAAAAATAGATTAGCTTTATCCTACTAATATTATAATTGCGAAAGTTTGTGACTGTGTGTGTATGTTTGTTACTTCAACACGCTCAAACGGCTGAACCGATTTTGATAAAATTTTGTATACAGGAAGTTGATATCCAGGAATATAACATAGGCTACTTTACATGTCGGAAAATGTTCGACCTGATAATCCGGGGGTATCAAATAAATAATTAAATTTTGATTCCAATTCTCTGTCAAAGTCGAGTCAACAAAGTCATTATTCCGAATATAACGTCGAATCAATCACGAACTACGAAGTCACTATTCGTATTCGACTCTATTCGTCCCCTACTACTGGTAATACTCACGTGTAACTATATCAATATCGGCGCAGGACCAAAACCTATAGTTCTGTCCCCACTCGCCCGCCTCTCGCTGTAGTTGAAGGGTGCAATTATCACACGTGAAGTCTGAAGGGAGGTGGACCTCGTACTTCTGGGCGCTGAAGTCGAGATAATAACACTATTACTATACTAAATGCACTTAAAAGACACGTGAAGATTCGAGTCTAGACCGAATAATATGTGACATACATCTAGAAGTCTAGACCGAATAATATGTGACACACATCTAGAAGTCTAGACCGAATAATATGTGACACACATCTAGAAGTCTAGACTGAAAATATGTGACACATATCATTGAAGTTCGATTCAATCGAGACCAATAGTTAGTTTGTTTGTCAGTATGTGTAATATATTGATCAAAACTCACGTACTGGTGAAGTGTTTGTTTCAGTAATAATTTAAACTATCGTCAATGAAAAAAATTACTAAAATGACTAAGTTTATGACAGAATGTAATAATACAGTTAATTTGGGAAGTGCGATAATAAAAGTTGTTGATAATAGATTTCAAGTTTCAAGTGAACAGAAAGTATGTAACATGGAGAAATAAATGGAAACGAATTATAAAAGATTTTTTTTATAATTAAATTCATATAAATTTACTATAATATTAATTGATATTAACTAATAACCTTTTATATAAAATCAATACTCACGTCACGTCATCTCTTACGAACTCTGTCCCGCCGGCTCTGGGCGTTAAGTCTAATAACGGTCGTTCGAGGTAATCGAGTATTCTTAAACTAAAACCACCCTGGAATATTAAAATACCATGATAAAAAAAGAAAAAAATATATAAAAATATGCGCCCAACGTGGGGCTCGAACCCACGACCCTGAGATTAAGAGTCTCATGCTCTACCGACTGAGCTAGCCGGGCTTACATTCAATGTACGAAATTACGATACTTACTCGATGGGCATACGCTAAATGCCAATGTACTGTAAATGTTGATCCGGCTAAGAACGAAGTCCTGATGGAACCTACAAACAAATAATAAAAATTATAAAATTTCTAAAATGATCATGGTTTTTAAAGTAAACACAACGCCATCTAGTGGCCGTTAATAAAGAATAAATTTTCTGTTGTTGATTATAGATGGCGTTAGTGGTAATATTATTACGGAGAATTGAATTGTGAATAGTATCGGAAACATAATATATGAAGTTAATAAATTAAACCAATACATATTTAAATGTTATTTGACAAAAGCTAAGTGTTTACGATATATTTTTTTGCAAGCACAAAAAGTCTGAATAAGGATTTTATAGTTAAAAATATGGATTATTACAATTTTTTTTTATATTTCCTATGGATTACATTTCCTATACACAAAATAATTTTTGTTTCTATATATTATAATTAATGATATATTTTATGTATTTATTTAAAAACAATAATAAAAAAAGTGTGTTCATCGACCGTGACAGGACTCGAACCTGCAATCTTCGGATCCGAAGTCCGACGCCTTATCCATTAGGCCACACGGTCACATGACGTAATGACTTACAAAGCCTTCAGTTTCAACACCAGTTTAAAACAATAATTACTACTGTTTTGTTATTACATTTGTACCCACAAAAAACGATGGGTATGGAAAATTACTAGACCTTATTTGATGATAATTCATTTCATATAAGTTTTAAAATGCGAGAACAAAATAATTAATATCGTGCTTTAAACGGACAGAGGTATTGTAATTTGTAACCTTTTTGTACAGTGTATTTACTTTTAAGTCCTTGATGTGTCAACAATTTAAATTAATGTACATAACATTATTTTAAGATTTTATTGTACAAATATTATCATAAAAAATTATTAAAAGCGCCACTGATAGTTATTTTTTTTGTATTAGCCTACAATTACACATGCTTATTTCAAGCACGAAAGCATGATTTAATTGAGCATGTGCTGTTTACTAGCATATGTGTAGAAGTGTTGCTTAAAATAAGCATGCTTATTGTTCGTAAATATAAATGGCTCCCTATGTAAATGGCTTGTATTGAGCATGCTCAATAGCATGTTTTTAGCATGCTTATTAAAAGCATGTGTAACTGCAGCCTTAAAGTTGCTTGTACGATAGACATTAAAACGTCGAAATATATATCAAAATAAATATATTATATATTAGACTATACTCATATTAAAAGTAAATCACGTACGAGTTAATTTAGTTCACGTAAAACTAAAGGTGGTAGAGCCTAGCTGTGGTGAGTTACTGCAGCTCGAACATGGGCTGGCTCGACCGGGGAAGTACCACCCTCTCACAGAAGATCGGCGTGAAGTAGCCTTTAATGGCTGCGTTTCGTCTGATGAGTGAGAGAGCCGGTTGCCCTTTCCCTATTCCTACCCTTTCCCTTCATTTCCTTATTCCCTCCCCTCCCTACCGCCAAAAAACAAGGTTGGCAACGCATCCGCAACAAAATGTTGTTGATGTCCATGGGCGACGGTAACCACTTTCCATCAAGTGGGCCGTCTGCTCGTTTGCCACCTTTAACATAAAAAAAAAAATAATAGTGCCCCGTATGTTTATTTTATTTATTTGAAAATTAAATATGATATAAATTAATTAAGACTTAAGTTTGATTTTCGACGGTACAAATAGTTATTCAATCTCATTCAAATATAAAACACAATACATATTTTATGAAGCCCTTTCTCCTACGATGAGTTTTGCATAGACGAACACTAACGCTCTAAATTATATTATCAATTATTCTTTACAAGATAGTATCAACGTAGTAATACGAATGTGATACAGCAATCGCGACTTATACATATGTAACAACGCATTATAGTAGGGGTGTTTAAATTGTTCTTCCGGAATATTCTGCTTTTTTATATTATACTGCTATGTATTTCTTCTTGAACTACACATTTTTCTAGCACGCATAATAAAAATAATGACTTCTAAGTTCTAAGTCTTATTGGCTCTGCATTCATCGAAAATGAATAAGTGATTTTTCTAAGGTAGTTTACTGTATTTGTTCCGTACTAAAAGTAAATTATGGGACTATGTTAGTGAATTTCTTTGTATGCTAGTTGTATATACAAATATGTTTATCAGTTACTTAACATTTCTAAATTAATGTAATTTATTGAATATATTTGTATTTACTTTAACTTTGGTCATATATTTTCTGTATTGCATGTTTTCTGATAAATAGATCTCTTCATAATCATGTTTACATTTTAAAGCACTGTTAACGCCTATTCCTATTTTAAACTGAAATTAATGAATATAAAGATTTCTCCAAAATCTGAGGCTTTTTAATATTAATGTTTTATAGACAAAAAATAAACCAATCATATGATAATTATTTGAAAACTTAAAATACAAAAATTCAAAATATAAATTTCTCGCAGCCGGTAGGATTCGAACCTACGCTCCCAGAGGGAATCTGATTTCGAGTCAGACGCCTTAACCACTCGGCCACGACTGCTTGTTGTATAACATCGAAAATCATGAACCCTTCCTTTGACGTCACTTAAAAAGAAATACTTCTCATATTGATCTTAGTTACTAAGACGTTAAAACCAAAAAAAGGGTCTATGAAGGGTGGTCTGTTCAAAGCAATATTGTATGGCTACCAAATTTTAAAGACCCATATCCTAAAAGATTTTTTCATTAATAATAATTAATACATATGAAGGCCAAATCAGCCACTGTACTATAGCATTAAGCAGTAATGTCAACTTCAATATGACTCACACGATTAACATTTTCAACTATATTCCTAGTAATTTATACTTTAATATGAAAGGTCAAATGACGACAATATTTTGAATAATACGTATTTGAATTTTTTTTATCACTTGTTCTATGTTTATATGTATTATTTGTTAGGCTATAACTCCTAAACTGGTTTAGCATACTAAAAAATCAGGCTTTTGACACAATATTTTTATATTTTATATAAACATGGCTTTTGATACATTTTTCATATATGTATAACAAATTTTTTACGTACAAACAGACAGCCTAGCGTGGTCATACTTTATACAAACACATCAATACTATATACCTTTAGTATAACTTATAAGTAAATGAAATATAATACATTACTTTAACGTAATAATTTTTATTCTAACTTACATAAAGGCAGGAAATTTCTATATAAAAGTCTTTAATGATACGTGTCTAGTATCCCTACTAATATTATAAATGCGAAAGTAACTCTGTCTGTCTGTTACGCTTTCACGCCTAAACCACTGAACTGATTTTAATGAAATTTGGTACAGACATAGAGTTGACCTTGAGAAAGAACATAGGATAGTTTTTCTCCCAGACTTTTGAAAGGTTCTCTTGGAAACGCGATATAACCGAACTCAACGCGGGCGAAGCTGCGGGCGGAAAGCTAGTTTCTAAATAAAAGTCGGTAATGATACGTGCCTAGTATACATAATATACTTATTATTAATTTAACCACGTGTCTGACACTATAGGGAGTAGAGCGGAAGTGGAAATAATTCAAGTCTCAAAGGAGACAATGTAAAAACGTTTGGACCTGAAGTACAATGATTACCATTAGTTTCAATACGCATACTGCATAGTTAACAGTTTAACAGAGTTCGGTTATATCGCGTTTCCAAGAGAACCTTTCAAAATTGTGGGATAAAAACTATCCTATGTTCTTTCTCACGGTCAACTCTATGTCTGTACCAAATTTCATTAAAATTAGTGCAGTGGTTTAGGCGTGAAAGCGTAACAGACAGACAGACAGACAGAGTTACTTTCGCATTTATAATATTAGTAGGGATGTTATTGAATAAGATACGTGAATCACTTCGTATATGTGACGATTTAATAGTAATTAATTTCACTAAATAATATTATAAATAAGAATATTAATTATTTAAACAGATCATTATCTTCTATTCGTAAAATCTTTTTAATTTAATTTCTTTATTTTTTATCATTTTCTTTAATTTACTTTCATCAAATCAGATTTTTCTTGTAATATTAAATAAGTTGAATTATATCTATTATATAAAATTACTACACATAAGTGTTTTATATGGTAAAGACAACATTTTAATTCTCAAAATTATTTTCATATAACTGGGTAGATAATGAATGAAATATATATTAATATATGTGTATTGTATATATCTATACAATAGATATAATACACTGGCTGACGTACCCCACTAGAGGGTGCGGCATGCGCTCGGCAGTCTAACGACTAGCCTGGAGCAAAATGGGGATGTTTCGCTTTAGGCGGGGTAGTAGTGAGACAGTGACTAGTTATACTTACATATATAGAGGTCCTACAATATGTATTTATAATTTTAATATATTACCTTTGGGCATTCCACACGGCGGTTTAGTTCTGGAGTTATCCAAAAAGTCCAGATCGTATTTCCTGGCCGGCGGAAAAGTTAAAGCTACATGTCCATACACACACACTAATACACTACTAACACACACTAACACGGCTAATGTCACCGACGCCATCTTGGTTGTCAACTGTCACCTGTCAGCTGTCAACTGTCACCTGTCAGATGTCATCACTGTCTCTTGACATTGCATTTATCTGAATTGCATTGCATTGCAGTTGCATGTATCTGAAACAAATAAATTGTTTTATAGCTATAGTTAATAAATAGAAATGTTGATATTGATGAAATATTTCACGATTCCAGTGCGAATGAAGAAATAGCATAAAAAATGGTTAGTCAAAGCTTAATTTTAAACGCAGGTTCTAACTTCTAATAAATCGTGAAAAAAAATTGTTACTTGTTATTTTTTCCTTACTGACATCGTATCGTAATATATGTATATGACTAAGTATATATAAAATTAAAATTAAACATCTCATTGGATGATAAATACAATTAAATATAATAGCTCATATTGTCTAACACATACGAACATACGACTTAAACATAACCATCTTCTTTGAAGTTGGTTAATACTTAATTTGTTTGAAGCAAGAAATCATTATTATATTATATCGTTTGTTTTTACTTTCTATCCCATATTACCACAAGTCTGCATCTTCACACTGCATACGGAACGTAAATAGTTTTTATTCATGACCCTTATCACTAACAGCATTACGGTAGATTATTGAATGAGAATGAAACACTGCAAGTCAGTGGTGGCCTAGTGGTTAAAAGGCCCGCCTCTCATGCATGAGGTCGCGGGGTCGATCCTGGCAAGTACCAATGTGATTTTTCCGAGTCATATGTACTTTCTAAGAGTATTTAGACATCACTGATTAATGCATTCCCAAAGAGGGTTGATGTCAGGCAGGCGGCCGGGATAAAAACAATTAGCCAAAACTATTCACAACATGTAAGGCAGACCCTGGCTAAAGCTGGGAAATTGACAGGTAGACGATACGTGAAACACTACGTGTGGAGTATGTTGCAAGACTTAGTGTAAGCATACAAATAAAACTTTCACTAAAAAAAATGGATAGTCCATACTTAAATAATATATATGGACATGGTTTTTAAGTACTAACATTATGAAACAATATTAGATATAACATTAATATGAAAACGATAAATAATTTTCTACTTATAAAAGTAAGTGTATTGACTCATCGGTTACGTGATAAATGTTATGACAGACGGACTTACAAACAGATGACAAACGATTTTGGACTTTATAGGAATAAAACAAGATATATATTAGATAATAAGACTTAGTAACTTTCTAGTTCGTTAATATTAATGAATTATTATTTTTAACTACATAGTAAATTATAATTTTATGATTATAGACAAATTAATTGAAATTAATTTTCAACTTACTTCGCTGTACTGAAGTAATATATTGTATTAAATTATTTTTTTGGGAATATATTACTATCAGTGATTTAAATTTCTTTATCCTTATCATCATTGTCATCTTCATACTCAATACTTCTTCTTCTATCTTCATCCCTACTAATATTATAAATGCGAAAGTAACTTTGTCTGTCTGTTACGCTTTCACGCCTAAACCACTGAACTGATTTTAATGAAATTTGTCACAGATATAGAGTTGACCTTGGGAAAGAACATACGATAGTTTTTATGCCAGATTTTCGAAAGGTTTTCTTGGAAACGCGATATAACCGAAATCCACGCAGGCAAAGCTGCGGGCGGAAAGCTGGTAATCAATACTATCAGAATTGATTATGAAGATAAGACATATGAGACTTCTCGTCTGTCCGTGATCACGGTTGCTGTAAAGTAACCGAAACGTCGGGAGTATGTAATTTAAAATAATACAATTACCAGTAGTAATTCGAATATTTATTTTAATACAGATAGTATAAAGTTTTCTCTTCATAAACCGCATGTTATAGTTTCTATATAAATTAAATACCGGAAATTATTAGTGCAAAATCATAGTAAGAATATTGAATAATTCTCGTAATAAGGCTTTATTTATTATTTGTAAATAACAATTACATTAGTAGTATAAAATCATAGATTATTATAAATGTACTTGGTACGACGTAATACTGTAAGGCAATAATTATTATTATACTTTAGTACATAATAATATTTAATAAACTGATATATTACATATTTGTAAACTAAAATGTTTGAAGTGTATAAAATAAGGAACATAATTATATATATAAAGTTTATGGTAATTCCCAAAGAGGGTTGATGCCAGGCAGGCGGGCGGTCGTAAAAACAATTAGCCAAAACTATTCACAACATGTAAGGCAGACCCTGGCTAAAGCTGGGAAATTGCCAGGTAGAAGAAGATAAAGTTTATAGTTAATAGCAAGTAGTTTATTTAACTATAAGTTATAAGTGAGTACTTATGATGAAACAACATACCAACAAACAGATACTAAATATTCAATGTATTTTGTCACTTGTCACATCTTCGGTTACGACATTTGAAACTTTGAATGGTTTAAGTGAAATGTATTTGAGTAACAGTTTAGTTATGAAAATTTGTGTGTTAAGTGAAATAAACGTGACCGTTTATCAGGTACACTTATACAGCCTGTATGACGATATTGTTAATTTAGAAAAAAACGTTTCTCATTTATTCTTATAATATTTGTATTACTTGGGTCATAAGGTTTTTATTATTTGTACTGAAACCAGTTATTACACATAATGAAATCTAAAAGTTCGTGAGTATTCTTTTAAACAAAACTAGTGCATGTATTCGTATACTAAGCGTATTTTCTCTTGTGATCACGGTTGCTGCAAAGATGTAGTTTTTATAATAATAAAATAGTAAATACTCGAAATAATCCGAAAATATTAGATTCGCATATTGCAAAAAAGAAAAACACTAGTTGTTGTCTGCGACTTTACTCGCATCTAAAACTCTGAGACAAATTAACTTGATGAGGTTTTATTACATTTATCGAAGATACCTTCGTCAAAACATTTGGTGATGATGATTAAGACAAAGAACTTTTGTATAAAAAAATGAAATTTGTCGTTTATTTAAAGATTTAGACGAATTAAAAACTTCCTACTTTATGCAGTAGCTTATACAGAAGTCTACGTTACTTCTCATATTATTGTTTTCTTGCTTTGCATATATTCTTTACAGTCAGTCCAGCTATTCTAGAGATTACCAGGAACAAACAGACAGACAGAAAAAAAAGTTAATCTTATACCTTCACACAATAAGAAGGAAGTTGAGAAAATATCCAACAAATATGTATAAATGGTAATTGAATTAAAATATTTTCTATACTATTGATATAACAATGGGAACGTAGATGGAAAGTCTATGGGATTACATAAAGTGTATAAAAAGAACATTAGTTAGACAATCGGAGCAAGGTTATTACTGCACTCCCATACACAATACAATAGCCGTTTCCCGACTTGTTTCATTCTATAACCATGGGAAGGCTTAATAGTCAATGCCCTGCTAATGTGAATACTATAATACTGTAAGTTTGGACGTGTGCACGCAGTAAATTAAATCTATATGTAAAATTACTTATAATAATAGATGGATCGATTTTAATGACAATTTCAGTAACAGATAGATAATAACTAATATTAAATTACTTAATTTAATAGAAGGAACTTCTCAATTCGACTATATAGTTGTTACGTGCTTACTCCTTAAATTTAAAGAGGATTTTCAAAATATTTTTTTTAATTGAAAAAACTTTCTTAAGTAGTCCCATCATTACCGATTCAAGATCTGATGAAGTGTTCTTAGAAATATCAAATATAACATTATAAAGATGATAATGAATATCATTAAAATTAGTTAATTACGAACATCGCCATGGACAACAGCTAGTGTTAATAATATATTTATGTCATAATTCAATAAGAAAATACATTTTATTTATTTTAATAATACATAATAAAAGGACATAACCTAACAGTAAATGTATTTAAGAAATAGTAAGTATAGAGTTAATTGTAATTTAATAATCAAACATATAAAAAATACATATTATATTATTTTAAATTTTTCAAACATTTTGTAGATATAGTGCTTCTATAGTATTTTTAACCATACATGAACTAAATTTATGAAGAAGTAATCAGTTCTTTGATCTCTGGTATATATAAATAAGGAATCTTTACAAACATTTTATTATAACTTTCTATTTTAATTAATATAATAAGAAGAGAACGACATACAAATTAAAATTAATATATTTTTACAAGTGAATAACAATTAAAATTTGTTACTTCTACATTTTAAATTATTTCAGAATTCTGACTATATCCGATATGGTCTAGTGGCTAGGATACCTGGCTCTCACCCAGGAGGCTCGGGTTCGATTCCCGGTATCGGAAATATATTTTTGCAAAAATTCTAATCAAAGAAATAACAACTGCTTGTATTCTTTTCATATTCTTTTGTATAATATAATTTTATAAAATTTAATAATCTCAATATTTTTTCATTCGAAATGTAAAGAAAACTAAATTCTACTCATAGTATTTATTTCACTAAATGTATTACTCAATATTTTTTTCTTGTTAATATATATTTAATTTCCCATGGTAGACATACCATGGTAATTGCGTGTTGCTAATCTGTTGTAGGAAGTGTTGCGTGTGTGTGTTACCTAACGCCATCTGTTAGTGAGTAGCGGTTATTATAGTTATCGGAACACATCTAGGAGCAGCGAACCGTGTCCATAATTCTCTGAGACTGTATTCTTAGCAATATTCTTACATTTTTTTTATTTCTAGCATTTATAAACTAAATTAATGAGATCTAAGATTTTCGTGAGTATTAAAATGAAACATACTCAACTCGTCTGTCCGTGATCACGGTTGCTGAAAAGTAGCCGAAACGTCGGGAGTATGTAGTTTTTTACGAAAATAAAGTCGTTTAGTATAATCCGAAAAATATTAAATTCATTCAAATATTAAATTATCTAATACATATATAAAATTTCCATGTCACAATGTTAGTTACCGTACTCCTCTGTAACGGCTTTACAAATTTTTACCAAATTTTATATACGTATTCAGTAGGTCTGAGAATTGGCTACTATC